TAGGTAAGGCACCACCGTCAACTGCCGCATGGTATTACCGTCACGAGTACGTGAGCCGCCAACGGTCACTGGTAGATGGTACCGTTATCGCGAGTGCGCGAGTTCAATATCAGAAATTCGTTGTGCCGCCCTTGGGGGCAAAAAACGGTGAAAGCTAACGTACGAAACCAGAGGGCAGCACAGGATGCGATCGCACGATCCCTTCCGTGAGCAATCTCCCAACTCATCTCTGTATATAACAGAGATGAGTTGGGAAATTGCTTACGAGCAGGATCGTGCGATCGCATCCTGTGCTGCCCTCTGGTTCCGTGCGTTAGCTTTCACCGATTTTTGGCTCCAAGGGCGGCGAAACGAATTTCTGGTAGGGACTTGCGCACTTCCGATGGCGGTGCCATCTACCATTCGCCGCTGGCGGCTCACGTACTCGTGATGGTAATACCATGCGCAGTTGACGGTCGTGGCTTACCTACGCTTACCAACGCTGCTCGCATTTGATGGTAAGGGAAGAACACTCGTAGCGCCCTTTTTGACTTTACCCTTCACTTACCTCATTTATTTAATCCGCAAATGATGCAGGCAAAATGACAACGTGGGTGCTCGAGAGTTAAGTTATACTGTAGATAGAATTTTTATAAGCTCGGAAATTCATACAATAATTATGAATATTCCGTAGGGAACACATAAAACCTGGATGGAAGGAGATACCCAACACATAGCTTGACGTAGTCGGTGTGACGTCAGGTATAACGTACGTGTCGCAAGATCAAATTCTGAATGAAGGGAAGGGTGGGTACGGTTTTTTTACGCCAATTTTTTTCGTCACGTTTTACAATTCATAGCAATCGCACAAAATACATTGCAGTTATGTAATGTTTGATTATAGGTTCAGCTTTTCATTATTTGTTTCACCGTCCATAAGGTGAGTTTAATAATTAAGGTGAAATTAATTAAAACCGTACCGTACGGAACCACACGGAAAGAAATCTTTTAACTTAGCCCAGACTAGATCCAAAATGGCGTCGAAATGGTCTTATATTTCGATCGATATCTAATTTTTCCAAGACCAATTCGTTCCAATACCCTTAGAAAAAGTGTCTTATTCGAATAGACTGATTTGAGGGGGGTTTCACTTCGCCTTAAAAGCAAATTAAGGTTCTATCTTAAAGGATCATTTCTGTGGTAAGAAATAAGTGAATCCAATCGAGGGAAGTTTGAAGGAATCAGTTTTTTACGTTCCTACTCACCGTAGGAGAAAAGCAAGATGGCGACAGAACGTCGCATGATCCACTCTTCGGTAGGCGAGGGATTGTTTAAGCGATGATTTTTTTTTTTCTAGAAAATGATGATAGAAAAATGGTTCACGGGGTATAGAGGGATAATGATATCTAAGAACAGTAACAAAATCTATATTTAGCCAAATGGTATTATAAGTGGACTTTCCTGTGGGAACGGTAGTTTTCCTTGTATATATTTTTTAAAGAGAAACGCCACGACATCGAGCCACAAGACTCGGGAGGAAGATTTTCCTGCTAATACGTTCTACATACTTCTACGAAGTGCTATTTTTGTTTCCGGGAAGAATTGCGATCACGGGAGCGCATTCGTTACTCCTCTTAAGTATTTCATAGTTATACCTCGTAATACGGGACACACTGACAAAGATTGTTAAAAGTGTACATTTCAGTATGCTTTTTTTTTTTAGTAGAAGTAGAAAATGTAGTATAAAAATTACGAACTTTATCAATTTTCCCGTTGATACTATCGGTTTCATGTACAATCTCCAACATCAAATCAAATAACTAGGAATCTTTACCCTCAGTTCGCAGAACTCATGTATGCCGCTTATAAAGTCATGAAAAAAAGAAAAAGTAGTTCTAGTACCCATAAAAGTAATTAATAAAATCTTCTTCGATTGTAACAATAAAATAAAAAAGATATAACAAGAGATACAAATTCGGTTACTCCTAAGTTTTTTATACTATCGAGCTAACTAGCTCTGGTTGTTTATGCACTATTTCTTAATTCTAAGAGGTAGACGTAGAAAAGGATCCAAGCTATTTTTTTGTTAGTAGAGTTGTCGGTAGAGTTAGCATAATGGTGGGAATTCTTCGTCTAAAGTGCAATACTTTCGACAAGTTGGGCACGACGAGTTCAGATTAAACCACCCTTTAATGCACTGAAAGCAATGTCACCACGGACGAAAAATTAATCTCGAATACATTATACAATTTCGACACTCAAACAACTTATACATATACTTATTTATACCAAAACCGATTTTGGAATAAATAAGAGTTATAGTCATTGGAATACATGAAATAATCAATTTAGTAAGAGCAATAATAAATGAAGTGAAGCAGTAATGAAAGAAAAATGTTGTTTTTATTACTCATTTACCTTTGTATGAAACGCGTGTTGGCATTGCAAAGTGCATACGCGTTTACTTCTAGAATTAGTACTCATGGGTTCCATGCAAATGCTGCATTCCGTTTCAATGCTCTCTTTTTTCCACGTGTCGGTATATATAGGCTTCCAAGTCTTTTTCTCTTTAATGTTGGCATTCTGGCTAGTAGCTTGAGGGGCTGCGTGAACGGAATTTACTGAAAACGAAATAAAGTAATATTAACGACTAATTCGATATTGAATTTTTCAGGGAGAAAAGGAATTGCGATAGCAGACCAACCGAAATGATTTACTGAAATACAGTTCGACATTTTGAAGAAAGAAACAAGCGCCTAATGCAATCGCTTGAACTAATCTGATAGGTGGAACAAGTTTCTTTTTTTTTTTTTCAAGACTATTATGTTAACTTACGTTCTTCTTGGTGCTTCAGGATATAAATGTCCACTTCCTTGATAATCTGTTCTATATACAATCCAGATAATGAATTTCCATGCATCTTACGGACGTAGTCTACTGCCTTTAACAGCTTCGGCCTAATGTTCATAATAAAAATATATTGTCAAAATAATCCTTTAAACCGTAAACGTTCTTTACATTATGCATCAAATTCACTGTCGTGAACAAATTCGTGAATTGAAATATTAAACCTTTTAAAGATATATCAGTTATATTATTTTAAACATTGCTATGATCAAACATTTGACATCTTCACTGGTAAATAAAACAAAAATTAAACGTACTCTACCATGCCAACATATTTCCGTCGAAGCTTCGCTATTACTTTATTCAGATTAGACTTTTCATTCTTTTTCAACGTGACTCCCCTGAAATCACGAAAACAATGAATCTAGCAGTTATTAACGAACAATTTCATTATTTAAAATTATGATAAATTACTTGATATGCTCTTCCAAGGCATCCTTTGGAAACACAATCTTTTCCATTTGTTTCGCATCGATACTACTTGAATTTTCTGCACAATGTGTATATTGTTTGTCCGGAAATTTCTTGCTATTGTTGTTCGTTTTCTCTGTTGGCACAGTTTTTGACGAGCTACTATCGGCTACGTGTTTGTCGCGACCATTCAGTTCTGAAACAGTTTTCATGTCACGAGCATCTGGAGATAAATATATTGTTAGAGAAATAATTATCCACCCAATATATGTTATGTCCGTGTAAAACAGTGATGCTGAAAAGCAGGGTCTCAGGAACTGCATGGAGCACGAAATAATATATATCAGTTATATCCACTTAAAGGGATCACAAATGCAACTGTTCAAAGAAACAAAATTTATTAACCAAAAATGACATAATCTGCATTACGGGAAATCACCTAAAAATATTCAATGCACGTGTCACTTCTTAGTACATAAGTATTCTTGATTTATACCATTTTCCAAGGAATTTCTTGCCGTTGCGTTGACATTTTGTTTGGATGTACTCTGCAGAGAACCTTTTTGATTAATGGCTGTCGGGATAGATGCTTTTCCAGGTACTTTATAGGATGCATTTTCAATCGTTTGCTGTGGTACAGGAATCTGCGTTACAGGTACTTCTTCTGTGGCTCTTGCATGATTTTGTTGAGGTATTTGATAAGAACCATTTTTCTGCATTCCTTGCGTTACTGGATATTGCGGTGCAGAGGTTTCACACGTTACATTGTACTGGGACATGTATGGGTTTTTTAATGGTGGAGGTGGTGGTGAATGTGGAGGTTGAGGAGGTAATGGAGGTTGCAAAGATAGTAGAGGTTCCGAAGTTAGCGGAAGTTGTGGAGACGGCAATGGACATTGGGTCGGTTGGTATATATACGGTTGCATATCGTTCACTTTCTGTGCCCTTCCATAATGCATGAAGTACGAGTGAAAACCTTCTTGTATAACATGGAGTAAGTGAGAGTTAGGCAACAATGGCATCACGCCGAAACCCAGATGAATGTCTTCCACTACTTCTAGAAATTGCTTCTGTTCCAAGAAGCTCAAATATTTTGCATACTTTTCCTGAGTATGAAAAGTCGTAATTCAATGGTCAATATGCAAATGCGTTACGTTATATATGTAGAAATAATGTAGACTAAGGATGTTTGAAACTATCTTACCTGAAGCTGTGCCGACAACGTTTGAAAATGGTCCATCAATTTCTGCCACCTATCACTATCCGTGCTTATACGATAAGGCGTGTTACTTTCTACCAAATACATTACTTTATTTAGAGCGTCCAGGGTGACCCGACTTTGATCCAATTTTCTGGAACATGAGATACTGGTTAATTGAAAAGATTAAGAGATTAAACCAACTGTGATGCTTACGTATTTATGTGGTTTTCTTCGGCAACGTACAGGGTATTTAAAAACTGCTTGAACCATCTCTTTTTGACGTTTAAAAAATCACTTTGTACAAGTCTGTAAAACCAGTATTACTATTACAATAGCTTTGTACGCAAAATGTTTATCATATGTGTCGTTATGATATATATATATAAGAACATCGTAATATTCAAATAACTCACTCCGATCTGACTGATGCTTCTTTTTTTAAATTGAAAGCAAGCGTTAGATTTTCCTGTTTTAAATTGTTACGTTCACGTTCGAAGGATTGCGTTATAGCCACTTTTTCTGCCATCAATTCTTTCACTTTACTCTCCATATCCATATTTTTCTTCTTTAAAATTTCCATCTCCGATTCCAACTCGCGGTATTTCCTTTTGAGGTCGTTGTAATCCGTTTCGGATATCGTGGGATTCACCTTAAGATTTGCCATCAAAGCATCGATCGGCACTTGAAGAAGCACCTGCGGCACTTTATTTTTTTTTAAACCACCTCGACTCCTTGACTTATACTTCTGAAAATCCATAAAAAAGAAAATTCATTTCTATAATTTGCCACTGTTCAACAAATTGCAATTCGTTAACAGCAGAGTATTAGCGTAATTTTTAAGTAACGTGAAACAAACCAAGTATTTATCGAAGGGTTGTTGATGCTTGAATTTCTTATACACATTAGGCTGTTTATAACTAATTTTCGATTGGTTTTGAAAACCTGCGTCGTTTTTTTGGAATCCTCCAGAGTCCTTCAAAAGCTTCTCCAGAGGAGCAATTCTTATCAAGATTCTTCTATCTGATTCTTTAGGATTGGAATCCACCTGAACTTTATTAATATTGCTATTGCCTGCACTAAAGATAACATTATTTTGTTCCTTGTTATCCAAGGCATTGACGTTGCTATGCACCGATTCTAGGTTTAGGTACTTCTTCTGTAATAAAAAAAAAACATGTTATTATTAGTAAAGCCAACGTTACTATTAAATATTTCTTTGGCTCTAATTTCCACCGGTACCCATAAAGCTTCACTTGGTGAATCTGATAAGAAAGCAGCATCTTCCTGGATCTTCTCCACTTTTACAGATTTGTTACATCCTGTATCACTAATTATTTGGTTGAAGATATCGTCGTCTATAATTTGCAAAATATTAGAAATTTTACAAGTGACCACTTCGATAAGGTATCTTACCTTGTATGTCGATTTCCCCAGGGTCTATTTGATTTTTGGTTAAATATTCGAGACAACCAACAATGTCTCGTTTTGCCGAATTATACGCTTCCGGAATCTCCTCCGGAATGCAGAAATAATCGCCAATGCACGAGATCCTTGGCGATTGCAGCAAAAATTCAGCAATATCTGGAAATTAAGGAAGAATTACATGGGAAAATGTTTAAGTTTTATAACGATTATCTAATATTAAATTTTACCCGTTGTATTGTCGAAAATACTGTCGCTTTTATCAACCAGACTTCTAGTGTCTTTCCACATCTTTAACAGCTCCTCTTTCTTTATCGAACCAGCGATTCTTATGTGGTTATAGAGTAAACTGAAATTAATTACGACATGGAGTAATACTTTATGGCAATACTTCATTTTTTAATAATGAAACTTTCATATACTACGGAATCTTATGGACTTACGTAAATATCATCGATCTCAAATTACTTGTCTCCGGATTACCATCCTCAAAGCATGGACTTTTACATCTGTTAAGCGATTCCAACTTTCGGTTGTTACCATACATCCTTTGATCTGGTCTCCACTAAAAATTGAATCGACATATTATTAAACGACAGTCAAACATACCCGATGAACTTATAAATCTTACATCGTTCTCCTTGGGTATCCCAAAATTATTTTTTCGAAGCTCGATCAATTTTTGGAGTTTCATCTGATTTTCTGTTCTGTAAATGATAAGTTGTGCTGAGTGGAAAGTCAGTTTTTATACATTGAACAGTTAATTGTGTACATTGACCTACAAGTTATTAGCGGCATCGTTCTGGTTTTCCGACGTATTTTGGAGATCACATTTAGATAGCGAGTTTGAGTCATTATTCACGCTCTGAAAAATATTGCAATAATATACACTTCCGATAAACAATTTTTATTGCCGATAAAAATAATGATTTATAAAAATGTCCAGTCAATAGGATGCCCTGAATTACCTTTTTTTTAATTGCTCCTTTCGATGTAATTTGCTGATCCGTTCGTATCGACACCGGAATAGGTGTTTCATAAACAGCTTCAATATTTCCATCCTTTCCTGTTATTTTTATTTTAATAATTGTGCTATTCTCGCCATTATCGTTCTTACAGTTTGGAGTAACACAAAGGTGGCCTAAAAACTCCTATGGAAATGAGAACTCGTTAAAGCAACTATGCAAATATACTCATAATAAATGTACAATTATTTATCACCTCATCGGATAATTTTTTATCCGGCGTCAAATGTTCTTTTTTCAGTTCCCAGCAAGATCGATGATATTTTATAATGCAGGGATAAAGAGTATTGTTGCAATTGATTTCTACTAGTCCAGTGAACGCTGGATCCCTGGGGGAAAAAATGAAAATATTGTTTAGAAAAAGAAATCCCTTCTTTGTAAATACATTATATAGATAAGATTACCTGAAAAATATATGTTGACTGGGGGCGAAATGGTTAGAATAATCTAAACATTGATCGAACCTACATACTGCATCCGGCTGTCGCCATCCAGAGCACTTGTCGTTTAATCTAATTAATTTAATCTGCAAACAAGGTAAACGGTAAAAAAGGCACGAATGTATGACAGTTTTAACTATCAATTGCGAGAGAAATGAGGAGAAAATTAAGAAGGTGGAGTATGATAGCACAGTATACGTTAATTTGGAAGCATAAAGGATATATTATGTATTGGGCACCATTAATTCGATTCTTTCAGTTTCGGGCAGGATAAGGTCAGTTCCTGGAATGTAATGTTCTTCGAGTTTTGCGTCTTTGCTTAAAGAAGCAAAGCCTTTCCTGATCACATCGCGTGCTAATTCAAACCTACAGAAAAATATAAAAAAATGTTCCAATTTGTCCAACACAGGAATTTAACATCGAGGTGAATCGCTCGTTAACGGAACAATTTTACTGCCGACCAAAAAAATCCATTTCACTTGATATCCGAGCTCATACATAACTGCTAATTTTTATGAACAAATAAATTCCCTTAAACAACGAGCGATTCTAAAAGAGAAAAATCGACGAGATCCACTTAAAAAGGACTTTCCCGGGGAAATGTATTATCGATTCGTGTAAAGGTTAAAACATGGCGCGTGTACTTGTAAATAGAGTAGTTTTAACATTAAGGTACACAACGCAATTACCGGAACAACTCGCAATACGCTTTTCCCAGTGCATAATATACAGCTGGAAAACTGGGCCCGATGGATTTCTCCAAATTGTTAAGAATCTGTATAGCCTCCATAAAGTCTTCCAGATTATCAGACTTTAACAAAGCGATCGACAATAGATACTGTATAATGTTAGCGTCGACATCAACGCACTGGTTCTACAAACAAAGCGATTATAAGATTTCATTAATCGTAGGTGGATTTTTTAGTTAACCAAATAAAAGACGGAACTTTTCCACAATACTTACATTTATATTACTTTCCAAAATGTGATCAAGCGCCGCTCTGTATTTAAGCACTGTTAAATTGTATTGTCTTGATGTAAAAGCGTCTGCCGCGTCTTTCAATAACATTTGAAGCTCCTGAAAGAAAACGAGCACAGTTGAAAAGCTGATTCTTAAATAATCTTAAATATCGCATAAAGTCTAGGGAGGAAAGTACAGAAAGAGAATATCCTTAACAATTATAAGGAAATAATTTTGCAGACTAACCGCAGCTTTGGGGTTTTCGCCATTTTTTTCTTGCCACATTTTGGCTGACGTCTGCTTTAAAGATTTTCTAACAGAATCCTTATCCTGGCTCGATCCGCGTTATCAGGTACCGCCCCGAGTATCTGCAAGAAAATGAAACATTAAAAGGAAACTGAAGACATAATGTGGAGACAAATCAAAGAGCCTGAACTTTCCCGAAATCCGAATTTTCGGGTTCCCTCGGGAGACGGGAAATAAATGCGCTTGGCGGCGGGGCTCTTTGAAATAATACAAATTTCTATAAATACACGTGGGGATCCACGTCTTCAGTATAGATCATAGAGTGCACACGTATACATAAAGTCCGTCAAACTTAGCGCACAGTTTATTATATAGGAATGACGACAGAGGCCGCGTTTCCGCCGATCATTGAGCTAGAGGTAAAGAGTTTGTCAAGTAACCCATTTTTTCCACCTAAATTTCGGCTAACAATGTCCCCGAGAATTTATTTTCACGTCGGGCCACTGTACTACCGAGGCGCAGTAACATCCGACGAGATTTCCACGTCGGGTCCATTGCTCGATTAAATTCGTCTCCGTAATTTGCAATCACAAAACATTTATCATTAATCGATCCCCCGCAATTTTATCCATAGGGTAATGATTAATTCCATCCGCACTCATTGTCACCTCGATGATGAATCATTAAAGTCACAAAATGGTCGCCACGACCCAGGTCGATTGAATTCGACGATCACTCTCTCTCTTTTTTTTTTCCTCATTTTTTATCGAATGGCCGCGAAGAGGGTGACACCAAACGCATCGGGTCGGGCACTGTCGGTCCCTCGAACTGTCAAATAACTTCCGAAAATTTCCATCCATCGGCAATCCCGTAAATCCACGTGTAGTGGGGTGCGCGTTTATTATTGGCTCCGCTTAGTCGGGCAGGCTGCGCTCTATTTTCCCTTTAAATATAAAACGAGAAACCGTCCAATCGCGCACATTCGATTTAACGTCACAGGATGGGCTCGATAAAGTTTCGATTATCCAAACGGGGAAAATGATCGAGGTAGGCATGATTAAAAAGAAATTCATTCTTTTAGAAACGAAAGGGCAAGCGATCTAGGGGGGAAATCTTGGGTAGTTTTAAATCGCGCGCGCGAAACTTTGGCCCTCGGGATTTTTCTTTACTCCCCTAGTAGCATAGAATAATTTTTAAATATTTCTTTGTAATCTTTGCAAAGTATCACAAGCGACAGATTATTTGAAGACTTCTTGTAGATTTCATTCGAAGATATTTAAAATATTTCTTGAAAATCACAATGACATATTTAGTCTCAATAATATATNCCGATAATAGTCGTGAAGTAAGAAAATTACTAGAGACAATATTCTAAAGTAAACTTTTTGCAAATATTTCAAATGTCTGGTAAATATTTACAAAATGTACGATATTCGTTAAATATATAGAAAATATAGGATAAATATTTTGGGCTACTAGGGTCCCATCTTTTCCAGTCTGCCGGACAAGAATGGCCGCAATTGTCAACCCAGATCTCCCCCTCCGGCCATTCGGGCCTTGAATTTTCTCGCAAAAACAAATCCTATTTTTAGCAATGCACCGGAGCTTCCCTCCTCTCGGGAACTCGGATGAATCGATAATTCTTTGAAAGGTCGCTCTTTTCATTGAACAGCCCCTTGCGTCGAAATAACCAGAACGGGCTCCATCGATCGCTCCGACGTCGTATCATCGATTCCGATTTATCGTTCCCTCTTTACTAATCGCGTCCTAATTACTCAACGATAGGAATCGAGAGCGAAAATCCCAAAGTGGGAACACAAAGTGTACAGAAACCAGATACAAGAGTCCCCCTAAAATCGTAATTGCGGTTTCATAAACGCCACTTTAATTACAAGATGACGTGTAACACTTTGAGGAACTCGATCGACGTCGGTAAAGAAGATTTATCTAAATACCTTCGTTCTTGACATTCGTTTTTATAGTTATTATATTGAGCTGTGTCAAATTATATTGGGTATTGTACTAAATGGCATCCTCCACCTGTCGTCTTTGTACAATAATTATGAAGAAATCGAAGTTAAACCCCAGAAATTCCCTGGATTCATGCTTTCTGAGGCCCTAACTGACTGCAGAGTGGCCCCCTGCGTCATCTGTGATTTCCGTGTAAACTAAATTTTGCACGCCGAGACTTTAAATTACCATCGTCGGGGCATAAGACACTTTTTTTGCCTCTATCCCGTTCAAATGCAAGTTTATCGAGTACGCCTGTTCTAAATTGTCTTACAGTTGTCCTGACACATGTTTCTCACATTAGAGCCTTCACTAATTATATATCGATCGAAATATGAGATCTCGGCGGCATTTCGCTCTGGTCTGGGCCAAGTAAAACAATTTTGTTGAAAAATCCATATGTTGAGTCTCGGGATAATTCCTAGGTGCTCACGAGTCATGTGTCAAAATTACAGGCGGTTCGTTCCGATACCTTAAAAAAAAAAAAGTCTTATTCGAATCGACTGATTTTAAGGGGGTTTCATTTCACCTAAAACCAGACGTGAAAAATCCCTTATGCAAGTTCCGTATATTAACTTCTATCGATTCGATCGATCGGGGATTCAGATTGTTGAGAATTTCCATAGAATTCCGGGATAAAGGGGGGGAAAAGAAAATGGTGAAAATTTCCCGGGAGTCAAAAATCGATGCCGAGGGGCGCGAAGGTCATGGTCGAGGTGTAAGATCCGCCGTCGACTTTATCCCCACGTCCATGGCACTCGCATACAGGAGCTTTCCCCCGTGAAGGTGCGTTTTCGGGTACTATTGATCGGGAAAGGAACGAGAGGACGCAGTCGCACCGCCCCCCGTGATCCACCCCGTTGCTAGCCAGTCGATCGGGGGCGGCAGAAGGAATCCGCGATTGTCGAAAAATCAGTTAAAAATCCCCCTGGCCTCTTGGAAGGCTTTTCGAGCCGAAGATCGGGAAAAATCGAGCCCCGTGGAATGCCGGCCACAGGGGGCAGGTCGAGGCGACGACGCGGCGGCGGAGGGTGGCGGTCGACCCTTGCTTAATGCTCGCAATCGTTGCTCCCCGAGTCTGCGCCCTGACGACACTTCGGGGCGGCTCCTGTCCGACTCGACGCCGCTTCCCCGCTCGTGTGTCCGGTGCGTGGATGGTTCTCAAAAAGAGTGCGATTTCGGGATAACTCCTCGGCGAGGGCTCCCAGGACCCAGGGAATTCTCCAGAGAAGCTCGCCCTGATCTCTGGGCGCGCGGCGGCAGAATGGTGACGGATAATACCAGCCAGGTACGACGACTCGCGGGAATAATTATTTCCTCCTGGTTCCGAGGTCTCCTCTTGGGGGGATAATTTTTTTCTCGGGGGGAGGACGGCATGGGACACCACGTTGAAAAAGTTAGACCGGGTTACCCGACCTGGGAATTGCAGAGAATTTTAAGAGTGGGCGGGGACGAATAGGTGGAGACGGTGCGCCGGGGTTAACGCTGAAACTCCTCGATGATGGTTTCTCCTTTTTTTTCATTTTTTTTCCGCCATGTGATATCAGTCATTTCGACGTGGTTTGGTGGTCCAGGGTGAATGGTTCGTTCTTGGTCTGGCTTAGAATTCGAAAATTGCAATTCTTTCCTAGGGAGGTTTTCACCTGTATGGAGAAAATTGTGCAGGTATTCCTCGGGTACCTAATGGTCGTCTCCCTTGAGGTGCAGATCTCCTAGGAATTTTTGAAGCACCCTTTGAAACCAAGTACCGTCCGCATTTGCATATTCAAATCCACTTGAAAGGAGTCAAAGCTCTGCCATGGAGCAGGTTGCACCTGCACCGTTGGAACTTTCGAAGGAAGTCGGGTGCAGCGAGAGTAGGGCTGAATGGAACCGAGTTTGGATTGAAAAGACCCCTTCTGGGGGGTTAATGTTTTATGGGAGTTGATGGAAACCCCTGGAGGGGTTCTTCCGTTTGTTTTGTCCCTACAGGGATTTTGTCGCGCGTTGTGAGCTTTTTCTATGGCGTCCATTATTCCCGGATCCCTCGGGGTCACTGCGCTTTTCGAATGGTCTGCGGGACAGCTTTTCATGCAGACTCCGAACAAGAAGCAGGGTTTCGGAATTGAATCGATGAAATTTCCCTTCGATCCGGGGATTTTCGACCGAGAGAATTGGTTCGTTACGTTCTCTGGTCTTTGGCCAACGAATCGATTTTGGGGTAGCTAAAGAATTCGGCGCACGGACAGGTTTCGCCTGAATTATTGATCATACCGGGCAACCACCTGCGACACAACTGTCCAAGCTTTGTTTGAATAATAATCGCTTAGCAATTTGCTCATCGAAGTACCGCGAATTAACACATTCGCGACCGGCGAATTTTTTCCGTTTCAAATGCTGAGTAACGGCGAAAATAATGAAATTCTGAAACTGGTTGTCGCAAACTTGTATCGTGTATCGATTCACGTCAGCGGCAATTAGGAATAGAATTTAAAATGACGTAAATTCACGTCAGCGGTCGCGAATGTGTTAAACTCATCCATCTCCTTTCCGATAACATAAGGGCGTTAATTTTTCATATTTCATTTTCCAACAGGCCGATGACACGACAATTTTCCTTCGAGCCGCTCGATCTGGAAATCTCGAAAAAGTAATCGAATACCTCGACACGGATTTGGACATCAACACGGCCAACTCGGTAAGGGAAATAAGAATACGTTAAATATAAATAACGGGGCGGAGAATTTTTACAAATTTTCACATTAATCGACGCGCTTTTTTGGTTTTTTTGGCTCTCTTCAGAATGGTCTAAATGCTTTGCATTTAGCCTCGAAGGATGGCCACGTGGAGATCGTGACCGAACTCCTGAAGAGGGGAGCCAAGGTGGACTCGGCGACGAAGAAGGGGAACACCGCCTTGCACATAGCTTCTCTAGGTCGGTAAATCGATTTTTGATCTCCGGTTCTAGAAGATAAATTGCGACCATTTGCGACATTTCAGCCGGACAAGCGGAAATAGTTAATATCCTGCTGCAATATGGAGCCGCGGTGAACATTCAGTCCCAAAATGGGTTCACCCCTTTGTACATGGCGGCTCAAGAAAACCACGACCACGTCGTGAAGATCCTCCTCAGCAACGGGGCCAACCAGAGTTTGGCGACGGAGGTTCGTACCCATCGTCGGGTAAAATCTCCAAAACGGAGATGTGGACCAGTTAAATTTTTTAGGATGGCTTTACACCTCTCGCCGTCGCCATGCAACAGGGCCACGACAAAGTCGTCAGCGTGTTGCTGGAGAACGACTCTAAGGGGAAGGTGCGACTCCCAGCGTTGCACATAGCTGCGAAAAAGGACGACTGCAAAGCCGCCGATCTACTTCTACAGGTGAGACGAGATGAGATTTTTCCCAATATCTGGCGGTATCCAGAACCTGTATCGTTTGCATTCTCTCAGAACGACCACAAACCAGACGTCACCTCCAAAAGTGGCTTCACGCCCCTTCATATTGCCGCCCACTATGGGAACGAGGAGATCGCTCGTTTGCTCATCAAGAAAGGTGCCGACGTGAATTACCTGGCGAAGGTATTCTTCGAGTTCATTGAAAGCGACCCTTTGTACCTCGGCACTCGAGGCCGTGGATTTTAATATTAATCTTCTCGACAGCACAACATCAGTCCCCTGCACGTTGCAGCAAAATGGGGCAAGAACAACATGGTAAAGATATTGTTGGAGAACTCGGCCATGATCGACGCCAAGACCCGGGATGGCTTGACACCTTTGCACTGCGCAGCAAGATCCGGCCACGAGGAGGTCGTCTCTACCTTGCTGGAACACTCGGCACCCATCAGTGCCCGCACTAAAGTATTCATTTAATAATCACTGCCAAGTTTTTTGAAAGACTCGGAAGGGACGTTGAAAACATCGTTTCAGAACGGTTTGGCACCCTTACACATGGCATCGCAGGGGGACCACGTGGAGGCTGCGAGAGTTCTGCTCTACCATCGAGCTCCCGTAGACGAGGTGACGATCGACTACCTGACGTCGCTCCATGTGGCAGCTCATTGCGGCCACGTGAGGGTGGCCAAATTGCTTTTGGACAGAAAGGCAGATCCGAATGCTCGGGCCCTGAATGGGTTCACGCCTCTGCACATCGCGTGCAAGAAGAATCGAATCAAGGTCGTCGAGTTGTTGTTGAAGCACGGCGCTTCCATCGAGTCCACCACCGAGGTAATCGCCGGCACGTTTTGGCCCCTCAAATTGTCCGCAAAACCACCGGCAGTTTAGCCATGTACTTTTGCAACTTACAAGGAAGGTACCTGAGGTGTCCCCCTCCGATTTTGTTCATTTTTAAATATGTTATGGAGGACTAAAATCTAAGGGACCCGTGTTTTTTTTTTTAATCGGCGGACAAATACTTTTAGGGGGTGAAATCAGGCTTCAAAGTTGGCCCTTCAAGGGGGTGAGTTGGCTGTTTCATATAGAAGCACTCGACCGATTTTCATGAAAAAACCGTCAAAATGTAGGGAATGAAGAATTATGAAACGTGCATTTGGAATTTTTCGAAAAAGAGCAATTACTGCTCGCATAAGGGGTAAAAGAAGTATTCAAAGGGGTGGCTCACCCCTTAAAAATGAATTTTTTCGAAAAATTCCAAATGTTTCATAATTCTTCATTCCCTACATTTTGACGTTTGTTTCATGAAAATCGGTTGAGTGCTTCTACATGAAACAGCCAACTCACCCCCATGCACGGCCAACGTTGAAGCCTGATTTCACCCCCTAAAAGTATTTATCCGCCGTTAAAAAAAAAACACGGGTCCCTTAGATTTTAGTCCTCTATGACATATTTAAAAATGAACAAAATCGGAGGTTGACACCTCAGGTACCTTCCTCGTTAGAGAATCTGACCTCGCCTCTGAAAATTTAAACCGAACTAAAGGGTTGCACCACGATGGAAGTGTAGAAGAAAAAAAAAAACAAACAAAAAAATAGGATTTTCTTTTATGAATTTTTTACCGATAGATTCTACTTTCAAAGGTCAGTGCTCGTGCCTCTCTTTTAGCGTTGGGTGATGATTCCTATGTGTTGCCTTTAACGAGATAAATTAAATAAAGAAATAATAATCGAGTAATGCAGACTGGTTAACGGGTCATGTTATTTAATAGAGTATGTTCGGGATACGGTTTACCGATTGAACATTGTATGCCGTACGATATATGAGTTAATCGAATACACGTGTATTTTACAGTCCGGGCTAACTCCGTTACATGTGGCCAGTTTTATGGGATGCATGAATATCGTGATATTCCTACTCCAGCACGAAGCCAATCCCGACGTGCCAACGGTAAGGGGTGAAACGCCCTTACATCTAGCGGCTAGAGCCAATCAAACCGATATTATTCGAATTTTACTCAGAAACGGAGCCAAAGTCGATGCTCGGGCAAGGGTAAGTAGAGCGCTGTTAACTGTCGGTAATGAAAACGTCGAAGATAAATTATACCGAGTCCGAGATCCATCCATTGACACCAGAATTCGTGCACAACTTTTGCTAACTATATCTCGGTAATGACACGTATGGAACATTATAAATGTCGAAAGATTTTCCTTGGATCTATCTTGAACTCGTCTACTTCCACTCGACATTATTCCCTGGATTCACTTGATCGATAATCATTGGTTCCTCATCTATCATTGCCACGAGACACGAGTATCGCATTGCAATTAAATGCATGAACCATTAACCAGTCTTTCTCTCACTTTTTCTGCCGATTCCCTCACTTTTTCTCACTGGTCCAAAAGTTATATCAGGAAACATTTCTATCTCTGAACCTGAAGAAGAAAAATGTCTTATTGATCTCGTGAAACCATTATCTGTTAACTGATAAGCAAATGGATATTCTCAAATGGAAATTCCATCTGTCTCGGAAATACGGCCATTTAATCATTAATTCTGTTTTATTATTTAATGCTCCTCTTTCTCGATTGGTCACACGATTCCATTAAATCAGAATTTTCATCCGAGGATCGATAATCTACCGGATGGGTTTTGAATAATTTCTGTTCTTTTGGATAAATTAATTTGAATCGACGTCGATATTTCAGGAGCAACAAACTCCACTGCACATAGCCTCGAGACTGGGAAACATTGATATTGTCATGTTACTTTTGCAACATGGAGCTGCTGTTGACACTACCACGAAAGATATGTACACTGCTTTGCATATTGCTGCCAAAGAAGGCCAGGAGGAGGTAACGTACAAAGAAATTTCTAAAATCGCCGATTACATCAACGCTCAAAATAGGATTTACCTGTTTTGGACACGACATCGTGAATACCTAATATAGTCCCCTTAAAATCCGAATCCTCCAGTTCTTTTTTTTTTTTCCCATTGAATGTACACCTCCCTCATGTATTTCTTATAATTTTATAATTGGTTAATAAATTCTTTACTTATGTTCGTTACTCCCCCTAGTTCAGTTACTATTCGTAGTTTCTCTAGATGTATTTTGACATTAGACTAGACGAACGAGAACCGTACTTTAAGTATTATTTTCCACACACTCGAATTATTCGTTGTAGTGTAGAAAAGTGTTCTCGTTAAAGTGTACGTGTCAAGCTATTGTTTAGAAAATAAAGGTAAGCTCAAAGATGTGATTACTGCAGATACAGCACGTGGTGTCGATCTTCTTTACCAAATTATCTATTACGAATGATATCTTGGAATACCTTCTAATTAAACACTTTATATAAGCCAATAACTTTTCCTCTGGGTCTGGGAGTGAACTAACAAATTTAATGTACTAAAATTATTAATCTACGAAATGAGAGCTTGAGTAATTAATAACATTTCCAAGAGTCTTTGCGGTAGTTCGTGAAATTGCAGTCTGCGCACTAATTGCTTGAACGAAAACGTGGATTTCTTTTGAATGTCACCACTAGAGAGATATGTAAACCTAATTTGCATATTCCACACAGGTGGCATCGATACTCGTGGAAAACAATGCATCCGTAAAAGCAACCACAAAAAACGGATTTACCCCACTGCACATCGCAGCGAAATACGGGAATATAAACGTGGCAAAAATACTTTTGCAAAAGGAGAGCAAAATCGACGCCCAAGGAAAGGTATTTCGGTTCTTGAAATTCCTTATATTACGCGGGGGCAAGTTAATATTTCACGAAAAATATTTAACAAATTCCCAGAACGACATCACACCTCTGCACATGGCATGTCATTACGATCATCCGAGTGTCGTAACTCTATTGTTAGAAAAAGGTGCTTCACCTCACGTAAAGTCTCAAAATGGACACACACCGTTGCACATCGCAGCTCGGAAAAATCAGGTGAGCCTGCAAAAGGAATTCTAATGAGAGAGAATACACAAATATAACAATGCTATCCTAATTTTTCATCTAACAGATGGACATAGCCACTACTTTGCTGGAGCACGGAGCAAATGCGAACATTGAATCTAAGGCAGGATTCACCCCTTTGCATCTAAGTGCTCAAAAGGGACATTACGACATGACAAGTTTGCTCATAGAACACGGAGCCGATCCCAACCACAGAGCCAAGGTACGGCCACCTCCAAAATAAACGATATTCCTCAAAATTAAGAGTATTCTGGATGTTTAATATTTTTTCTTTCTTTTTTTTTTTTAATCGCTATCACGTCTATAAAATGTATAGTGCAATCGGCTAAATGGCTGTTAATCATTTTCCATTGGGTATTTCATACACGTTTATCGTTTAATATAGAATGGCCTCACTGCCATGCACCTGTGTGCTCAAGAGGACTTCGTCAGAGTAGCAGCGATCCTCGTGAAAAGTGGTGCAAATATCGAGAGCCAGACGGAAACCGGGTACAGGCCGATCCACGTGGCCTCTCATTTTGGAAATCTGTCGATGATTCGATTCCTGCTCAAGCATAACGCCGAGATCGACGTCAAGACCAATCAGAATTATACACCTTTGCACCAAGCGGCCCAGCAGGGCCACGCACACGTTGCATCGGCTTTAATAGACGGTGTCGCTTCCCACAAGGCTCGTACGAACGTAAGGAAAAAAAAAAAGTGTTTCATAAAATGTCAAAAGAAAATTGCGAGGTTGGAAATTATAGGTGGAATGAAAAAAAGTAATTCTTTGGATTTAATCAGGACGGGTTGACTGCACTGAATATCGCTCAAAAACTAGGGTATATATCTGTAATGGAGGTTCTGAAAGGACTGCCCTACGACAACGTCACTCCTGACAATAAAAACTGGGAAGAAAAGTACAAAGTAATAGCGCCCGAGAGCCTCCAGGAAACGGACTTCATGTCCGACTCCGACGACGAAGGAGGTAAGAATTATGCTTGGAAGTGAAACTTCAAAACTAATCAAATTCTAAAGAGACAGATTATTTATATCATTAATTATTCTCTCACTTTTATTACGGCCAGAGGGAGAATGTGCGAATTGAAATTGACAATTAAGATGTTTCGCAGGTTCGGACGCCTTGATAAGCGAACAGCCTTATCGATATCTCACGGCGGACTTGATGAAGAGCCTGAGAGACGATTCTCTACCGATCGACGTAACCAGAGACGATCCGATTCACCGGCAAGGTAGTTGAAATTCAATGACCAAACATTGAGTCATACCGATTAAACGCCATTTCGTATGTTCCAGTCTCGAAAGAAGAGAAGCAGGAATTCGTGCAGAGCAACAACTACTGCTTGGCGGAGAATTTCGACATGCAAGATAGCATGAATTTGGGGTACGTCTTTTCGATTTCGCATAGACGAGATCAAGATATCTAGCTGTTTTGCATGAGTTTGCTATTGCTGAACGTAGATCACACTTCAGGGCCAAGTCTACTCCAAGTCACGTGGGAGTTACGTAAAGGGAAAGACCTTGGATAGATGATGAGCCCTTTAAATCCCCGACACCCCCGGAGAGAAATCACTTTCACTTATCGAGCCCCAGCATACACGGCATGCGAACATAGAACGATGCAAACCCCCCAGATAGAGAGCCCTTTTTGAATTTCATTTTCATTTTCAGGAGGCTGCACTTCAAATCGTAAGTTCCATACATGTGGTCATGTCGTACCGTCCTTGTATTCGTTGTTAAAAATAGAGGAACAAGTTATGGAAATTACATCCGACGTCTAGATCGTTGTCTGTTGGATGGGTCGTTAAGAATATTCATGTTTGTAGATTTTTGGTCAGCTTCTTGGTCGACGCTCGTGGAGGAGCCATGAAGGGCTGCAGACACAGCGGCATCAGGATCATTATTCCACCCCGAAGAGCAACTATGCCGATTCGTGTGACTTGTAGACTGGTAAAGCCCAGCAAGGTCTCGAATCCTCCGCCATTGATGGAAGGAGAGGCTTTGGCGACTCGTATCATAGAAATGGGCCCAGTTGCGGCGACATTTTTAGGGTACGTTCTATTGGGTCGTTTGATCATTCACACGAGTTCGTAAATTAAAAAAAAAATGTATCTTCTGCTGCGAAATGAACTACGTATTAATTAACCGTTTGAGTCCCAGGCAGCGCGATCGCGCTGTTCAGATTTTATGTAGAGAAAATCCAGCACATTTCGAGCGTTGTGGACAACTGACGGTGCGTCACCGATTGTCAAAGTCGCTCAGATTCACTGACCCAAGTACATTACACAGCTCCTTCTTTTAACCTCTTAACTTACAATATCGTATGAGAGACGTGGTATGTCAATCGGGCCAAATGTAAACAAAACGTGTGAGAGACATGGTATGTCAATCGGGCCAAATGTAAACAAAACGTCTGAGAGACGTGGTATGTCAATCGGGCCAAATGTAAACAAAACGTATGAGAAGTTACGTTCAGCCAAACCGTGAAATGGGCCGAAGTATGACCGACACTCTTGTTGTTTATGGCACGCGCTGTTGGAATTTAAATCGTAACGCAAGGGGTTAATGTAAATAATACATCTTACAATTCAAGAAACGCTATCGCGCCGAGTGGGATTCATCGACATAAAATAAACAAAGCGCTATCGCGCTGCTTGGGTCTTCTCGTATTCATTTAGAGAAAGCGCGATTGCGCTGTTCGGGATTCTTCGATTTTCAATACCCCCTAGGACTCAAACGGTTAATAATGTACTCTCTGTGAAGTGACTCGTGTCATAGAAATGGGCCCGGTTGCGGCGACATTTTTTGGGTACATTAGGAGACATCAATGCCCTCCCATCCTGCACAGGCGATGCCGTATTTACAGAGGAGGAATTTATGTCCGTCATTGTACGTCTTAAAGGGTCGTTTAATAAATTCGCGGACAAGTTTGCAAATTTAAGGGGATGTGAAAGTGGCATCTGAGGGGTCGATCGTTCATGAAACTTTTCTGCAAATAGGGTGTACCGAGTAATCCACTTGTTAGACCCAAACGGGTCTTTACTAGAAATGTAGAAAACGATGCAATGTCTCGTTCTTGCGTATTTTAGGCCAGTCCTAATCGACATCCCTCACTTCGCATCCATCCCGGGTAAGGAGAGAGAAATCATTATACTGAGAAGCGAAAATGGAGAAACTTGGAAAGAGCACGACAATTCTGCCGACAATGACGACACCCTGTTAAATACACCACATGGTAATTATTCCATAGTCCTTCAGCAATGTCAATAATGTCTAATATTTATGTACAAAAGGTAAGATTGAATTTTAATCGGTAATTTGTAACAGACCCCCAGATGAGCGCGGCATATTCGGGTAGGATTACGAGAATAATAACGACAAATTTCCCGCAATATTTCGCGATCCTGACGAGAATTAAACAAGAGGTGCATGTCATCGGCGCAGAGGGAGGAATATTGATATCGAGTGTTGTTAGCCATGTTCAGGCAGTTTTTCCACCAGGAGCATTGACCAAGAAAATTAAAGTCGGCCTGCAAGTAAGCGATCCTTTTGTCAATTTAATCTAAACGATATAGGTAACCGTTTGGGCTATTTCATTTCTTTAATTCCAGGCTAGGGTGATTCCGGCGGAACTCACTGCGAAGCTTCTTGGAAATTGCGTTGCAGTTTCCCCGGTAATTACCATAGAACCCAGAAGGAGAAAATTCCATAAGCCCATCACTTTGACCATTCCTGTACCACAAGCTGCCAACAAGGGGATGATTAATCAGTACGGAGGGGAAACACCTACGTTACGTCTGTTATGCAGTATCGCTGGTATACATATCTACATGTTTCTATGACCGAGCAAATATTTAGACCATTCAGCTACGTCTTGATTCGCATAGTAAAAATGAGAAGTAAATTAGTGCTGAGCAACTTGACTATTGTTTCAAGGGGGTACGAGCGAAACGCAATGGGAAGATGTCACAGGGTCCACGCCATTAACTTTCATGAACGATCGGGTATCCTTCACAACGACAGTTTCGGCAAGATTTTGGCTGATGGATTGTAGAAATATTAGCGAAGTTCCGAAAATGGCCATGGACCTGTACAGAGAGTCTCTTTATGTACCATTCATCACGAAGTGAGTATGCCTTGTTAGAAAAAATTTCCTAGCACGTGAAATATTGTTCTTACATTCTTTTAATTGACCTATGACAATGTGACGATAAAATCTGAGTTTCTTCCAGCTTTGTCATTTACGCGAAAAGAGTGGACGTACTCGAAGCTACTCTACGAATATTATGTATGACCGACGGTAAGGAAGGAATACATACTCTAGAAAAGCAAGAAGAATTTCTGGAGATCGTGAAGAGTCGCGATGTCGAAGTGAGTGTTCGTCAAGATTTCCTTCTCACTAGAATACAATAAAAAAGATGTGACCTGTATTTTTAACTCATAAATTGAATTATGGATTAATTCAGAAGTTGATACGTTAATTCTAGGCTCTGGATGGCAAAGACCTTTACATAGAATTCAGTGGGAATCTGGTACCAGTCATGAAATCCGGAGTGCAATTAAAATTCACTTTCAAAGCGTTCCGGCAAAACAGATTGTCATTTTGCGTCAAAGTTAAGGACACTTTGTTGGATCCCGTTGCAAGGATGCTCTTCATGAAGGAGCCCAAAGTGGCCAAGGGAGAGCCGCCCCAACAACCGATTTGCATATTGAACATTGTCCTTCCAGAAATAAGGAGGAATATCGAGATTGAAGATAAATTGAAAGGTAAGTCCGGCCAGGCCGGTTTAAAAGCGTTCACATTTCCGCGGTAAAATATTTTTATGTCCAAAGTTATGCTGAAAAAAAGAAAAAGAAAAAAAAATTAACAAGTATCCGTGCCTATTATAGAAATGGAAGACTCGAACGTGATCAGCCATAAGCTGGATTCGCTTAAATCAAAGTACCACGAAGAGCATAAAGAGAAATTCGACGAGCCTAAACCCACGACATCCCCGATGGAGCAAAAGTTTATCACCGACACTTTGGAAAAGGAACAAACAGGTAAGATTTTAAATAATTTCTCCCATTTGACATAACGCTTACGCAAGACCTTTAATAGTTTCGATATTTGCATAAATCCCCTCCCCCAAGAGGTATGCAAGGAAATGAATTATCAGCAAAATTCCAAAGCAGATAAACAAAAAAAAAACCGAAGACAAGGGTGCGTGCATTCGAAGATGATATGGAGAATTGATACAATAAATTGGAAAATAAATTCCACCGTTCCAGGACCCGCGAAAAACGTTCCTGCAAATAAACAATTCGTCCTCTGACATAATATACTAACAAATCCGTAAATGATGCAATGATAAAAAAAAATAGACGGAGACGTCGTACATAAAAAAATTGATTCCGCGAGGAACAGGACCAAAGTCAACAATTGGGACATAATTACAAAAAGAAAAAAAGAAATACGGTCTTAACATCGGCTAAAGGCAATCAATTTTAAACAGTCGGATTAACCGAGAATTACATCCCGTCCAATCGATTGATTTCCAGTAATTTGTTCCTCTCTCGTTTTCATTTAAAGGGAGAATGAATCCACTTATGGCTTGAGAATAATATATGGCTTCACAAATTCAATTACGCGTAAGAGCATCAACAAATGCTGGTAGAGCTACGTTGGACTTCTTAGTTAGAAGCAGAATATCAACGAAGGACAGCCCGACTGCCAATGGGGAATCGGTTTAGGGTAGCTCGCATAGATTCCCGAACGTGAGTTACCAAAAAGCAAAGAAACCGTATCAAACGAATTTCCTTTCGCCTCGTTCTCAGCAGACCCGCCTAAAATCCCTTCCCTCACTTCTCTCACTTTTCAGTTTCAGGTCCTTTTAAGTTCCTAAACGCTAAACACTCGGTAATTTAAACCCCACGAACCGGTGAGAATGGAAAATCCGGTGAGCGAAGACCAGGGCGAAAAGCTCGAAGGGTCGGAGCAGGCGAACCTCCAAGAGGCCTCGAAGACGAATCCGGTGAACGGGTCCGAGAAGAGGGCCCAGCTGAGTCCCGGAAAGTCGAAGAGCGAGGGGTCAGGAGGGGCGAAGCCTAAACGCAAATCCAGGTCCACCAGGAGGAGGTTGAACGCGATGATAAGCAACACTTCGTTGCACTTCTCCGACACGGACTCCGAGGGGGAGCTGATGCTGATCAGCACCCGGATGAGAAGCTTGAGCCCGATCAAGGCCACCGCCGTCCAGGAGGGCCCGGTTAACCAGGTGAATCCGACCATCTCGGTGACCTCGGAGGACGTCGACGAGAGCGTAGAGAAGAACGTAAATTTCAACGGGCTCGGCGACAGAAGAGGCAGCAGGAGGGGCAGCTTCATCGAGAACCTGACGGACGTCGACGAGATCTACGCGAGCGACCCTGAAAACACAGAGAGCGGTAAAGACGGCCAGGGGAAATTGAAGGTGCAGGACGGTCCCTGCCAGGGCGAGACTGACCTCGAAGACATGTCCAACGACGAGGCCGAAGAGCAGTCCTTGATTTACGTGGCGCCCAGGGCGGACATCTTCACGGACTTCAACGGCGAGACTATCACCACGAAAGAGGGAGATGGGCCATTTTCTATCGAAGTTAGAAATCAGATGTCGCTGGTAGTGGCGAGTGTTGCCGGTACCGAGGCTTCCGGGACTCCCGATATCCTCGTCCTGCCGAACACCGATAGCGAGGACATGGACGCTTCCGACGAGGAGGGCCTGGAAGAGAATGCCTGCGGATTGAGAGAGGTTCTCGAGGACTTCGACGTCACCACCGCCTCGCAGATCGTCATGAGGAACGTCAATAAAATGGAGAGTCTGTTGGCCGTTGGAGCAGTCGCCGAGGATGCCATTGGCGACAGCCACACCGACATCGAGGACGTGGACTAAACCTTTGGAGGGAATTGCCAAATTGAGAAGACCTGGACGACAAAAGGCCGGAAAAGAGTCGAACGACCTCGCGACTGCGTCATTAAATGCCTTTCATCGGTCCATTGATCAGTATTATAAAAAAGCTGCACCGATAGTCCTTCGAGTATAAGCCGAAGGAAGCAAGAAGTAACCTCAGACATTGGCACCGTCACCCTCATTGATTACATTAACGTTAATCACAAAACTTCAAAAGCACGTTCCCACGTAATACCTAATAGTGAACCCTAAAATAAAATGTACAAAATGGGAAATTCGAAGAATAAAATGGTGGCCGAGTAAAGTATTAACGACCCCCGACAAATTTAGAGTACCACGACCTAGGATAACGCAGAGTTAAAGAAACGTTCAAGAGACCAAAACCCCCACGTCGCGTTGTTTACATAATATTCATGAATTTACGGACAAATCTTATAATCGCGATTCCGCGTCTCACTCAAAACGAATCCCGCGTAAAGAATAACGAGCAGAGCTAAAACGCATCGACTGGTGAAATCTCTTTCCGTCGAAAAAAAAAAAAAAGAATTGAAAATAAAATAATAATACCATAAAAACAATCGCTTAACCGACTATTAATTTCTAGAGTGCGACGAGCGATGGGATAAATCTAAACGATGTGTAACGATTCTTGCAGACAGGTCTGTCGTCCTCAACATTGTCATAGACAACCGTATGGACTATTAGTCAAATCCGATACCCCGAGTACATAGCATACCTTCGAAAAAGAGAGTACATATATATATATATCTATCAATATATACGATAAACTATCTATAAAGCGCGAATGCGAGCACCACGATTAGCAACGTCCTCGGCTAGGACCGAAATTCTGTGTAAATAGGAAAAGAGAGTCGCTTGTCTGAGAGAGCCAGTCCAAGACCAGACATGTACCGACGATGTATCCAGGTGTTGTCCCAATAAAAAGTAATACGGAGGTAATTCTTGGTTGTTCTAGATGCCGCTACTATCCACGAATCCCTTGCACAAAAAGCGGCTTGTCCCGTAGAATCCGTAGATGCTAGTTATCCCAATAAAGCAGGCGCCCAGGATGAGGTGGCCGAGAAGCAGACGTATATGGAGAAGCGCAGGTTCTGGGAGGATATCACCAAGAAGAGGGAGAGTTATCAGCGGTCCGAGTCCGAGGTCTCCAGGACGAGTCAGCTGACCATCAACGAGAGCGACAGCGAGTGTCTGCAGAACGCGGTCTCCGAGGAGGAGACCGAGGCCGTTTCGGAGAAGTCCGAAGTGATCGTTTCGGAAAGATCCGAAGTGGCGATGTCGGATAAGTCCGAAATGATCGTTTCGGAAAGATCCGAAGTGGCGATGTCGGAGAAGTCTGAAGTGGCGATGTCGGAGAAGTCTGAAGTGGCCATGTCGGAGAAGTCTGAAGTGGCCATGTCGGAGAAGTCTGAAGTGGCCATGTCGGAGAAGTCCGAAGTGGCGATGTCGGAGAAGTCCGAAGTGGCGTTGTCGGAGAAGTCCGAGGTTCCCGAAGATGCCAACGTCCCGGACATCTCGGAGTGCTCCGTGGCGGAGAAGGCGCACTATTTCGAGGAGCAGATCCAGAAGGAGATGTCCTTGGCCAGGACCACTCCAAAGGTGCAAACCCAAGAGTCTCTGAAGTCCAGGAAGACGTCCTCGGACAGCGAGAAACAGGTGGAGGAAGCCGCTTTTTTGGAGAGAAGATCCGAGGAAGTTATTGTAGAGAGAAAGAGTCCGAAGGAAGAAGTTGTGGACGTAAGTGCGAAGAGGGAGAGTCCGAAAGAAGAAGTTGTGGATGTAAGTGGAGAGCCCGAAAGAAGAAGTTGTGGATGTAAGTGTGAAGAAGGAGAGTCCGAAAGAAGAAGTTGTGGATGTAAGTGTGAAGAAGGAGAGCCTGAAAGAAGAAGTTCTGGATGTAAGTGCGAAGAGGGATAGTCCGAAAGAAGAAGTTGTGGATGTAAGTGCGAAGAAAGAGAGTCTGAAAGAAGAAGTTGTGGACATAAGTGCGAAGAAGGAGAGTCCGAAAGAAGAAGTGGATGTAAGTGCGAAGAGGGAGAGCCCGAAAGAAGAAGTTGTGGACATAAGTGAGAAGAAGGAGTGTCCGAAAGAAGAAGTTGTGGATGTAAGTGTGAAGAGGGAGAGTCCGAAAGAAGAAGTTGTGGACGTAAGTGCGAAGAGGAAGGAGGAGCTGAAGAAGGGCGAAGAGGCGAAGACTGTAATGCAGGCGTGCGAGGATTTGTTAACGGAAGAGAGGAAACTAGCAGAGCACATCATTGTTGCCGAAGTAGAGAGGAAGACAATTCAGAAATATGAAATTTCAAAGCAGGAAGAGGTCACATCGAAGAAGATATCATCCGATATCTCCTCGAAGAAAGACCTCCCTGAACGAGAAGAAGAGAGACCCGAAATCCTCGAAGAAAGGAGAACGACGCCAAAGGAAGAAGTTCCTTCGACTGTAAAGTTAGAGAAGTTGGATGTAGAAGAGGAGAAGGAACGCAAGCGGACTGAAGAAGAAACCCTAAAGACTGCCCAAGAACCAAGGGAAATTCCCACGGGTGAAGGTTCCTATATATCTAAGAAAACTAGAGACGAAGAGGACGACCGACAGCCGAAGAAGAAGGAGCACGAGTCACGGATTCCGATCTCGACCGCGATGGCGGAAAAGGAAAAGAGTCAGAAGCCAAAAGAAGAAGAAGAAGAAGCAAGGAAGACATCTTCCCCGGAAGAAAAATCACCAACGGACAAGCCTGACATTCAAGCGGTGGAGAAAAAGAAAGAATTTGAGTCTAGGATTCCGAAGAGGGTGACCGAGAAGTCGAAGACCGAGGAGAGGATCAGCGAGCACACCTCGACGACGAAGAGCAAGTCGGAGACGTTCTCGAAGACGTTCATGGGAGACCCGAAGGAGGCCTTCAAAATGTTCGAGGACATGGAGAAGCTGAAGCAGTCGGAGTTCGGCACGGTGACCTCGATAGTGGACCACACAGCCTCCGTCAGGAAGGAGAAGAGGGAGGTGATCTCTTCCGAGATCACCAGCGGCTCCGACAAGTTCATCTCCCACGAAGAGAAGGAGCACTTGGAAAAGAAGAAGTCCTCGGAGACCACCGTGACTAAAGAGTCGCCGACGGAGACCCTGAAAGAGACGGAAAGCAAGGTTAAAGAGTTGGACTCGCACGCTGTTCAAAAAACTGAATTAAACATAGCTGGGGGGAAAGAGATAATCGACGCGTCCGCGACGCAGAAAACAACGGAGACGAAGGAAAAACAATTGTTCAAGCAAATTGAGGACAAGACGGGTCTCCAGACAGAACTGGTGGGCGAGAGCAAGACGAAGGAAAGCGACGTCGGAGTCACCTTCAAAATTGAGAAGGACCTGACGAAGGACGAAAAGGACCTCGAAGACGAGGGACTCGGGGACGAGAGGAGCTCTCAACCGGAAACCGAGAAGTACGACGAGGGGAAGGAACGGAAAACGGAAGAGGTTTCTCGAAAAGAACTGCACAAAGAGAGCGTAGAAATCTCGGATGCGAAGAGCCACCTTGAAGAAGTCGGTCCCGAGAAAGTCGCCAGAAATGGCTTCGAGGGAGACGAAGAGACTCCAGAAACGTACGTCCCAGAGACCCTGGAAAAGAGGCAGAAGCAGCTGGTGCAGGAATTCGAGGTGCGCAACATCGCCGAGACCTTGATCCAGTCTATAGAGAACGAGATCGAGAAAAGATCTGTCCCTCCATCGAAAGACTCAGAGATCGTTGCTAAAACTACACTTGCGTCCGAATACCTGGAGTACATGGCAGGGGAGAAGAGGGATTCCGACTCCGAGCAGGACAAGTTGGCGGACAACCTGACGAGGAAGCTGGAGAACATGATGAAGAAGACCGAGCAGTCCAAGATCTCAGCCGAGGTCGAGAGACAGCAGCAGAAGGCGTCCGAAGAGGTCTTCGAGAAGGAGTCCACTAGGGACAGCATCAGTACCAGCGAGGACTTGACCCGCGACGAAGACTCCTCCAAGGACAAAGAAGAGAGCCTGGTTCACTCGTCTCAAGTCAGATTTCCAGACAGAGATATCACCATCAGTCCGAGCAGCATTTCCGACCAAATGGAGCTGGAGGAGTCAGCCGACCTGGAAATGGAAAAGAAATTAGAAAGAGAGGCCAGTAAAAAAATCAGCGGAGGAAGTTCCTTCGACTCGAAGGCCGGAGACATGAAATATGACGTGAGGATCCCGAAGGAGGCTGCGGTCTCCGAGATTTCTGGGGCCAGGGTCCTGGAAATTCTGGAACCAGAAGCGGACGATCGGTTGAGGCAAGATTCCATGGACGTATCTTCCATAGAGATCGATGAGCAGAAGGTTTCTGAAGACATCCTCAAGGACTTCCCAACAGCCCTGCCGGAGGACTTTGGGAAAGAGGTCACTCTGGCTTCTTCTTCAGACAGCAAGGAAGTGGACTCCAAGAAGTTGTCCCAGGATCGGGATATAACCTTCAGCCCCAGCACGGTCTCCGAACAAACCGATACCGACTTTTCTTTCGCTCAGGAACGGAAATTTCCGGACGCCCAGGAGGAGTTTGATAGGCCTGTGAGGAGGAGCGACAGTTTCGAGATCGAAAGTCCTCCTTTGGTCTCCCCGAAGTTGAAGGTCAAGGAGCTGGAAATAAAACCAGTTAACTGGATGATAGGAGACGAAAAGATCGAGATATCGGAGCCGCTTCAGCCTTCCCAGGCCTTCAATAAGGAGTTGGAAGAGCTGGAGCACCAGTCGACGGGTCAAAAAGGGATCAGCTCTTCAAGGTCTAATTTAGGGGCGGAAGAAGACATATCGAGGACCGAGGAAGAGGACATCGCCGAAGTCTTCGTGGAGAAAGCAAAACCTGTTCAGTTGAAGGAACTTATTAAGGTGACCAAGACGAAGTTCACGGTGACTCCAGTGAGCGAACAAGATTTAGAAAATGAACTGGTGGAGAATAAACTGGAAGTGAGTTGTCAGGAATTGGTGGACACTCTCCAGAAGGAGTACGAGGCCAAGACTCCTACGGATGACCAGATGATCCTCAAGGCCGCGGGTTTGTTAGGAAAGCAGGAAGCTGACGTAGAACCTGAAGAGAGAGAAAAATCGAAAATGGACGAGGAAACCAAGATGGAACAAGAAAAACCAAGGTTAGTCGAAGATATAAAGAAACTGACGGAGCAAGAAACTGCAAAGCTTATCTCTGAAGGAGTGTCGATCCTGACCGCTCACGAGACACCAAAATCAGTAGCTGAAGGGAAGTCAAAATCTGCTTATGAAGATGCTTCACATCTGAAAGAAGAGGCATCAAAGGTTGAAGCCGAAGATACATCAAAACCTACAGTTGAAGAGACGCCGACCTTGCCAGTCCAAGAAGAAGCAAAACTGAAAGCTGAAAAAGAAGAAGCGCTATCCGTGACGCAGGAAAAGTCAAAATCAAAGACCGAAGATACCGCTGGAAAGCCTGAAGAGGACGTTAAGGATTCCGCAGAAGTAGAGGGGAGCAAACCGAAAGTTAAACCAAAAGAAGTAACGGAGAAAGAGCCGCCGAGGGAATTAGTAACGCCAAGAATTGGCCACAAATCGGGGGATGAGTCAAAGGGCAGCGTGAAGTTCCGGGGTTTAGAGAAACTGACTGAAAAGCGGGATAAACAAGGCCACTCTTCGGTTCCTTCCGACACCAGTGCCTTCAAAATGAAGAAGGAAGATATGCCGAGCGTCGACCTAAGTGCTCGTTACGCCATCACAGTCCTAGACCAAGTAGTGAAGAAGGAAATCGCCGAAGTGAAGGAATCCCTGGAGGCCGCGAAGCAGGACTTGATAGAAGAGCTGAGCGAGGGCACCGAGGGTATTTTCCAGATCAAAGATTCTCCCTCGGAGTTCCAATTCAAGCTACAACCAGAGTCCATCCCAAATGACTTGCCACTTTTGTATAAACCGCCCTCGCAGGAGCAGGAAGTCGAGCAGGTCGAAGGTGAACCGGCAGCTTCGACGTCGCCAGTCGCGAAGCCCAGAACGAAGCACGCCGAGTCGCAGGAAGAGTCGAAATCTGCCGAAAAAGTGGAGGTCGAGGAGTCCACGGAAGATAACTCCGGGTCCGAGGTACTTATTAAAACAGAAAAGGCTGATGAAGAAACTCAAATTACCGTCCAAGCAGAAGCTGAAGAGGCCCAAGCTGGTCCCACGGCAGCCAGTAGGTCCAGCTCGGACGTAGAAAATAAGGACGACAGCTTCTCGTTGCTGTTACCTCAACCGGTACCCAGGAGGAGGCAGAAGCCCTCCAGGGTGTCCAAGAAGATCACTTCGGAAAGCGAAGCTGAAATGGGTTCCAGCTCTGGGGAGAGCAGCAATTATCAGTCCTGCGAGTACGATATAGGAAGTGGAAGTAGACCCAGCTCTTCGGACATAGAACAGTTGCAGTCCGGACTGCCTTCTGCTACGGTCTCAGAGTATGAGACCGCTCTGATGTCCATCGATCAATCCGCTGGGTCTAGACCTACCTCTCAGGAATATCAAACCGCAGCCAGTACTTTGAGCTCCAGGGAGTCCATAAAGTCGCTGAACTCTTTGAGCTCGGGACACCTGGGTAGCATCGATAGTACCAGTGAACACTCCGAAACTCTGGTTCCTTCGGAAGCTGACATAGACAAGGATGTCATTGAAGAAAATCTGGAGTGTGCTTTGGAGGAGGATCATGCAGCCAGCATGTTCGATGCACCCAGGAGCTCGGACTCTACGGAGTGTGAAATTCCCTTGAGCGATGATTTCATCGAACCCCTCGAAGACACTCCATGCAGGATGAAGAGGTCTTCGGAGATGCTCTTCCAAGAGATTACGGAAGCTACCGGTGGATTTGATGACTCCTTGGATAAAATAGAAGATCTGGAGGCAAAGGGCACCGATACTGCCACTTCCATTGGCGCTCCACTTTCTGGGGACGTTGAGTCCGTAGATATAATGACTTCTTCTGTAAACGAAGATGGTATTCAAAGTGTTGGTACTCAAGTCATTTCTAGAGAGACAGCGAAAGAAACCGACGAAAGTATACTCCGTCAGGGTAGGTATCCTTTTAACAAACTGACCTATATAATTAACATTACGGAGATCATCTCGTCAAAAAAAGTAACCGTCATAGATAAAGCGATAGCGAGTCTGATTACAAATAAGAAATGGGAGGTTTAAAAAAATTGATTTTTTACAATGACAAAATTCGACGAGACAGTCCCCGTAAATTTTTACTAATATTTTGAACGAGATCAATCGACGTTACTTTATAAACTTGATATTAATTGTGTTTGATATACCATGTTCCTCGAACAGATTCCAAAGAAGAGACTCAAGACGATGGAATCCTGGCATCGGAGACTGATACATCGGAGCCCAAATTAACTGGATCAGAGGATGTCGCAGGAAGTTTGGATGCGATGCAATCCTCCACTCTATCAATGGCACAGCAAGCCAGCATGTCAACCTCTTCGATGTCTGGAGTATCGGTAGACACCGTAGTGGAAAAAGAAAAGTCAGACCGTCACTCACCGGACAGTGATTCCTTCGAGCTGGTTGACAAACCAGGTATTATAGACGACTTCGTGGTCGTAGAAGAAGTGGGTAAAGAGGCCGAAGAGTTCGACTCGGAAGGAAAAAGTATCCGTATAGGTTCGTTACCTCATGCCATGAACAAGAATTTCGACAGAGATTTAGAGAACCTGATAGCAGAGAAGAAAGAGGACGTCCCAGTAACAGGTAGCCAGGTGTCGAGGACTAATGAGCTCTTCGACTTCGAGTCCGAAGAGAGTCCACCTCAGGCTTCGAACGATGATCAGTATTCTCAGTCATACTCCGATGAAGAACAAGGCGAGGGTGGCAAGAAGTGGATCGAGATGCAGCTTCAAAACGAGCCTCCTCTCTACGACATAGAGTACGATAGAGGTCCCCTGGAAGATATTAAAGAAGAAGAGATAACGGACTTCGAGGTTGGCAGCAGCAGATTTGGGAGCCTGGGAAGTCACAAAGAGTCCATCGGTAGTGTAGGTAGCATGCGTGGTAGTTACGGCAGCACCCCGGATTACGATGTCTTGGCAGGGAAGAAATATTTCAGCAAGTCTTCCGAGCACGATAACGTTTCATTGAGCTCTCTTCAGGAATTCGAACACCTGGAGAGCACCATCGCCATGGAGAACGCCAAGAAGTACCAGTGTGGCTCCCAGGATTCCAGTAATGGCAGTTTGCCCAGAAGATACGCGACGAGTCGTTCCGGCCACGGAGACGACATCTCTCTATCCTCCCTGAAGGACTTCGAGGGCTTGGAGACAGCCTGTCGAGAAGCTCATCTCTTCGAACTGCGAGCGAGAGAAGAGGAGGATTTGCTCGACCATGAGAGTCCTGAAAATAGATACAAGTTAGAAAATATACCAAGAACAAAGGCAGATACTAGTATGGTTGGTTCGTTCAATCCAAGCACCTCTGGCTCCGATGATTACGAGAAGAGAATTAAAGAGATAGATGAGATCATACGCATAGCTCAGTCTAATGTCGAAAAATTGGAAAGACAGGATGACACGACGGAGGATATTTCGCAGATTGAAATTACTGATATCGAGAAGTGTGAACCAGGCAGCGCACCTGTTCAAGTTGAAATCGATGCTCAGTGTCTTAGGGAAGGGAACATTATGGAGACTAGCACGGACTCTTTAGAACTAGACGATCAGATAGATAAGAAACGCCATCCACTTTGTAGAAGTTCCGACTCACTAGAAATGAAAACCACTCTCGATTATCCGTCTCTAAGCTCAGATTCGCTAAATAATGTGAGAGATGCTAGGGAAGCTCAATTAGATGGGGCAGATAGGTATAATGGTGCACGCCGCATTTCTTCGGATTCCTTGGATATGCCTTTTGCGGAGCAGCAGGAACAAGGAGGCGCCGAAAGCAATAGCAATTATTCGGACAGGGCTACTGCAGACAGCTCTGCTGAACAAGGGTCTTCGATGGATCCAAGCGGAACAAGTAACGGGAAGACGAAATCGCCTTCGACTGCTGATACGTAAAAAGGCTCTTTTGGTAAGTACTCACCTGTAATCAATGTCGTAAATGAACAAAATACATAAACTTGGGCTCGTTGTTAAGTTTACATCTCTTGTTACAGCTAGCAGGCTATTGTGATTTATTATCGTGACTGCGTCATTTTATTAAAGACGGAAGAAGCTTTTGCATGTGAAACATATGACTAACGCAATGAGAAAGTTACACATGGAAAATGTACAAGATTTTATTACACTCTGCTTTAATTTGTATCGTGTCTTCTACGAACGTTTATAACATAATTATACCGATGAATACTCTAGTTATGAACTTCAGAATATAAAATTGTTGTGCAAATGAAGCGATGGTTGAAGAAGAAGCAGTTGCCTGTTGTAATATTATATCTGTACTGATATTCTTATGGAAATTATCGATGTACTTGTTTACAATTGTATGGGTCTTTCTCTTGATTATTTAACATTTTGATATATTTTATGTTGCCTTTATAAATTTATATTTTCAGTGCTATCTACATATTTGACATGTATGATAATAATGCTGTATTAAAGTGACATGTTTTGTAAACATTTCAATTTCATAGTGTATACATTGTCCTTATGCCCCTTAATTTATAACAAGGTCATAAGGGGTAATTCAAATAGAGGACTATGTAGTTAATGAAAAAAAAAAATTATTGAAAATAAGCAACAATTACGAATCTCCTCGTGCTCGTTCTTGTCATGGACTACCAGTAATTGATTAGAATCGAAGCAATGTAGCCACAAGGGGGGAATATTTTGTTAACATCTATTTCGAAGAAGTAAGTCTCTATTCCGACTACATCAGCCGTCTTAAAAATGTCTTTCACACGTGTGGGATGGGGTTAAGCATCTTAACAGTATTTTAATACAAAATAAATGATGCCGCCCCAAATATTGCAAATGTCTAAATTAAGAAATAACGTAAAAAAGAAGTAACGCTTTTAATGAAAGTATCTCTTTATACTTTCTTTGTATTAAAGAAAAATGAAACGTACTTTTACCGTTGAAAAGAAATCCAATTGTACTTCGGTATTGCTCGTATTTTAAGTACTTACTGCTAGTAGTCGACACGGGTATTCAGCCAATAAGTAGATTACTTCACACGTTATCCTCTTAGAAAAACTTAATAACTGTCAGTTGTAAAAGCACAATAGGAATTACACAAAGAGATCTATTCGGAGATTTGACGTTCGAAACCGTTGAAAAAAACAAAATCAACTAGTAAACCGCGCCATTAAGCCGGAAGTACGATGAGCGAATTGCAGAGGGCGCAGCGTCTGCGGCGTCGACCGAGAACCAATCAAAATCGTGACGGGAAGACTCACGTGGTCAAGTGTAGTTCTGAGTGGCTGTTAATTCTCGATGCGTGCGCCGCCGTTAGAATTTACAAACTTTTGTGAATGTATACTAGGCAGATATTGCATCGACTGGCAACAGTAAATCCAATTTTTTATTCGAATTTAGAGAATGGCAATCATTCCAGACGATGATTTTAATTTTAGTCAATGCATATCTTGATTTTAAAAAGGGAAGGAGATGCGACAATTTTAGCTGACATTGTTAACGCAAGATGGAGCCACGGAGCCTTTTAAAATCGCAGGCACGGTACAAGACAGATGCGGGTCTTCCAATTTTCTATTTATGATAAATTAAACATTTTTAGACGATTATTAAAATTGGCCAATAATTAAACAGGAAGAATTTGATTTTTGGACTTTATTTATAAAATATGAAACAGATTGTTTTCATTTTACGAGTATTATCGACTCAATTTCCTTAGCATGTGTTCGGTGTCGAATGTTCCTATTGAATAAACAATGACAATGTCAGTCACGTGTTCGACATTGCAACGCTAGTCGCAATGAAAATGCATGTTATTTAACCTTTAGCGATTTCATATATAAATCCAATTCATCCTCCGATTCGTTAAGATCCTCTTTTTCTTTGAGTGGCACAGTTTCTGGAGATTCAGAGTCGAAATACTTTTCTTCTTCGTCTTGTGTTCGCAAGTCTATGTTATCGTATGCTTCGTTGTCATCGACAGTACTAATAAGAAAATATTTAGTTTTCAGTGGATTAAAAATTACCAATGTAAAATATTCATGTGTAATAATTGAAATACCTGTAATCGAAATCAGAGTCTTTCCCATCCAGAAAGTTTTGGTACATAAGGGTAACAAATTCGTTCTTAAGCATCTGTTTTTCCTTATTTGGAATGTTGATTAATGAAAGTGTTTGTATTAATTTTTCTTTTTCTTCATTTTCCAAAGCAGAATTTATCTCTTCACCCCACATACAATTAGTCTTTTCGTTACAGGGCATAGACTCCTGCTGCTCAAATTCCTCGTCTGTCTCTTCGTCGGTATCAGTTTCCTCTGTTACGTCGTTCTCCTTCTCTTGTTGAGCTTTCTTTAAATTTCGTACATTCTCTTTATCGATACTTTCCAAAAGTAAATTTACAAAAGTAATATTTTTTGTGTCTATATTATCTCTTGCTTTCCTTTGTTCTTCGGTCAGATATTGTCCTATTAAATGATCATATAACAATGGATTTCGTTTCATCATTTCAACTTCACTGAAATATTCCCCTTTTTCAATAAGCGTTTTCAAGGCTTGGTACCTTCTGTTCTTTACATCGATTTGTCTTGTGGAACTATTGTAATACCTTTGTAATCTATTCACATGATAAGCAACCTCATAGTCATTCTCAGCTGTATCTTTAAAATAATTTAAGTGATCCGTTTTAAGAAAAGTTCCAAATTTGGACAAAAAGAGGCAATGGCTTTTATGAAGAAGATTAGAAGCTATGGTTCGTTTTTCCTCGTATGTCAGGTCGGGCTCATCTTTATGTTGGCTTTTGAAGGGAGCTTTAGAGTTTGCAACATAATCCAATATCTCATTTTCAAAATTAATCCGATCTTGCGATTCGGATGAAGAAACTGCCGATTCCGGAGCTATCTCATCCTTCTCAATTGAAATCATCTGGCTTGAAGAATTTCTTCCTTCTGCATCTTGGTGACTCATCAATAGACTTTATACAGGTCCCCAATCTACGCATATTACGGTGATAAGATAAGATAAGCAAAAGTATAACCTTTAATTATTCTAAGAAGTGTGTACATTCTCAGGGTGTAAAATATTAAAAATGCTTCTAATATTCAAGAAGAAAAAGGTAATGTTCAGATCATTAATAATAACAGATCAAAGTTAAACTAAATTATATTCATGGTATTTATTTTGATAGTATAATCTACTGTTTAAGTAAAAAAAATCATTTACCTGCGACTATGCCCAATCGAAGCAAGGTTCGTCGTCCTAACCTAGATTATCAAGAAAAATCATTCGCTAACGCAATGATGTTTTAAATTATTATTCTTATGACAGTGCTATATTACATTTCGCTACACTTTCGTGAAAAACATCTTGTTAACACCGTAAGTCGAGATTAGTGGTCAGTATTAGAGCAAAGCGATCACGTTTGATTGCGTTTGACACGGCACACACTCGTCGTGGGAAACATAACCTTCCATCGATCTCAGCAAATTTAAGTTAACCTATAAAACAATTGTAACCAGAGTTGACAAGTAGTGAGGGTGTCAAAGAAAATGTACTGAATTATTTTATATGCTTCAGAAGCAGGTAACTACTAATGACTTTTTAATCATTCTAAAGAATTAAAGCTACAGAGAAAGTTCTGTGCACGTCCAGAAATTGATGGGTAGATTATTATATCAAAAATTTTCATATTTTTCTTTTCATAGGTTGGGGACAGAGTTTTGCAATTTAATGCTAATGTTGGTTTAATCATAAGAAATGATGTCTACATATTTGTTAATGTAATTTAGTGATTTTCATTCATGTAATGCAATTCTTTTGTGCTTTTACTTATAATTATTATAAGGTAATTTATATCAATCTAATTTTATTTTTTTATAATTTCCTTTAATTCTTAATTCCATTGAGAATTAAAGGAAATTATGCATTCAATTACCTTTATTGAAAGGGACGTATTTAACTTGCGATGTCTATTATCTACAGACACACCAGTCCAAAGCATGAATGGTATTTTGGCCAACGATGGAGGCATTGGATCATGGAGATGGAATTGGACAGAGTTGTGTGGAGCTGAAGGAGGCATAGAGCCATTGAATCGTGAAACACATGATCTAGGCATATGCTTTCAACAATTATGCCTACAAGTTAGCATTTTTATAATTATATAATTATTTTGTGTATTTTTCATATTTTTTAATTCACCTACTGAAAGTATAAATAGCTTGTCCTATTGTTAAAGGTCCTATCATTTAAACTTTGATGTAACGTGTAGTGGCAACCTTAAGATTATATAAGAATTTGCATGTGTATGTAACATATGAAATAACTAACAGCCTGTTTTTCCAGTCACCACATGTATTGCTCAACTCATTTTCTTATTTCAGATTCCTGTATTAGCCTTGATAGCAATAATCTCAGCCTATTACTGTGGAAAGCGTAGTGTTTCATCATCACGTGGATATATTTCTTTTTACGCTCTAAACATTAGACTGATTGTGGCGATATTTTTGGCAATTTTGCCTGTAATCAGAGCATATATTATTCTCACTAATGGAGCACCACCATCTGCAAATGATGTCAACATTGAAGAAATTAATACAGAAAGTGAACAAGAGCTGTCATTGCCTGATACCAACACTCTCTTTGATACTGAGGATATTGCAAGGAAAATAGAGAATGGATTAAATCGAACTGGTGTTTTGGAGAAAATTTTGTTCGCCAATGGTTTTTATAATGTGAACAATGTTATGGGTGGTTCATCGACAGAACAAAATTATGACGATATACTTTTAAAATTAAATACCAAAACACCTTCTGCCAAACCCATAGACTATATTGTAGCAGGAACCGAAGGGCTCGCATGGGTGGTTCACTTTTGTTTTCTTCTAACATTTCGTAGAAGCAATTTAAACCCAAGAGGCCCAGTGTTGTTAAGAGTTTTGGTGCTTCTTTTGCTCTGCACCTCTTCTTTACTTTTACGGAGTCATATTAATAACACAGCACAGGACGACGTTTTGCCAAATTTGTCTTTGGGGTTTAGTATCAGTGTTGTCATTCTTCTTGTGTTATATGCTTTAACACTGATTCCAAATTATGGATCATCCCGTAATAGAGATCGCTCCAGAAATGGAGAGGTAAGTGATTTAATTAGTTACCTATATGAAAATGAATCACTTGAAATTTATTTAATATGACAGCTTAATAAGACAACATTATTATGTTATTATACACTGTTTAGTATTTTCTACTGTAAAACATGGGACATAGATGTTAATACTTAATAGAGAAAATATGTCCACAGGTAGGGGAGCGTACGGCACTGTTAAGTGCACCTAGCACATCGTATGTGCGTTTTTTGGAGGAGCAAGATCCAAATTATTTAGGAACCGCTATGGAGGAGGCTACGATGACTTCGATACTCCTTTTTCATTGGGTTACTCCACTCATGGAAAAAGGTGTCAAAGGATTATTGAGACATTCCGATGACCTTTACGATTTGCCAGAGCACCTTGGTACCTCATCTATTAATCAACAAATTGATAAGCACATGAAAAATATGGTAGGTACACGGCATTTATTAAATTCAATCCAGTTTATTAAATAAAACAATATTTTTTACTCAACTAAAATTCATTAGCTTGAATAACTCACCGATTTCACGTTTCAGTCAACAACAGAAGTAAATGGTTACCGAACAGTTGCTGAAGAGATCCCAGAAGCAAGAACAGTAAGGTCAACATCCAAAGTATCACTGTTACGACTTTTACATCAGTGTTTTGGGTGGCAATTCTATGCAGTGGGAGTGCTTAAATTCGTCGCAGATTGTACCGGTTTTGTGGGACCTCTTTTACTAAATAGACTAGTTGGTTTTATTGAAGATAAATCGGAGCCTATATACTATGGATATTTGTATGCCTTTTCAATGTTTTTTAGTACTTTGTTTGGTAAGTTCATCGCTGATGTTTCACAGATTTTATGTAGATATTTATTAAATTTTCTGCGAGAAGAAGAATCACAAGTTCTTGACTTTAACTTTTAATTCAGATTATTTTTATTGGTATCATAGGTGCCTTTTGTAGTGCTCACTTTACTTTCTGGATGTCATTGGTGGGATTGAAGATACGCACAGTGATAGTTACACTCGTATATCGGAAGACTTTGCATTTATCGAAGGCTCAGCTGAATCGATCATTTACCTTTGGAGAAATTGTGAACTTCATGAGCACTGACAGCGATAGGATTGTCAACAGTTGTCCTAGTTTTCACACGTTTTGGAGCATACCTTTGCAGGTCTTTGAATTACAATCACATTAGCAGCTAATTGTATTGACAGTGTATTTAAAACAACATGTGTGAAACCTCTTGGAATATTTTTCTAGCTAGTAGTGACATTATATCTCCTCTACATTCAAATTGGAATTGCTTTTCTGGCTGGTCTGAGTTTTGCCATTGTACTCATTCCAGTCAACAAAGTTATAGCGAATAAAATTGGACGACTCAGCACCAAATTAATGGAGAGCAAGGATCAGAGAGTCAGACTCGTTGCAGAAACTTTGAGGGGCATAACTGCTATTAAATTGAACGTCTGGGAGGAGCATTTTGTACGAAGCGTTCTGAGTGAGTTAAATATACATTTTTATGCTTTGGGTAGCGGTACGTTATAATTCAGTACTTATTAATATGCTTTTTTACTTTATTTTGTAATTCATGTAACCAAATTGTTACAATTTATTTATTATTAACGTTAAATTTTATTTGCAGAGTGGAGGGAAAGTGAGATTAAATATCTGAAGGGTAGAAAATATTTGGACGCGCTGTGTGTCTACTTCTGGGCTACGACACCGATCGTCATATCTATTTTGACATTTTCAACTTATGCACTTCTCGGCAATCAACTCGACGCTAAGACTGTATTTACCAGCATGGCATTGCTAAACATGTTAATTGCTCCTTTGAATGCTTTCCCTTGGGTTTTAAATGGCTTAACAGAGGCATGGGTCTCGGTAAAACGAATTCAGAAATTGCTGGATGTGAGTAGTCGCAGATGAAATATGTGTTGAATATTTTTACAAATAATTAATATCCTGGACGTAATTGCATATTTATGTTTCAACTAATTCGATTCTTTCCAGATACCAGATTTAGATACAACAGCGTATTATTCGGATCCACCAGTGGGTACAGATATCATGATGAAAAATTTAACATTGAGCATGATTGGTCGTCAAGATCTTCAAACTACTTTTGACGTTGAACCAAATGTTTCTTCAAATCCATCACCTAGTTCGGAGAGTAAGAAGAGTGTCACATTTAAAGATGATGAGATATTCGCTTTAAAGAATCTCAATGTTACCATTCAAAAGGTAAAAAAAGACTGCATTCAATGGGAAATGAAAAGGTACTGATTTCTGGGAACAACGTGTCGTTTATTTTTTCAGGGCCAATTGATTGGCATCATGGGCAAAATTGGCAGTGGAAAATCTCTTCTGTTAGACGCGATCTTAGCAGAACTGACCCTAGAAAAAGGTACCCTTGCTGTCAACGCTATTGACAAAGGTGTTGGATATGTTAAACAAAATGCTTGGCTCCAAAGAGGCACCATTCGAGATAATATTCTTTTTGGAAAAGCGTACGACTATAATAAGTATAAGTAAGTGGGAAGTAAAGAGGTTATGTCGAGTATAATTTGATAAAAGATATTGATGTCGCAAACAATTTTCAGAAGTGTATTGAAAGCGTGTGCTCTCACGGACGACTTAAATTCTCTGCCAAAGAAGGATTTAACAGGGGTGGGAGAATCTGGAAATACTCTAAGCGGAGGCCAGAAGACCAGGATAGCTTTGGCTCGAGCAGTTTACGCTGATAAAGAGATTTATTTATTGGATGATATCTTGGCAACTCTTGACGTTAAAGTGGCAAAACACATTTTCCAAAATGTCGTCCTAGGTTTATTAAGAGGCAAGACCAGGATAGTGTGCACTCATCAGACACAATATCTGATTCATGCCGATCTGGTCATTGAGTTGTCAAAAGGGGCCATCGTAAAGCAAGGAAGACCCTGTGATATTTTACCAGATCTGGAGGATTATTTGTTGTCCTCCGAGTCTATAGAGTCGGATTTAGACGTAGGCTCTATAAAAGGCTTGCCGAAAGAGTTTCATGAGTTGGATGAAGGTGGAAAGGACACAGTTCTGGATAATGAATTCATCGAAAAAGGAACGGTACATCTGAGGGTGTACACCTGTTATTTGAAAGCCATTGGCCGATATCTGGCCATGACGATATTCCTATCTATGATTTTAATGCAGACCTCAAAGAACATCACAGACTTGTGGCTTTCGTATTGGGTCACTCGGACCAATGCTACCATTAATTCTACGAACTCTGCCCATCCTGCGCTATTGGCTAGCACCTTTGATTATTATGACACGAACAGTGTGAATTATTATTTAACCATTTATGGGATTCTTGCAATACTTAATTCAGTTTTTACCCTGATCAGAGCGTTCATCTTTGCCTACGGAGGTATCCAAGCTGCAATATCGATGCATAAACAGCTGCTGAAAACGATCATCAGGGTACGTTGTTTACATTATTTATCAGCCTTTTATTCTCATCGGTCATAAATATATATCTTATCTCTAATGGCTGCTTAAATTAATAATTGTAGGCAAAAGTGCAATTTTTTGATGTTCAACCTCTGGGCAGGTTGCTTAATAGATTCTCGTCGGACACTTATACAGTAGACGATTCTCTTCCATTTATTAGCAACATTTTGCTGGCACAAGTGTTCGGACTAATTGGGACAATCATTGTCACCGTTTATGGTCTGCCATGGATATTTTTAATTTTGGTTCCCTTAGTGCCAATTTATCATTGGATCCAGAATCATTATAGGTAAGTCTTTTACTTTTCATTTGGGCGATAAGATTTGAATGACGTAACGTTATTAATCAACATAACCTAAATTTTACTTGCAGGTTGACATCGAGAGAACTTAAACGACTCTCCAGCATTGCCTTATCGCCATTGTATGCGCACTTTAGTGAAACTTTGCAAGGGCTTAGCACGATTCGAGCTTTTCAAGTAGTGCCACGTTTTAAGCAGGAAAACGACCTCTACCTCGATTCAAGTCAAAAGACACAATTTGCATCCATCGCGGCCAGCCAGTGGCTCGCTTTGAGATTGCAGTTCATCGGTGTTGCACTTTTAACGGGGGTTTGTATAATGGCGGTAATGCAACATCAATATGACATCGCCGATGCAGGATTAATCGGGTTGGCCATTTCCTATGTTCTATCCGTTACCGGATTATTATCAGGAGTTGTGAATGCCTTCACTGAAACGGAAAGAGAGATGATAGCCGTGGAAAGGATAAAGCAGTATTTGGAGAGCACTTCTTTAGAACCTATCGATGGCGAAAGCCCGCCGTATGCGTGGCCAGGTCAGGGTGTGGTCGAATTTAAAGACGTCGTCCTTAAATACAGGTTTGTAAATGCAACATATTTTGATGGCACAAATTGTAAGACAGGTGGTGATCATTGTCATAAAATTTCCAGGGATTATCTTGCACCTTCTCTCAAAGGGATTTCATTCGCTACCAGACCAGCCGAGAAGATTGGAATCGTTGGAAGGACCGGAGCAGGGAAAAGCTCGATTTTCGCCTCGCTGTTCAGACTGGCAGAAATAGCATCTGGAGAGATATTAGTTGACAATGTTAATATTCAAACTTTACAGCTATACGCCTTGAGGTAGACATAACCATGAGTCTGAGTGAGATGGAATCATTTACACTGTAATTAATTGTAATCAACGCGAACGTTATGATTTATTTCCAGGTCTCGTTTGTCGATCATACCGCAAAATCCATTCTTGTTTTTGGGCACCGTTCGGGAAAATGTAGACCCATTAAATCAGTATCCGGATTCGCAGGTGTACAAAGCTCTTGAGAAGTGCAAGGTGCATTCCTTGGTGTATCGTTTAGGTGGTTTAGGTGCCACCTTGGAAGAGGGTGGCAGTAATTTAAGCGCTGGTCAGAGGCAGCTCTTTTGTTTGGCCAGAGCTGTTTTGCATAACGCTAAGGTAAGCTAAAAATTTTGAGGACATCTTGTTTAAAACTTTCTGCCGATTGAGCCTTGAGGGAATTTCCATTTTGCAGATTTTGTGCATCGACGAGGCCACTGCTAATGTCGATCAGGAGACGGACAAGTCTATACAGACGACTATAAAATCTTCCTTTAGGAGCGCGACTGTGATTACGATTGCTCACAGAATAAGAACGATCATGCACTGCGACAGGTACGAGCTCCTCAATTTTATAATTCCATGCTGTTTACGATTTATTAATAATAAAAGCAGAAGAGAGATCTGTATATTTTCTATGAACTTTAACAGATTATACTTCTTGCACTAGATACATTATACTTGTATTTAAATAATGTTTACATGCATTTTTTAACTGAAGAGTGATGGTGATGGGAGATGGCGAAGTACTGGAATTCGATGAGCCAAATTTATTGCTCCAAAACATCGAATCGCATTTTTTCCACATGGCCAGTCAAGAGTTTTCGGAGGAAGAATGAACTTGAAATTTACGCTGTCTAGATAGGTGTAAATATTTAATTGTGATCGATATCATGTACATACCACTTTAAATGTTTAACCCTACACGTAAGGAATTACCATGCATCTATTTTGTACATATACAAAGTTAACCTAACACGTGAAGTATCTATATTACTAGTGACATTAATTTTTTGTAATACGAAAGTCTGAAGGGCCATCCTTCACCGTTATTATTATATTTGTATATTACAGGAGTCTGCAATCTAAGATTACGAATTTCCTGTTATCGTTATAGATGATAAAAACGACATAATTTAGAACATGAGATATATTTTGTATCTAGCTGTGCTAAAGTAAAGAAATAATTTTCAATTGATATCTTTCACTTTTTTCCTGCTCAATTTTGAACCAGTTCGACGATGTCGCGCCTTTCCTGTTAACGTGATTACTAAATCATCAATAAGTTGAGAACAGAGATGAGTTGGGAGATTGCTCACGGGTAGGATCGTGCGATCGCATCCTGTGCTGCCCTCTGGTTTGGTACGTTAGCTTTCACCGTTTTTTGCCCCCAAGGGCGGCGCAACGAATTTCTGATAGGAGCTCGCGCACTCGCGATGGCGGTACCATCTACTAGTCGCCGTTGGCGGCTCACGTACTCGTGATGGTAATACCATGCGGCAGTCGACGGTGGTGGCTTACCTACGCTTACCAACACTGCTCGCTTTTGATGTTAAGGGAAGAACACTCGTGACGCTCCATTTGACTTTATCTACTTATCTACTACTATTAAGTACATTGTTGCCTCGAAGTCGACGTGATGCGGAGCTTTGGGGCACGCGTCGGTGTCGCGTATGGAATTGTCATGCAGCGAATCTGCGTGAGTGCGATCGCTCCTAGAAATCTTCGCGCGTCCCAACCAGCCAAGCGCCAAGATAAGGGCCGAGATGTTGAGTGTATATGCGTTCGGCGCTACACTCGACGAGTATGCGTGAGAGTCGAATACTGCGAAAAATCCTCCCGAGGCTTACCTAACTGCGGATATAAGCCGAGTCATTTCGCGTATGATTTTTACATTTCCCTACTAGCGCTTTCGAGCGTTATCGAGCGTTTTTCGCGCGTTTTCGAGCGTATTCGAGCGTTTTCACGCGTTTTTCAAGTGTTTCCGAAACATACCGCAGGCCGTACAGTGCCGTTGAGTGTTGTTAAGTGCAGTAGAGTGCCGGAGAGTGCCGGAGAATTGCCGAAGAGTGCCGGAAAGTTGCCGGAGAGTGCCGGAGAGTGCCGGAGAGTGTCGCAGAGTGCCGCACAGTCCCGTAGAGTACCGAAGAGTCCCGTAGAGTCCCGTAGAGTCCCGTAGAGTCCCGTGAAGTCCCGTAGAGTCCCGTAGAGTCCCGTAGAGTCCCGGGACTCTACGTGACTCTACGGGACTCTACGGGACTCTACGGGACTCTACGGGACTTCACGGGACTCTACGGGACTCTTCGGGACTCTACGGGATATACGGGACTCTACCGGGCTCTACGGGACTCTACGGGACTCTACGGGGCTCTGCGGGACTCTACGGGACTCTACGGGACTCTACAGTGTAGCGCCGAACGCACATATACTTAACATCTCGACCCGTAGTTTGGCGCTTGGCTGGTTGGGACGCGCGAAAATTTCTAGAAGCGATCGCACTCACGCAGATTCGCTGCATGAGAGTTCCGTACGCGACACCGACGCGTGCCCCAAAGCTCCGCATCATGTCAACTTCGAGGCAACAATGTACTTAATAGTAGTAGATAAGTAGATAAAGTAAAATGGAGCGTCACAAGTGTTCTTCCCTTACCATCAAAATCGAGCAGTGTTGGTAAGCGTAGGTAAGCCACCAACGTCAACTGCCGCATGGTATTACCATCACGAGTACGTGAGCCGCCAACGGTGACTGGTAGATGGTACCGCCATCGCGAGTGCGCGAGCTCCTATCAGAAATTCGTTGCGCCGCCCTTGGGGGCAAATAACGGTGAAAGCTAACGTACGAAACCAGAGGGCAGCACAGGATGCGATTGCACGATCCTGCCCGTGAGCAATCTCCCAACTTATCTCTGGTTGAGAATTTCCACCCTTACATTTTATTTTTTACTTTAATGATATAGTTACATGACATAATGAAAACATCGAAAGAGAAATGCCTGTGTTTGAACAAGGTTTTTATTTGCCATGTATGTTACAATCCTAAACCATTCGCCTCAGGAGTTCGTTGATTTTATCTTCACGGTTTCCAAAGTCACCACCTTCTACATAGTGATTTGTCTTCTTTCGCCATCCACCGTTCGGAGTATTGAGCTGTAATAAAATGTGATCTTATTCACTAGTCTCAGATCTGTAAAATCAGCATTTCTTTCTTGGATGAAATGTTTGAGCTTTCCCAGAGTTGACAAGAAGGTATTTGGACAACAAGTGAGGGAATCTCTTATTAATATTCGATACAGTAGGAGGTAATTGAATATAAACTGTCAGCTACCATGCCTGTATCGAAATGGAAAAGATTGAAACATAAAATTTATTATTGGCGTTACCTTGAATGGCCACAGGAAATTGCTGGCAAACTTGAATTTTGATCCAACAGTGAAGATTTCATGGATCAAGTCTTCAACACAAATAATTCCGGAGCGACCTATTATAACAGAAAAACAAGTAAAGCACTGACCTAATTCATAAGATATATGTATACATTGCAATAAAATGTTTGAACCTTTGTCAAAGCCCACTAAATTATATCAAGAAGACTCTTTTATAAAATTCATTTAATTTCCGACAAGATGGAAAAGAAAAAGTTTTCTGTACCACTTTTCCCATGGACTTGTCGATTTTTTGTACTTCAGACATTTAATCAATGTTTAAAGTAATAGATGGCAAACTGATACTAACCTAAGTTTCTTTCAATTATTGCATTGCTTGTAATTGGAATGCGTTGCCTATTGATCTTGGCAAAACCTCGTTTATAAATCAGCTCACGAACTGATTTCAAGTTAGGATATCCCCAGGTAATGTATGGCTCGACAATACGCAGCATATTGATGGTAGCTTTGTTTAGTTTTACAAAAATACCATTGTTGATTTGTCTCAAACGGAATAACTGCAATACTTTACGAACCTTTGGTGCTACTTGATTCACACTGAAAATATTAGAACAGAAAATTAAACACCATACAATTGACTTACATTCCAAACAAAATTAATAGATCAATAATAAAGTGAAGGAAATTAGAAAATATAATAGCACAAGTTCATACCCTCGAATACGTATAACAAATGCAAGACGGGCTTCTCCAGGAATATAGTAATTTCCACGATTTTTGGCTTGCCTTATCAGTCGAATCTCATCCCTCTCTTTTGTTCTATATTCCCTAACATATTGTTCCGCTCTCTTGAAGATTTCTTTTCTCTTCTTGTAGTGGTCAACACGTTTCTAAACGAACATTTTAAAAGAAAAAATATACCAGAAAAAGAAATCAGGCATTCTGTCTACATTCATGAAAATAATAAACTAATTGCTTACCTTAACCGATACCCGTACACGTGTGGCTCTGACTACTTCACGTCGCTTTCTCCTCTTCAGTACTGATTCCGGTACTGCCGGTAGCTTTTTCGGAGGACCCGAAGCAGCTGCTGGAGCTGGAGCCGCAGCTGGAGTCGGAGCAGCATCCTTCTTCCTAGATTTACAAAATATATGTTATATATTTCACTAATTTAGATGGACACCTCAGAAAACATGTCATACTGCTTTCTTCAGAAAGTTAGGTTATGTTGCATCTACTTTTCAGTAAACAATAGTCAACATTTCAGAGATTATCCAAACGATACAAGGTTTTTATATTTCTGTACCTTAATAATAAACGTAAATGACGAGAAACATTGTACTCATCTAGCATGTGCCGTGCAAACCGCGGTATAAAGTTATTACATTCATTTATGGATTTCGCGAACTTTGGAAATTTAATACAAAAACTACGTATTCAATACTGTACATAATAATCGACGCTACCTCTTTCGTGTAGTTTTATGAATTATTGCGCAGTAAAAATCAGGATGCAACCCGATTATTTCTGGGATAGAAAATCTACTTACGTGTCCGCCATTCTTGCGCCTGGTAAAGAATTTTGTGGCCGCGTTCATGTACGAAAAAAAAATTCAAAGACGTAACGTTGGGTGCCCTGCTCGCCGCGAAATTCAAACCATTTACAAAGATGGAGTCATTGGAATATGTTAACGTATTGTCAGCACAGAAATGATATTTCATAAGTTGTTCCTCTTCTATTTTCAAAATATTCACATTCTTGCAATTTAATGTACACGTTAATGCGATAGTTCATCGTGTTTTTAAAAAATTGCCTTCGACGTGAATGATGTAATAAAATGTCTCCAGTACCACCAACGGCAGTTTCGGAACCCTTCCTTAAGGAAGGACCTTCCCGAGGACGACATAACCTAAGTTAACGATCCAGTTTCCAGTATTTGGTAGCATAGGCCGCTTGCAGCATGCTTGGATTTGTTTTGTACAGAATAGCGGAACTTTAAAGAGTTAATAACAGATGTGTCACTTCTTAATCGAGTGACACTTTAAAATAGGCTTAATTCATTATCGGAAACCTTTGAAATCGTTCAAGCAATTTAAATAAAATGTCAAGAAATTTATCATAATGAGCGAAAGCGACGAGGAGGTGCCGCAATTAAGCGCGGCGACACTAGCTGTGCTCCAAGAATTTTATCAAGAGAGAGAGGAGCACGAAAATAAATTAAAGAACATCGTCGAGCAGAACCAAATTCTCGAGGCTACTTTCGAGGAAGATTGGGTAGGTTGGTCACGCTGATTAGACCCATAAATGCGGTAAATACGAAGTTGCATTGATTAATTCATTTATGGCTGATGACATTAATAATAGGTTCTTAAGACATAAATTTACATGGAATGACAATAACACTAAGTTGATTTTAATTATTGCTATTATTTTCTCAGCAATTAAGTCAATTCTGGTACGATAAAGACACTATCGACACATTTGTGAAGGGTGCATTGAATTATACTCCTCCAAACGGAAGAATAGCACTCGTGTCGTGCCCTTCTCTGTACAGCCAAATGAAGAAACTAGCAGGAGATAGACAAGGTACATTTTTTTACTGTTTATGTGATGGTATTCAAATTTCGATTTATACGTGCTTTCTGTTAACAGTTATTTTATTCGAGTATGACCAGCGTTTCGCTGTATTCGGTTCGGATTATATACCTTTCGATTACAAGTCTCCTCTGGACATTCCGAGGCACATGTCTAGCCACTTTGACTTAGTAATTGCAGATCCTCCATTTTTATCCGAGGAGTGTTTAACAAAGTCCGCAGTAGCGATTAAATTTTTATCTATGGAGAAGATTGTTCTCTGTACAGGTACTTATTATTATTATTATTAACACGTGTTTATTTTCTTACCAACATGTTAATACTAATCGGCATTCATTTTCTTCATATTGCCGATCATGTAATTAATATAGTATTTTCTTTGCAGGTGCTATTATGGCAGACTTAGCCAATCGATTGCTGGATTTGAAGAAATGTGATTTTACACCGAAGCATAAGAACAATCTCGGAAACGAATTTTGGTGTTACTCGAATTTCAATTTCGATGAAGTATTAAAATAAATAATTTCGAAAGGAAAGGTGTGCACTCTTAATTAGTTTGGATTATATATACTCGGATAAAGAAGTAGTTTTTTAACAGACGATACCGCATTTGGTGAAGGAATAATTAAGAATAATCAATATCTAATAATTGTCAGAAGTTTCACTGGTAGGCATACCTCAATTTTTTTTATTTGAAATGATGAGGATTTAAAATTCGCGCCACTGAAACGGCGGAACAACGAACCGGGGCAGCGCTCAAATTGCGGTTCGAGTCGAACGTTTCTAGCAGGTGGAACGATGGATTCTGGTCAAATCCGCGAAAAGAAGGCACGCGATGGGAAGCGTAAATATTTACATGTTTTGAGTGTTTTCGGGGGTAATTTTAATTTGTAACGATGATAGACGGGAACATTTCCATGGAGGAGGACACCGAGTTGAGGGACCTGGTGGTGCAGACCCTCGAGAATAACGGCGTCCTAGCGAAAGTGCGGGTGAGGCATGTGATTAGTCAAGAAAAAAGATATGGCTCTTTCTAGGTTATGCTTAACTAAGTGTGCAAGAGCCCCGCGTAATTAGATGGTATCATAACGCGCGGTCTCGCCTCGCACCTCCAGCTCTTATTTTATGATTTTCCAGGCGAAGCTCCGAGCCAGCGTCTTTTTGGCTCTGGAGGAACAGGAGTCCGTGATGGTGAGTTAAAATTACGGTCGGCAATAAAATGAAAAAAGGCCTACTTCCTGTTTACAGTCGCCTCTGTTGTAGCTTTTGTGCTCTTTGGCATACGGATCTAGATATATTCATCTCGCGCTACAAATATAGATCACGGAAGTTAGGCTTTTTTCCTTCCTCGAGACGGATTAGGGACTATTGGGTCTCGGGGATATGTTGAAACAAGATCATTTTTTTTTAGCATCGATGTGAGATTGGAAATAAACAATGAGACAACTAAATTGTTTTTGTTTGCAAAACAGCGTTAATATCAATTTGTTGTACAAATTTAAATTATGATGATTTGAAATTATTTCAATTGTTGCTGTGAAATCAAAATATTTGAAGATGCACGGATTATATAAGAAGATATTATTCTTAGATCGAACGGCATTATTAATGTGAATAAATAATTGTTGTATCCATTTTAGAATCCTGAGCCTCTTCTCAACAAAACAGTTAAACAGTACCTGGGTAATTCAGAAGGAAAATTGTTATTTTCACTAGTTAGGGAGTTTCTAGAATATTTTGGTCTTGAATATACCATATCTGTATACGACCCGGAGACATATATCGGGAAGGATTACAACTATGCAGGAAGAAGTAAATTGTGCGAAGAGCTGGGTATCAATTCAACTGAGCCATTGTTAGGAGAACTTCTCAAGCACAGTATTAACAGTGCCTTCAACAACTCCCGAAAGGTATTTCCTTTTTCTAGCAGTTATTCTTATTCGATTACTTTCATTTGGTAGGTTGGTAAACTTTGGATTTTATGTCATAGAACGAGACTGGCGATAGCAAACTTAACAAAACGGTCGAGACGTCGACACATTTTTCCAATTCCACATTTGAAGTGACTGTACCAAAAATGCTTCACAAGGATTCAACATCCTTCTCGAATGACAACGACTCATCGGAGAGAATGGAAAGCATTTCGGAATCAAGCCCAAAGATTCCAATAAATGTGACAATAACTGACAAGAAGAAAGGTGAATGGACCGGAGATGACACACTGAACGATAACTCAAACTATAAGGAACAGAAAAACATTCTCAGGGAAACTAATAAAAATTTTGAGAATTCCTCCATTGCCGATGGAATTGACAGTAAAGGGAACAATAATGTACATTTCAGTAAGACCTCCACAAACTCAAAAGACAAGAGCACGGTATCGAACTATGTGCTTCAAGAGACTGACGTTAATGCATTGAACGAAACGAATTTACTGAATAAAACTGATCCATTAATTAAGTTCGACGAGTCCATAGATAATCAAATCCAAATTAATCAAAATGAAGATGCTTCTAAGCAGAACATCGTTAATAGTATGGAATTGCAGAACGTAAATATGAATGTACAAAATATAAAACAAATCAGTGTGGAGAACAATATGGGCAAGAGGGTTTTTTTTGATGAGATAATTATCGACGGTAAAAAGGAGAAGGTTGATGCAATTTGTAAGACCGAATCGTTACTGGGAGAGCTGCCATCTCTAGCACCCAAGACTAATTCAATATTTAGTGATCTGCCTCCACTGAATACAAAAAAGACTAATATAAACGATTTAAAAGAATTGATGGATCTTGGTAAGCCACTTTTGTCTATACTTATACTTAAGATGTACGTTAAAGTTTAACTTACCTATTTCTAACTGGACATCCTGCATGGTTTAGCAAATGATGGAGTCGACAATTACGAGGAAGATTTTATCTCATCGGCTTCAGGAAGTGCTAACGAGCAAAGTCCTTCAAAGGTTCCAGAGAAACTTGACAGTCCTGTGTCAATAAAATCGCATAAGAAAGATGACAGAGTGCACAGTATGCAAAGCGAGGATGTGAGCGAAGACATCGAGGAAATATGTAGCAGCACATCTTGTCCAAGTGTTTAGCAACAGTTTTGTATGTATTTTGCATGTTTACACTTTTGAAAGTATTTTAGACTCGATCTACAATTTCTAAGTTAGCGATGAATTCATCTTCCTTTATTTTCTTAAATTATTCTTCTAACAAAGTATGAGTTGTCTTTTTTTTTGGTACCAATTATTGAATTTTTAAAGGAAACATTACGTGCAAGCAACCTTTGACATTGACAAACTTCCTTAGTTCGTTTCTTATAGTATCATTTCATTACAGCTTGAAGACATCCTTGTGGGTAATTCTATATCCAACATTGCCGTTGGTATTACTACAAGATGTACCAAGGAAGTGTCATTTTTAATCCTTTTGTTGTAGAGTTACATTAAGCACGGTAGAAAGGTGAATTTCACGTAAGCTTTGTTGAGCGTTATCCTAAAATCTGGACACAATTGATGTCCATGGTGGGTGTCCGATCGGCACTTAGGACAAGACACTGCCAGATGTAGCTCAATACTTATAAGTTGCGCTGCAAAAGAACGTAGAAGGAAACCGTCTGAATGCATTTGACTCGCAGGCATCGAGTTTTTACCTATTTTATACAGATTTTAACACGTATCGAACGAAATATTTTTCTACATTTTGTAGCGTAAGCAAAGTTAATCTATAAATAATCAATGTTATAACAACGTGTAGCTCTCTCTCTCTTTTCTCTTCTCTCAAGCATTGACATACGGGAAATTCTGTAAATTGGAGAGGTGATTTATCGACACCATTGACCGACAGCAAGTTGAAAGTATCCGAGCTGAATTGCTCGTGTCAAACCAGTCTTACCGATAGCGCTTAGTTTCATTTCCACGCCCATTTAGACAACCTTCCTCCTGCGTTATTCTGTAAATGCGCTTAGTATTACTATTCTGATAACTAATTTATGTAGAAAACAAGAGTTTAAAGTACTTTAAGGTTCGCAAGTGCACCGACTCGAAGAGTCTTGGCGTGCCTCATTGACGATCCAATTATTGTCTCGTTGCAAAATTCTCGGAGGTAATCTTGCGCCTTGTCGGAGGAATTCCTGCGTCTGATTTAATGACTGAACGGCGCATTACCTCATTTAACTAAAGTTACTGATGAAGATGTCCTGGTAGGGATATCGATGAATTATCCGTCTGACAGTGGATTGCCTAAAAAGAAATTGCATTATTTTTTCGAAGACAATGGTGCTAAATGTTTGAACCTGAAATCATTTACGGGAGTTAAAGTTGTCAGAGGAAAAAGAAAACAAATTAGGTGCTCACATATATTTTCTTGCATCCGTATTTTGGTGGTTCATGTCCCAAGAGTCGAGGGAGGGAGGAAAAAGGGGAAACTATAGACTGCGACCTTAATTTTTGGGCAATCCAGTAAGATGAAAGAAAAGTGGATAGAGAAAGAAAGAAAAAAAGAAAAAAAAAAAAGAGAAACTGAAACAATGCAAGTATAGTTACGCCCTGAATAAGATGCAATAACTAAGTACAATTTAAGGTGGATCAACTGGATGCTTGACAAATCAAAATCCTTTTGTAAAAGTGTATAGTTCTTGCCGTCTTTACAAAAGAATTTTCATTCACGAGTAGAATCTTACGAGGCGAGGTATCATGGCCAGTTCAAATGAAGCGATTTCAAAATCACAGACTAAGTGGTCACTCGCTGCGGGTGGCTCGAGAAGAATTACTTACTTATGTTTACGATGTACCGATGCATTTATTTCTTTGCGTAAATCAAAATCACTTCAGACGTGGGAAACGTCAATCAGGAGTTTTGGCAACGATGTCTCGGTTGACAAAGCACCGAAGAATTGATTAAGACCTCTTCCGAGTTGTGAAGTATGCTAATGAAATCACTTAGTTTGACTGAACCTTTGTCCTAACGTATGCATAAAAAACAGGTGTGTTCCTGGCCAATCAGCGTGGTTACATTTTATTATCCATACGGAACATACGACGAAATAAATGAAGTTCAGGACTGTACCAGACATTCCGAGACATCGTAGTACATAGGTTATGATCACATTCCATTGATGTTAAGATATTCTTACTGTAACCAGCTGCCGATAACAAGCGTGTGTACGAGATGAGTATTTTTCACTGTAGTACCTAAGAGAATATTTTAGCGAGTGTCTTGCGTGTTGGGTCCTTTTTAAATTGTATTCAGATTCGTACATGACACACGGTGGTTGTAAAACACATAGAATGTCTGTGACGATTTTGTCATTGATATCGCGTCACTTGACTTTGTAACCCTTCTTGACCGTCGAAGACAAGTGTCAGAGGTTATGGGAATCCTTTCTATTTCTCTAAAGTGGTTTGCCTTAATTTCTCATGACCAAGAAACCGTTGCACTGCAAATTTGTTAAGCTATATGTAGTCCTACAGTCGAATGCTGTCGACTACTGGACTTTGACGTTCATAAGATACTTTGACTTCAAAGCGCAGTGAAAACATCCTGACTATCGAACGGACGTTCGGATTATTTTTTCTAAATGGCCACAGATAATCATTTTGTAACCACGTTGAATTATTGGTAGCTATATCGTGCCTTTTAGCGTGTATGGATATTTATAAATAATGCAAATAAACACTGGAATTGTGGGTTTTTATGACACCTATGTTACTTATTTATGATTTTCAACGACGATGTAACGATGTTCATGTACTTGTTATTTATTTTATAAAGATTTTTCTCTTTTGCACATGTTGCCTTTTGCTGTACTTATCTCTTGTACCTACACCACGGTTTTACGTTTTAGTTGACATAACGGTTTCTTTTTTTATCCATGCCTTTTGTTATGAGTAGAGTGTTAACGTGCATACATAATTGCAAATAACTGTTTCTATTGACAAAAAGCACAAGGTTCTCCTGGCTCCTGTGTCACGCGTAAAAACGAAAAAATGTCACTACATCTTGCATAAGGGAAACACTTTTGTATACAGTACTTAATGCTTGACACTATGAAGCATCATTGATACGGCATTGTTTCCTTCTATAAAAGCATTGTATACTTAATATTTAACATTTGAAAAAATGTAAACTAGTGAAAATCGTGGTATTCGATAGTAATGTCCACTCGGAGGTACCACTGACTAAAAAGAAATCGATTAGAAATGTTAATGCGGTGCGAGATGAACTTAATATAAGTAAGGGATGAAAGTATGATTTCATTGATCCTAGCTTTATAATGCACTTTTAAACTAATCGGTTGCATGGATTAATTGTTGTGCGATTAATGTACCTACGAAATTGCTTGTTCGAAAGATGTTTACTACGAGAGACTACTCACATGTTATTTTCGAAAAGTGCATTGCTTTCGTTAGTATTACTGCTTTAGGATACGAATACTTTAGAATATAATATTTGTTTGGAATTCACTTCAAGAGTGTGATATAGCATGGATGCTCACACTTTCCGTACCTTGTATTTTATACACATAGAGATTCAAGAACTCGAGGGCTGCTTTGCACAAACTCGTATCCAACCACATTATGAGAGCGCATTAAACAAGAATCCTGAGCAATGTCAGATTTTCAACTATACTTATACACTTCTATCAAAATCGGTTGGATATTATTCTGTGTAATGTGGACTTAACATTGCTGTTCCTATTATGTAATCTCTAAAGATGACTGTAATAAAAATATCCAACATTCCAAATAAAATCATGTATTTGTATAAATCCTATCTTATATAGATGACACTCCTATTATCTTAATAGAAATAAAAGTTATTGTAATCAATTGTAAGAACAGTTTCCGAAAGATAAATAAGATCAATTCTCTCATCTTATAACTCTTAGTATCGGTTGCATTTGGTTGAATATTATAAATAAGTTCATTATACAACAGTAGTTTTTATAATATTTATGTACAAAACTGTTAACAAACATCTGAAGTTGAACAAAATTTATTCCTACAGTGTCATGACTATTGTAATTGCTAAAAGTGTACATTGTGCGATACAAACTACAGTTGCATCAATACATTTAACAATAGTATCATTTGTGGTGTACCGTTTACACCAATAATGGAATTGTTTGGTATAACCAATTTATTTATTTGCATTTTTTAAAATCTATTTACATTCGATTTCGTTCTCTTTGTAGTCGATTACTGTATGCCTTTGAGACTAGATTGAATGCATCCATATATCGGTCCATACACATTGCTACACATTTCTATAAGAGTAAAAGTACATTTATTAAAATTGAGAATCTTTTAATATTTAGAAAATTTATTTGTTACGTCATTTTCTTATTAAACGATTAAAAAAAAAAATGGTAACAAATCATTTTTTAGATGTTTAATTGCGACGGACTACTATCTCTAAACGAACAGTTCTGTGGTGCATAAAAGCGAGTTTCATTGAACTTTGCACTTATGCATAAATCAATAAGAGAGGAACATATTCAGTAATCCCGTAAACAAATTATATCTGCGATTAAAGCTCAGGATATAAATTTGAACAAATGACATAATCTTTAGTTCCTTCATTACATTAAATTTATATAAATCCAGTATCTTCAAGTTGTCACCGTCCTACAAATACTAAGATATTGTTTTCGATTCAAACCAAACACATGGGACAATTAAAAAAAACTCAGTTTCAAGAAGCCCCTTATTTAAATTCAAAATCTGAGTAAGCAACAAACAGATGAAAGAGCTGAAACGTTACAAATCCCAGAAGAAAGAGTTCAAGGCATGTAGAAAGAGAGGTTATATTCACGGTTTTTAAACACTCGCCTGTTCCGAGTTATCCAACGAGGTTCCCGGCTTGAGTATGCATTTTTTAAAGCACTTTTCCGTCATTTTCTGCAAATACACAAAAAAACGAGTGATATTCATTCAACATTATGCGTGTTTAAGGGAATATTATGCAATTATACCGTGAGCAACTCTTGGGCGTTCGCGACGGCGATTTGCTGCTTAACCTGTTCCATAAGTTCCTCCTTCTGCCCTCCCGTTAGATTCGTCGTTTGTAATAAATCCATGAGTACGCTTTCGTCACGTCGGGACGTCAAAAACAAATTAGTTAACTAAGAAAATCCCAGAATTTCGCGACAGCGCCAGTTTCTTAAATTGCTCTCGCGAGCCAGAGGAAATATATCTCGGGAGACCGGCAGCACGTGAAGTCTCGAGAGCGCTGCGACGAATCGGAGAGCAGCATTCCGTTGGGTCCCCGAAATGCAGGCTTGTGATTGGCTGTTGACTTCTAGCGCCGTGAAACGTGTTTAACGCTCGCGACCACCACGCCCCCTAACCAGGCTTACATAAATTCTACGTCACATCCGTAAATCAAATTTAAACATGGCCACGTGTGTTTTCCGATAACCAGATTCTGGCCGACAAAACGCAACGGAATTCCTGGCCAGGGAGGTTATGTAAGAAAGAACATTGTGAATATAGTATATATCAACAAGAAGGTACATACTTTTAGCATTCCTTATACATGCGTAATCACTGGTAGTGCTACAATGTTAAAAATACTCGTTCGAAATCTAGTACACATACTCTACTGTTTCCGATTTTATTGTATATTTATACTTCAAAGTGTTCGAAATATGAAAACATTTCGAGCCGGGTGTGCTTTATAATACTGCGTTTTAGGATTTAATAAATGTAATACTACATATTTCCCGTTTCACTAGATTTGCCATGAATAGTACGAATACGCGGGCGTCGTCCATCAGCCCTCCAATCGAGCTGGACGGTTCCAGAGTTTGCAGAACGAGCGCTAGAAAAAAAGCAGAAAGCCCCTTACGTTGCGTGCAGTGTAGCAGACTCTTGATGCCGCCGAAGAAGACACCAAGAGCCTCAAATTCCTCGAATTTATCGCCATTATCGCAATGCGACGCCCAGTTGGACTTTATCAAGAACGTCGTGTGGTTGAAGTCCATAATCACGAAGGGGGACCAGATTTCCAAGGAGGAGTTCCGGGATATTTTCCAGGACTCTAAGGAGAACCTGAACTCTATGTTCGAGGATTTAGGCGGCGTCATCGAGGGCGATGAGAAGAGTTTTTTCCAAGAGGAGCAGCTCTCCAAATTCTCTCTGAAGCCGCTCAGAAATTGCGATGCAGACCAGGACCGCGTTAGTTCGTCGAACATGAACGCGACAAGGCCGAGCGAAGGAGAAAATGAATCCAGAGTCATTTTCGAAAACGAAACCGGCGATACGGTCTCAGGACGAGCGTGCGAAACTAATATTATATGCGATCAAATTTTAGGCTCGCCGTTGACGCCTCAGAGGATAGGAATTATGCAGAGTAATCAATTTCCCACGAAATTCGTTGTTTCGGACTCGGATAATGGCGATGATAGTTTAGAGTTAAGCTTCGGCGAGAGCGACGTTAAGGACAGTGGGATGGACACCATGGTGGTCGATGTCGATACCGAGAGTACTATTGCGAACATGCAGGTCGTCTGCAAGAATTCTGTCGACGAGACCAGTGCTCTCAAGGAGAGGCGCGATGCCAAATATGAAGTGATTTCTAGAGAGATCAAGGGAGAAGGGTTCAGAGGATTCGATCTGACCGAGATTGGGAATCGAGGTCCTGGAGGCAGGATAGGTGACCACGTTATGTCGGGTGTTTTTGAAAGAAATGTCAAACCCGGAAACTCAATGCAAGGCAAATTAGAAGGAATGAATCGAGCGACTGGCAATGTTCTAAATATCGCTGAAGCTTGTAATAGCAACGAAGTCAAGGAAATTATACCGGCATCGCAGACCCGTGGACCTAAGAAATGCACCATTCTGGAGATCCATACTGGAACTTTCGTGAAATTTGACAAATCATCCCATGCCTTTTGGATGAAGGGTAACGTTGCAGACAGGGCGACTCTTCCGGTTGACGTTCCTCTTCGACAAAGTCGTGAGAAGAGCTTCCAGAGGAAGAGGAGCAGGTGGTGTCCCGAGGACGTGACTCCTGCCTCCCTGAGATTCACTTTGAGCAGCTCGAAAGCGAGGGAAGTGCTGCTCTCCGCGGTAAAAAATGTATTGAAGGCTCTGGAGAATGAAAAACTAGGGACCATGTACCTCACCAGGAAGCGGTGGGTCGATTCCTTGGAGAAAGAAGCTGTTGAAGCTATTGTTAATGTTATCAGAGTCGGCGATGTTGAGAAATTGCCCAATGACTGCTCCAAAGCAGCCTCGGAATCGATTCAGAGGATGTTTGACGCGATTCTCGATTGCAGGGAATCAGGCAAGGTGGGCAAGAAAATTAATTAATGTGTATTCATTTTAATTCCTTGCTAATCTAGGAACGCTTAATCACGAATTGTTTAATTAAGGTAGCTGTTTAATTTCCTCAGGAGATATCTTGGGAGCACCACATCAGCATCGTTCTCGAGATTTGCGAATCATTTGCCGTTTGCAAGGAGACCATCCAGCTGATGATACGGAAAATGAAGAGCTTGTTCTCAGAGAATGATAAGCCGCCCGAGACTCTTGAAAATGCGTCCGCAGCTGAGGATGTTCAAAACCAGTTATATTGGATTTTCCACGGTTTGGAGATATGCCTGAGGAAATACGAGGTTCTGTCTTCTGATCAGAGAGAAGTCGTGGGAGATAACGAACCGCAATTTGTGACGGATTCGTGGAAACGACTGTGGAAAAATGGCAAGAAGTGTGGCCAACGCAAGAATCTCGAAGAAGAGTGGATTTCGGTTCTGGAGGAGATCATGATGGCGAACTTGGACAATTGTACGTTGATCAGTACACAAGCATGGCAGTGCCTTAACATTTTAAGAGAAATTCAAGACAGGAAAAAAACAGTTACAGAAGGAATTAATTATACATGAAATAAACGCGCTGAGACAAGTAACGTCGGCTTCGAACTTAGTTTTAACTGCCATGCAACTGCACTGCTCATTTACAGTCTTCCCTACGAACATTTTTTATGGCAGCACAGCGCCATTATTCATAACTAATAATTCCTATAAATATATATGCGTCGGCAGAAAATACGAGATCACTCGATTAATGACTAATCTTTGTAATTCATTGGGGCGTTAATAGCTGTCGATCGAGTGATCTCGTAATGTTCTTTGTCAGCGTAACAATTACTCTTTGAAAATGATTGCAAGCGTGCGTCAGGTTAGCACTCTCCAGATGTACACAACATGTAGGAAAACCAGGAGAGACTCCGAATTCTCGCGATTCGGGGAAGAGTTTTCAACCGGGGAATTCTCTTCCTCGATGTCTCCGGAAACGTTCCAACCGCACAGGGTCTTCGCGTTGGTCGGAAGGACGTCCGAGAGAATGTCTGAAAAATTGGTTAATGGACAGAGCTCTGTACATTCTGACAACGTGAGGTTGATCATCTCGCCATCGACGCCGGTGTAATACAGAACCTGTAACATTACCATACATTGTACTGTTACAGACATTAACGGCGACGTGGATGTCTCACCTTGACACTGTAACCGTCATCCTTATTAATTTCGTAAACCTCGAAGATCACGGCGGCACCTTCGCTAGGAATGTGCGGCGACCATAGATTTAAATTCTGCAAAATGCCTGCGACGTTCCTCTCGTCGCCGCTGTACATCATGATTTTGTGATCGTTAGAAATGTTGCCCGCCAAATGAGCGACGGAGTCGTCGATGATTTTCTTCAACAATGCCCCTCCGTTAAGCCGTTTTTGCAGCTTTGTTATCGATGAAAGATTGTATGATAATAACGTGGCGAAATACATCTGGCCGTCTGGAAATATGTCCGCACTCCAGGCCGGTAAACTCTGGTTAGCGTCAGCCTGAGGTGAATGTAATTCAAATTTAATTAACGCTTAAATTAATTCCTTAATTAACTAAGCTCAACGAAACTTTTCAGGAACACCCACCATCGTCTCCAGAGTGATGTACAGACCTTCGATTTCGGATGGCTGATCGATAGTCAATCCAGTGCGTTGATTAAGCTCATCGAACAAAGGTTTATACACGCTCACCTGTTCCTTCATGGAATCACTTTCCAAAACGCTCGCAGTGTCCGACAGAAAATTCGGACACAGGTTCCCCATTAGCAGGTAATCTTTCTTTAGCTCTTCGTAAACTGCGTGAAAAAAAAAGAAGAAATAATAAGGTTCAAGTTCAACATTATTTTCATTTCTGTCTCTATGCGATGAGACGGTATCGCCACACTGAGAAAAAATGTTCATTGAACCAATGAAATATTTCTTCGAATAATACCAAAGAAGTATTCTGTTAATTCAAATAATAATTATCTGACTCAAACTCGAATAAATTGGATGCAACGTTTATTTGGAATAATGACAATTTGAGTGAATTGTTCTTGAAATGAAGAAAATGTTTCGTTGGTACTCAAAGAAATATTTCTTTGGTTGAATGAATTTTTTTTTTATCAGGGCATTTATGCCGGGTACCTAACTCGAGTGTTTACTTGCAGATGGGTCTTACCTGTCGGAATTGGCTGCCAAGGTAAATCATCGTGCCACCGTTGAATACTTGCTGGAGGCCAGAGACCGGCGTTGACGAGACTGCCCGACATCATCGACGTGACAAATTGGTTGGTGACAAGAGTGGTGACGTTTTCTGTATAAATCTCTCCTAAAAAGTCGCCATACCTCTGTCGCAGGTACACTCCGAGGTTGAACATGTTCAGTTTGTTCTCCTGGAAACGCAGTATTTCATAAATCTTGGATTCGTCGAGAGCTCTTAAGGCGATATGAAAGTGGCATCGGAGAGGTCGAATTGTTTCAAACTTTACACCGTAACTATGGAGGCTATAAGGAAGGTCCCGACGGCCATGAAATTAATTTTTTTAATCAGAAATTTAAGAAATCCCTATGAAGAAATTTTTAAATGATTCAAATTTCATGGGTGTCAAGACCTTCCTTCCAGTGTTCATATTCACGTTGTAAACTTTGAAACGATTCGATGGATCCAGTTAAAAAAAAAGTTCCATTAACGAGACCTTTTTGTCGCCACTTTCACATCATCTTAAATAAAACAGTTTCTCACGTTGAACATGTCTTCAGGGACTTCGCTGAAGTACGCGTACGTCAGATTGGGCTGGATCTCCACCTTGGGACCATTTTGGCGATCCTCGACAGGTGCGTGTGTCTTGTGGGTGAATACCTGGAAGAGGCGAACGATTTCTTCAAGGCGGTGGATAACACGAGGAAGATTTACGAGCCGCGGAATAAGCGGTGTACGTAATTTGGAAAACAACGTTGCGCAATACAGATGGCTACAAGGTGATTCCATGTGCTTCCATATCACTTACAACATGCACTAGTTTCAGCTCCTCGATTGTCTGGACTGTTGTGGAGATCAGCAGGAGACAAAAACCCACGAGGATGGGCATTCTGGAGGCGTCTTCAAGGCCGAAGATGAGCGCGCACCTTGAAAAGGACATCCTGATAAATTTTCAGCGTCGGTTTCCAGTTACCAAGTAATTAGACATCCGCTTTATTTATACATCCGAGACACCTCGGCAATAAAACCATCAGAAACATAAGGTTTCCGTAAATGAAGGAATGTCGCGTCCTCCCGATGATCTTTGTTAACACGTATTCTACCGCGTTCTAACAATTGCAGGTTTACGCTGTGCCCGATAATCGCCAGACAAAGTCGTTTGGGACTTCGGTATGCAAATATTGATTGCCAATGAGTGAGGACGCTACGTTCTTCTTCTTCAAAAATTCTTCGTTAACTCTTTTGGAAGGCGCATAATTCCTCGTTATCCACGGTGAGTTAGTCTTATTTAATATTTTTAAGAATTGTTAATAAGGCGTACAGTACCGCTTATATATTTTGGGACACCAGGCTTAGTAAGCATATAATGGTAAATAAATTCTTAGATAAATAATATAAATGGCAAAACGTGTTATCGGCATTATTTACAGCTCAGGGGTCCCAAAATATATGAGCGGAAATGTATGTACTTACCAGTCGCGGTTGATCTGTCGTTCCCGAAAAGACGGAGTGGCGGCCAAAGAGCCGGAGAGATCCCTCGCCGTCGAATTGATCCTAGCGAGATCAATCGAGCGATTTTAACGTAAGACCTGAGCTTGAGTCTTATCGCGTTTTTCGGAGTCTGAAACGCAGCGCGACGGTCGTGCAGACTCGCGAGAAACGCCTCTGGAGAGTTTCAAGGCAAATCCTCGACGCCTCCTAACGCCACGTGGGAGCATCACGAGGCAGTCCTGAAAGCGTTCTAATGACTCTCTTTTCAGGCTACCGAACAAATAGGAGGCATTTGGAAGAAGTTCTCATTGGAGGAGGTCGAAACGAAAAAGGCAGGGTCAAAGGCAAGCTCTTCATCGTCGATGACCACACAGGACCTAATTTATTCGCCATTTCTGCGTCAACCAAGGAACTGGTGTTAATTAAAAATTGCCGCATTTCTTGGGACTCCCGATGAAGAGCGTTTGCTGACTTATAGAGGGTTCTTCGGTCAATGGGGTGCCACAGAAGTCGAGTGCGCCGGCGTCCGGATGCAACTGTTAAGCGTTATCGTGTAACGCGAAATTAACTCGCAGCGTCACAGCGATAAAATGGCAGGCCGTTTAATGACAGCGCTCTTGATGTTTACACGAATCGCGTGCTCGCTTCGTGATAGTCTTGCAAAACGCTCCCGGAACTCAGACTCGATGACACGTTTTATCGAAATCATGATTTCCCGACTTGGCGGCGTAGAGTTTCTACTTCTTTGATAGAATAGGCGAGGTTATATTTAAAAAGGAAAAATTATCCGTCATTACGGGCCGCCTCGATTTGCTGGGTGTCAACGACCAATTAACTGGCTTAATTGTAGTCGTGTAAAGCTCGAAGTGCAGCGATTAGAACTTGTCTCTATTTTACAGACTATTGTATTTTACGGGTACATGATAACGTCAAATATGACGGGGGTCTTAATTATATGTCATAGTGAATATTAATGCTCGAAACAATCGGTGTAATTGCTCCAATTGAAGGGAATTTATTTTATCACTAACATGCCAAGGTAGATTTGATGTAATAACTGTGACGAGCAATTTGCTTATAGCTGTGATCTTACATTTCAAATTGTATACCACCCTATTTATCAAACCTTAAACGTTGATTATTTATCACTACTATCAAAGGTATACAATTTGCGTTTTAGTCATGTTTATTATCCATATCAGAATTTGTAGTGGAAGGAAAATTCTAACTCAAAGCTGAAGATTATGGCAGTAATTACACTTTACAGCTGGTATCATCGTGAAATATTGTTTTCGAGTTTTCTTTTAATCAGTCGCCGCTTATCATTTCACCGTAAATACTTTCACGTTTAAGGAATTATTAATGATTAATATCTTTAAAGTTTTGTGTATCCTTCATGTCGTATAAGTTAATAATCGTAATTTAAATGTAAAGTCGACGCGACAAGCGGATTATGATCACAGATAGCATAGATTGGATAACAGGAATTCGTCTTAGATCCAACGTACCCATAAATTTGTGATCACGTTGATATCACGCGACGAGGTGTATCTCATCGAAGCCGAGATATACAAACATTCGCCGAAATCGTGAATCTCGTGGTAGTCGCAAGACCGACGATCGTAAACGATATCAAGCCCTGCATTTGGTGCAAGTGCTCTGATAAGCGATTAATTCGCTTTACTCGAGGGAAGGATCCCGGAGAATTTCGAAAGCGATACTCAAAACGTCGTTCACGGTTTCTGATAGCTATTAGGTCTAACGGAACGTCTTGACTAAATTTTTCTCCCTCTTTCTCTCCGTGTATACATAGCGGGATGCCATTAAATCGCGATCATTATCATCGCTCTCGAAGGAATTCCTGCCCTCGAGAAACGTCACGTGGATTAATCCGTCAGAAATTCTATTCCGAGTTATGCCAGGAGAGAAATTTCGGGTTCCTATATTTCGCCTCCATATGAATTCCTATTTTCAGGAGTACCGGGCTTATTTTTCTTCCCTCTTCGGCAACTATCCTTGCGACTGGTTTGATCTTGTCGATGCTTCACGATCGCAGATCAATCAAAATGCCCTAAAACGAGATATACGTTCATGACTCAGGCTATATTGGTAATAATCGGTACTTATAAAAGGTGGAACACGTGGGTTCTTAACCCTACTTTCCCCCCCTGTCAGGCCTGTTCTTCGAGGCCCTATCTCCCTCCGTTCCGGTCGCCAGGCCCTCTTGGCAACGCCAGCGCCATTTTTGCAAGCAGCTTGCGACCGGCAGGTAGTTGGGGCTCAACCTGAAACCAACGAGTTTGCAAGCGCCGTTCGGTCGGAGATTTCCCCTTCTCGTACAAATTGAACGTAAGGACAATTCTACAAGGCTATAATCTCCTCCGTTTCCTTCTAATTTTAATAATTCCATGTTTCTCGGCGCTCTGTCTTCTTCCAGCTGGGAAGTGAGAATCCAAGATGGCCGCGGGTCGCGTCAGTTCGAAGTGAAGCCCCTTGGCAACGGGGCTGTAAAGAAATCTCCGGGCTCCTGAATTTTGGCGTTTTCCGTCTTCTGTGAAGGAGAAAAGAATATATCTACGTCTAAAGACTGGTATGAAGAATCGGGGGAGCAGAATCTGCGGAATATTCGTCGCGGGAAGGTGACGAAGTGCAGGGCAAACGGTACGAAATCAACGGAGTTCCACCGGAAGCCGCTTGGAGTCGTCACCTGTGGCGCCGCCATTTTGAATTAATCGAGGGGTGAGAATTTATTCAATTGCATTTTCTCTGAGGGAAAAACAAAATCTCTGCCTCTAGAGAGGGGCATGAGAAATTAGGGAAAAGGAAGCTGCGGAATATTCTTTTCGGTGAGCTGACGAAGCGCAGGGCTAACGGTTCGAAGTTAAAGTTCCAACGGAAGTCGCCGATAGCGATCGCCTCTGGGAAGGTCCCGATCACACCGGAAGTCACGTGGAGGCGTCACTTGCGACGACGCCATTTTGAATTAATCGAGGGGTAAGTCCCTCGTACAAACAATATTACGTTACGATCTCATATCGAGATAAATCTACGAGCAAAATCCTCAGAATTCATATCTCCAGGGTAGGAATTCGAAAATCCACCTAAAACCCCGAACCCACCCTACAGGGGCTCTAGAAGCTTCGCTTGAAGGAGGACACTTGACCCCTCCTGCGAGGAATATCGAAAACCATTAAGGACTTCCGGTAAGGTCCCAAATTGTCCCGCCACTTCGTGGTAATTCGACGTCCGAGGCGTAAATTTAATGGGCCAAAATGGGCAGAAAGAATTCCGGACTTTATTGTTTTACAACTCTTCCAGTTACGGCCGGCTATTCTCCCGAGCTCCCAGCAGCGCCGGTCCCCACTTGAGTAATCGTAGGAATTGCTCCATTTTCTTGTCTCTACACACAATCGGGAAGGACTACCGTGTGCTGAGGTGTAATTTCACGTGATTTGCGCTGTTTGCCCCGGTTTCACGTGTCGAGATATCGGCACGTACGTGTGCGACACATCGGCATGCTGACCGAAGCCGCGAGGGTAATGCTCGTTTCTTTCCCAAATAATCCGAAGGTTCGTTTACTCCAGCTTGCATTTTATTTTGCAGTATCCGTAGAATTGGAGAGAGAGAGTGTTTGCCCAGGCCCGATGTACATGTCGGATAAATATTGCCGTCAAGGAAAACCCGCAGTCGTGAGTGCAATAATTGCGGGAAAATCGTGCAAATTCCTATATAATTCCGCCGATAAAACAGGTGCACTTCTATTCGATGTCGCAATACCTGGAATATTGAGCTCCGTTCCTTATCAACGTTCTACCCTCAGCATTGCTTTTTTATCTCCCGTTCTCGACCCGAATACAGGTAAACGGTCCGTAATTAGCGCGGCGTTATCACCGGTTTCGCGTTATCACACTTGCTCGACCCTGCAGGGAGATATGCTTCGAGGCAAAGCGGTAGATGAAGAAACGACTCTTGATCCCGAATTCCTAGGACGACGAATCAGCGATACATTGATGATGAGGTCATTTGCATACGAGATTCCTGCACGCTTCAGAGGCACCTGGGGAAACGATCCCTCTCTCTCTTTCTAATTGCGATAATTAGGGAGCTATTATCTCCTATTATTCGCGATTTTAATCATTTTGGATCGCGATACGCTGGCTTCTGATGTGTTATCTCGATTGTGGAATGCCGAAGAAATCCAGAAAGATAGGTAATTAAATTCGTCGTTTTGGTGTTATCAGGACATTTAGGGAATTTAATCGAGTAATTGTTATTAACGTCTCTTGGTAGCTGTGAAAATATTGTTCAAGACGTTTAGATCTCTTAGGCACTTGTAAAGGGTGTCTTGATGAGATCACGACGCTCTTGAATTTATCGGAATAATTATTGTACGCTTTTCGATAATTGTTTACTTTTCATTCAGGTCGTTCGAGTAACTTTTCAAGTTAATTAGAGCTTGATCGCTGGTCTCGGGGATCACGCTCTGCCTCCTTTATGCAAAGCCAACAAGTGGGATACCTGGTAATTGCCGGAGGAAGGAATTTGTTCTTGCCAGCTTCTCTTGATTGGCACAGAGATAAACGGGCTTCAATCGGGTTACCGTTATCACTCGACCGCGAGTTATCGTATCTGCATGTCCCCGCAATCACTAGTGGCAGAGCTCTGCTTACCGGCTCGTTCTGATTCATAAATTAGCCCAGACTATGTCACGATACCACGTCACTAGACATCCTGTGTCACGAGGAGACGTCATTAAAGGAGACCCCAGGATTCCCTTGGAGGAATCGCCCTGATATCAAGAGATGCTGCAGTTCAGTCCAGTTTTTATGATAATCGAGCATCGACGATTAGTCCTATCTCGCTTACCAAATCTTTCGAATTAGACCTCGAGTCGTGCCCTGCCGTTTTTCCAGCACTCTGATTCATTTAACCATAGCCCCTGTCAGCGTTCGTCATCGGACGTCGAGGAAACCCCAAGGGTTCCTTGACGTACGAAGGAGGGAAACCGCCCTGACGACACGACGATTTCCCGAAATGCTGGCCGAGTTCTGCATGCGATTCCGGAAACCGGGGAAACACGGGTTACCGTTCATGCGCCTCCCAGGTGGAGAGAAGAATGCTTTAAATCTCGCTCGCCCTCCAAGGAACGATCAGTCTTCGTGTAATTTCTGTCATAGGCGCACTTGAAGCGGAAGGCCCATACCTGTGATCGAATTAGGTAACTGAGAGTTTCCTCCCTTGAGGGTTAGAGTCTTCAGAAATTCCATCTCGGTATTTAAAATACATTTAATTATTTAACGTCGATCGAAAAATCTGGGAATCGTCGAGTTAGGCTGTTATCATTTCCTTCGCTCGAAGAGGCTCTTGAAATGTTTTATTGCATCTTGGGATTTAAATCGATATCGATTATTTTACGTCGATCCAAAAATCTGAAATGGTCGAATTAGGCAGCGATAATGTCCTCCACTTCAAGAGGCTCCTTAAATATTTCATTTTATTTCATGATTGAGATTGATATCAATTATTTCACGTCGATCCGAAAATCTGGACGGGTCTAGTTGGGCGGTTAAAATTCCCTCCCCTTGAAGGAACGCTCCGGAAATTGTAGTTCCATTTCATTATAGTATCATATCAACGAAGCAAGTGTCAAAGATAGTGCCGAAATTTCGGCGCTACGTGGTCGAGCAATGCCGAAGCGCCGATCAGCTGATCGCTCGGACGGGAAGGGTCCCTCGAGTGTTCCAAATACGACCGTTGCATGTTAAGGAGGACTCATATCCTCGTTACGGGTTTCACGAGCGCCTATTTATGTTTAAAGATATTAGCATATTAGATAATGCCTTCGTATAAGGAGTGTCGCGGCAGAGTCGCCTCAAAGTCGTTCCTAAGATTTGTCGAAGTGATGTCGAGGTCGGGAAATTATAAGGTAGGACTTCTTCAGGATTGCGGGAGATTGAGGAAAATTCATATCCTGCGAATTTCCGCTGAACAGTTTTCTATTCCGATTTTTTTTTTTTTTAGAGCCGGCATGTTGCACGCCGCTGTAATCTCGGCGGCGAAGGAAAAAAGTCACGAGTGGTTTGCCTATGTCGAAAGATCGGCCAGTGTAGCGTTTCCCGATAATGTCTTCGTATAAGGACGCGTTTTGCCGAGCCCCGCTATATAGTCGCGAGTTGTTCACCGGTGTCTAAACATTTGCATAAGTGCGTATCAAATATGCCTTTCGTGTACCCAGAAAAAAAAAAACATGTCATTGCACCAAAGAAATATTTTCATAATTATTCTTTGAATTAACAAATTATTTCTTAGAAACTACTTAAAGTAATGTTTCCTCGGCTCAATGAATTTCTTTTTTTTTCTCTCTCAGTGTATGCATCTCCGAGTGGTAACCTAAAGGCAAAAAACACGCTGCGGGTGATAATTAATTTTTTTTTATACAGTGCTTTTTCTCTCTTCTGGCAATGTCCTTTGTGGTTCCTTTTTTTCCTTCGTCTCGGGATGCAATTTTTTAAATTTTCTTTGTCCGCCACAACTGTATCACCGGGTCAGGGTCGATACAAGAAATGGCGAGTCCCGTTCCGAAGGAAAAACCACCCTCTGAATTTTTACATCAATCAGGGCCGCTGTTTTATTAATGATAACCGTGGCGACGGGATTTTATCTCCGCGGTACCATGAAAGCGGCCGTTATGTAAAATACCGATGGCGATGTGACATCGATATCATATCCGATAACGATTATTCCGGGGCGACGACGCGAGGGTAAGGTCAGGGTCGGTCAGAGACTCCGACCATGAAGAGATTTAAACGTAGGAAAAACGTGTAATGAGACGATTTACTGCATCGTTAATAGTGCAATAATCTGATAAGGTCGACACGACGCGCCCTGGTACCATAAAATAACAAATGATAAGGCAACATTTACTCCAGCGACGAGAAAAATTGATACAATAAACCACGACCTGGCATGTAAATATGAAAAGAAAATTGATGCGAAAATGGATAACCTTATCGCGAGATAAATGTCTCGAGACGAGAGTGGGAGTCGATTTGTCTCCTATTTGGGGCAATTAATGTTATCAGGAGAAACAATTGTCCCTGTACCCCCGCGGACACTCAATTTCCTGATATCACTAGAAGATTAATCGGGCTTGCCGATAAAATATCGCGGCGGCCACTTAATTGGGGACGCTGGTTTAGCAGTGACTCGTCTTTGGCTGGTGGTGGATTAAAGCTCTTCGTTTCCTGTTCACAGAAGTCGAGGGACTCACCTCAAAGCATCATGAAGGGAATAGTCTTCGTGGTCGTCGCTCTGGTCCTCGAATTGGCCTCACCAGGAGAAGCCACGACTACACCGAACCTGCGACTCGTCAGCGTGGTAATTTATTTTCACCCCTTATTTCTCTGGAGTACTTAATAGTTTTATTTCTGCTTTAAAGAAAATGTCTCTTTCAGGTGTTCAGACACGGCGACCGGGCGCCGGATAACAATGGCAAGGAATTATACCCGAACGATCCGTACCTGAACTTCGAATTCTACCCGATGGGCCTGGGAGGACTGACCAACGTAATGAAAAATTAGTTAATTAGAAATTAACGTTTTAACGTATTTTATATAATCTCACCTCGTAGGAAGGTAAGATGAGGGAGTACAGCCTGGGTAAGGCTCTTCGAGCACTGTACGAAGACTTCCTGGGCAACGTTTACGTGCCGGCTGCTCTTCGGGCCCGAAGCACCGACTACGACAGGACGAAGATGTCCTTGCAGCTGGTCCTGAGCGGACTATTTCCCCCAAACCCTGACCAGACGTGGAACAATAATCTCCCCTGGCAGCCGATACCAACAACGTACAAACCCTCCGCGTCCGACGTCCTGTTAATCCCTGAAGAGTGTCCACAGTGAGTGCCTTTATATTTAAATAATTAATCCACACGGCCCTGCGGAAACGACAACCTGGATTCTTCCAGGTACCTCATCGAGCTGCATCGCGTGAAGCACCTCCCGGAGATCCAGGCAAAAGTCGCCAGGTTAAATGGCTTCATGGCGAACCTCACCCAGCTCACGGGGAAGCACATGGACGACACGAACGACCTGTACTATCTCTATCATTCGTTAATGGCCGAGTACTCGATGGGTCTTCGTCTTCCCGAGTGGGTCTACAGCATTTTCCCCGAAGGAGATCTCCTGGACGGCATCAACCTCGAGTATGAAATCACGAACTATAACACCGCGCTGAAGAGGCTAAACGGAGGTGAGGGTTTTAGATATGGAACTCTAGGATAAGCGAAGAGAATCAGTACTAGATTATTAATAAATCCTGATTACAGGCGTGCTGGTGCGCAAGATATCGCTCGATATGGTCGACGTCCGGAACGGGAAGATGGATCCGAAGCGGAAATTGTATCTCTACAGTGGCCACGAAACGAATGTCGCTGCCCTTCTATCAGCTCTTGGCGTTTACGAGCCCCATGTACCGCAGTACTCAAGTGCGGTGATAATCGAGCTGATGCAGTGGGGGGCAGTTTATTATGTCAGGGTATGACATTCCGATCAAACGAATCGAGGTCCTAAGGTAGATACTTTAATCCGGGGTTTTGCAGGTGAGGTACTACAAGGGGATCCCGGCCGAAGTTGAAGATCTGCTCATCCCTGGGTGCACGATGTTATGTCCCCTCGAGAAGTTCCTGAAGCTCATGAGGAACGTTACTCCGTCCGACCAGGAGCTGTACTGCGAGAAACCTGCGAACCTGGAAGACCTTTTCCTTGATTACCATGATCCTGAGGTGCACATGGTGCACAACGATGTTCACTTAGAGCGCAATTAAGGTGATATGAAAGCATCGTTCTTTTATATATATATCAAAACGTCAAAAGATTTATAACACTTTGCTCCGATTTAAGTGCAACGAATTATTTTGAACCTTAGCACGTGATTATAGGGACCCTACGGAAGAAAGCGATGCTCGTGAAATTTCATTGTTCCAAAAAGAAAATGGTTTATTTATCTGAGATTAGAACTAGAGACAAATATTTTGGTTGAAAAGTGAAATTTCATTAGCATCGCCGTCTTCCTTAGGGCCTCCATAATCACATGCTGAATTACAAATGATTCGGTGCATCCAGTTTGGAGAACAGTTTTGTAAATATTTTGGTGTTTTGTATATGGAGAATGAAACTTTCATAGCGCCTTAAGGGCCCCTCGAGTGTTAGGCAATTTCGTATCAGTTTTCACGATTCGAGGGAACGTGTTTTTTACGAGTAACCGGCGAGATGTCTCGCATTAGAGAAATCATTAGTGCTGGTCGGGCGAGTCCTCGGGCTGGTTGAAAAATTATTAACGATCGTCGTCGAGGTGGTTGAAAAATTGTTAACGATCGTCCTCGAGGTGGTTGAAAAATTATTAACGATCGTCGTCGAGGTGGTTGAAAAATTGTTAACGATCGTCCTCGAGGTGGTTGAAAAATTGTTAACGATCGTCCTCGAGATCGCTCGCCCGAATTTCTCCGACGATGCCGGCGCGGATGACCGGTGGAAATTCATAGCAATTACATCGGCCTTTATTTATCGGCTCTAGACGCTTATTATCCGTGGTTCTTATTATTTATTCACACGAGGACAAGGTATGTCTCGACGGAATCGATTAGTCCGATTTTGTCGCGCTCGAATTAGCTCCTGTAATCAGTTTCTGTATGTCGAACCTACCTTGACTTGTTAGCCGGTTAACATTTTCACGTAGGTATAATATTTCGAGAAAAAATTGAATTATAAACGTAATCTTGTTAAGAATCAAGGCCTCACCGAAGCTACGCAGCGTTTTGTTAGCTAGTAAGAAACCGAATTTGAGAATTACGCCGTAATTGCGGTTTAGTATTTATTGATTGCCATTCGTCTGCACAGAGGGTGCTGATTATTAAATTATTCGAAGGAATTATTTAATTGATACGTGCAAAGAAATAAACTTCAATGTTAGCAAGATTTTCCTCTCGTTGATACTCCCCTGGTAGCACAAAATACGTCTCTTATATTTTCTGTATATTTAACGCATGTCGTACGTTTTGTAAATATTTACCAGACACTTGAAGTATTTGAGAAACGTTTACTTAAGCGAACACTACACGTGTTCTCGTAATATTTTCCTTATAGATATATAGAACGTTTCGTTTAATTTCGCCGAGTACATTATAAATGTTTTAAAAATATTTAACATCAAAATCACACCTTATTATATCTGATCTTAAAAAATCTCGAGATGGCTTTGAGATATTTAGGAAAGATTACAAATAAATATTTAGAAATTATTCTGTGCTACTAGGGTCGGTGTCATTTGGCAAGGGCGAAGATATATATTTTTGGAAAATATACAGGTCGTGTCTCTAGTAGAAATTTTGCAAGTTGATATCACGCGTGCTAATCATAGCTCGAGAATTGCATCAGTTCTGCAGTGCAGTTCCCTAGTGTCATTTGCGATTCTCGTAGCGCTCTGTCAAGCGACATGGAATTATACTTCATTTCAGTGATTTTTGCAATTCTGCCTTATTGTCGGTCGGAGCTTAAATTGTTGCAAGTGCTATTTAGACACGGTGCTAGGACACCCGATGAAGAAGTGCCGAAAATGTATTATCTGAAGGATCCGTACATCAATATGACTTACTTTCCCGCCGGGTTTGGGGGGCTCACTAATGTAAGTGATTAATTGCATTTTGCAATTGAAACCTTAATTAATGTATCTGAACCATAGGGCAATTTGCTTTGCGATTATATATTGGCTTTGAGAAGTCAAACGCTGCCTTAAGATGATATGAAAAGGTTATTCTATACACATCACACGTGAAAATATTAATAATAACTTTTCTCCAAACTGGAGGCACCGAATTTTCTGAAACATTAACACGTAATTATCGAGGCCCTAAGAAAGAACGCAATGCTCGTGAAATTTCATCTTTCGACAAAAAAACTCTTTTTTTGGGTCCTTGTCCGAGATAAATGGCAATTTTTTTTTTTTTGGAAAATGCAATTTCACGAACGTCGCGTTCTTCCTTAGGGCCTCCATAATCTCGTGACGAGGTTTCAAATGATTCGGTATACCCAATTTGCAGAAAAGTTTTATAAATATTTTGACGCTTCATGTATATTGAATGACCCTTTCGTGAGTCCTTAACTTTTTAGGCGGGGAAGATGATGGAGTACGAACTCGGAGAATTTTTCCGAGAGAGATACGGCTCTTTCTTGGGGCCAATTTATTCAAGCGACTTTGTCACCTTCCAAAGTAGCAACAAAGAGCGAACGAAAATGTCGGCACAACTCGTGGCTGCTGGACTTTATCCGCCGAGCGAGATACAAAAGTGAGAGGCCACTAAACGTTTCGAAGAAACTAAGTCAGAGATTAATAATAAAATAGTATTATAATTATATATAAACGGTTAGGAAGAAATAATTAGTCGCAAATGAATTCCTATCAATAGGTGGCATCCGGATCTGCCATGGCAGCCGATTCCGATCAGGTCGGAGTCCCTAAATTCGGACCTTCTTTTCCTGGGTTTTCAAATTTGCCCGAACGTGCAACGCATCAGACACGAAGCATTACACACAGACGAACATCTATTAGCCCATACAAAAAATTTGACGGAGTTCGATCGATTTATGTCGATGAATACTGGGGTCAACGCAACAGGTGTGAAGAACGCCGTTCTTTACGAGCACCTTTACGCACAGGTGAGGCTCATCTTTATTGCTGAAATGATTTATAAATTTCATTGACGTGAGGCTTTCTAAGATGTCCCTAGGACTGGAACTGCCGGCATGGACGAGGACCATTTTTCCAAATGGGAAGTTGAACGAAGTCGCAAGTTTCGAGCATGTAATCCAATCCTACACGAAACCTCTAAAACGTGCCAATGGAGGTGAGAAATCCCTATTACGATATGAATAAAATTCCTCTAAAGACGAAGAGTAGTTTTTTGTTTTTAACATCGGTGATATTTCATGTTTCACAGGAATGTGGGTGGAAGAATGGCTGAAGAACATCGACGATCATTTGAACGATACTTTGAGTTTTCAGAGAAAGGCGCATTTTTATTGTGGACATGATTTGAATATTGCCGCTCTACTGATAGTTCTTAATGTTTTCCAGCTTCACATGCCGCAATATGCCAGCGCAATTATGTTCGAACTCCACAAAGAGTCGGATGAGTATCTTATCAAGGTAAATAAGAACTTAAATTACTTTCTGAGCCAGCTCATATTTAATTTCCACTTTATCTGCTTCACAGACGATTTACAAGAATGGAGGCGACATCGAGGAGTTAATTATCCCGGAATGTGGGAAACTGATGTGTCCATTGAGTACTTTTCGACAACTCTATGCAGACTTGTTGAAAGATGATGCTCAAAGAATTTGTCACGGCACCCCGATAGCGAAAATTAACGTCCCGGATTAGTTCCTTCTTTTACGCACTTGTTTCGTTAATTAATAGTTACCTACGGTGGACGTTTAGAATTTATTTATAATAGCCTATTAACGATAAATATTTCGTACTTCGATGCGAATTTATTTCCAATGGGCAGAATAAAATGACAATCGTCGGGTTGATCAATTTTGGTTTTTCCGCTCTGCAAATAGCTCGATTAAATTTTCTTTGCTCAAGGACTCGTAGATGCATTTCAAGTCCTGGTCAGAGGGGAGGCGATCTTTTACGAAATCGAGAAATGTTTCCAGGGGACACAAATCCTCACATCCGGCGACTTTTGCGGTAATCAGCCGTTCGTCGACGCCCGTCCAAGCAATGATCTGTAAACCCGCCGATTATTACATTCTTAATAATATTTAATTTAGTATTAATAATTACCCTGATGTATTGTCTGCCTTGATTATCCTCGTGTAATTCAACCATCATTGCCGTTCCAAATGTGGGAATTACTGGCTCCTTGATATCCAGGACTCTGTTAAAAGCCGCCACGTTAATCTCATGACCACTGTACAGGTAAAGCTTTCGCTCCATATTAACAGTGCCATTAACGCCCATATTTTCCAAAAATCGTTTCACGAGGACGCCGCCGTTTCTCTTTTTCAGCTCGGCCGTATACGATCTCCTTTCGTATTCGAAAACGACAACCTCCGACATTTTTGCCAGCACGTCATCCGTGCACCAATCGGGCAATTTCAGTTTCATGCCAATCTGTAAGTAGGATATCATAATCACCTCTTATCACACTTAAAACATAACGAATTTTCACTTCCCTTAATTTTTTTTTTTACCTGTGCCGTTAACAGATTGTAGATTTCATAAACCTGAGCCGGCTCGACGATGTTAATGCCACTTTTCTCGGAGAGGAATTTGAAGAATTCCGAAAAAGACTGAATCCTTTGGACGACTTCCGGAATTTTCTTCGCCTTCTCGAAGGCGTCTATGTACCTGAAATTAATCGATGTGCTCAATTTACGGTATCATTTCAATTACCTTTTTTGTAACTATGTTTCCATACAATTTGTATATTAACGTTTAGTTTGATATGCAAAAATGTGGAGTGATCTGCACTCACCCTTTACAGAAATGCGGCCTCATCAGGATGTCGACTTTTTCGGGAAAGTATATCGTGGGAATGGGCAGCCAGGGTAAATTTGGATTCCATTTTTGGGAAGGTGTAGGTGGATATAATCCTGCAAGCACCAATTGCAAGGATACTTTCGTTCGGTCGAGGTCGGTGCTATAAGCGTACACCTCCGCAGGTCGATATACTCTCCCTAGAAATTGGTCGTAGCGATTCCGCAGCATTTCTCCTATCCTGTACTCCCGCATTTTTCCTTTCTGAAATATCGTTTAATAATGAGCACTTTTTTGCCTAACACGGAGAAAAATCAGCGCCTTAAAGTTACAGAAGCCTATCCGTTTACAATTGTTCACGATACGGTTTAAAACTGTCCCATTAACTGATTAATGTGAAGTGAAAGACGTCGCAGAACTTGATCGACGTCGGTAAAAAAGGTTTTTCAAAATACCTACGTTGCCGACGTTCGTTTTTATATTGACAACGGTGTCGAATTATATTGAGATATTGTACTAAATGGCATACTCCATCTGTCGTTTTGGTACAATAATTATAAAGAAATTGAAGTAAAACCCCAGAAATCCCCTGGCTTCATGATTTCTGAGGCCCTAATTGACTGTAGAGGGACACCCTGCGCCATCTGTGAGTTTCCATGTCAACTAAATTTTCACTCCGAAACCTCATATTACCATCGTTTTAACGTTGTTAGTAATGTAATATAAATAATAGATATTTGTCGGTATTTTTTACGGATTTGAGTAACAAGAGCTCTATCGTAACGCTGACGGAAATAATCCGTTGTCCTTATTTCGAGGGATACAATCTGAATATATCAGATTTTTCTGTAAGTTTAACAGATTTTCCTTTTTCCTCCGTGAATTAATACTTGCATTTGTCAGCTGGCCCAGACCCCATGGTTCGTAATCCGCCTCTGTGTACACATCCTTCGGGTACATCTCCTTCGCCAATGGTGTCCTTTCTCCATGTCTGAAGAGCTGTGAAGAAGATTGAAAAAATGTATAAGAAGCTTCTTCGATCCGGAATAAAAAAAAAAAAATAAATTCAACACTTTTACACTCACCACCTGCACCAACTTTAGACGCGTCTCGTTCTGGCCTGAGCACACAAACGAGCAGAAAATCAGGGCAAACGTAGCATATAACGTTGCGATGTGAAAATATAACAAATTGGATGCAAGAAGCATAATGCGAGAGAGATATCCTCCCGAGTTGAACTCGAACTTGGCATATATACTCCGGTTAAATAAATAAGGAATGTGGGCGAATATTTGCACAAATGTATGACAATGGTCTCCGATGTCTTAACTAAACAAAATGCAACACCCGAGTAACTTCATATTTGTGCAAGTAATGTGACGTGAAAATTCTGAATTTGTTTTATCTGTGGGGAGCCGATTTCGAGGACTAATAATTTCCTGACAAGAATCGAATCCGAACTGCAAAACTTCTTGAAGAGTTGTGGCAGTTAGGTGGATAGTTTCGTTATACATTAGATAAGTTCGCATAATTGTATTGAGGTCTCTGCAGTGGAGAGCCAATCGCCTCTCGTGTTTGCGAAGCGAATCGATAAACCGCTCGATTTTACAGAAACGGGTCAAGTTCGTCGGTTTTTATGAACTTTGAGTCATTTTTTATGAACTTTCAGTCGGGTCGATTTTTCAATTCCGGGGCGCTACGAATCAGCACTCATATCTGTCATCTGTCAAAGTGACAGATCATTTTGACAGATGATCAAGTCGGTACTCGTAAGTTTTTTAATTTAATCCCACATTTATAGAGCGGAGTAACAATCGACTGTTTTCAATTTTCGTGGCTTTCGACAGGAGGAATTAATTATAATAACTTACTATCACGAGATAACGTCGAACTCGAGCTTAACCGAGTGCATTGGCAATTGAACGGTTCCATGTAATTAATTCTGATGCACATTATTTACAGATGACTAATTGAATTAATCTAATAAATTAAACTTTTTTTTTTTAAAGGTCTGAAAAGTGACTAATTTTTTAGGGGAAATTTATAGGCGCGCCATGGTGAATCCTTTTGTAGGGTGCACTATCGATTCCAATTTCGAAAAGTTCATGACATTCGATATCGCAATTCATGCGTAGACAAGTATTGGTAAATTTTCGTCATGGGCACCACAATTAATCGTGACACTGATTTTCGCAATAACTCAGTGAAATAACATTCGTTACTGTAATTTCATCCTTGAGTTGCGGTTTCGTTGCGATCTCGTTGTACGAAATAATTGTGGTCAGCGACCAACTATTATGAAATATTAAATCGACATCGGGTATACCAGTTTTATTCTGCGACTGTCACGCAGAAACGAAGAATTCAAAGGACGAAGGATTAACAACGCTTTGTTTTTTTTTGTTCATTCCAAATCATTTGTTGATTAATTTCTAATGATTTGCTAATTATTCTCGGTGTCAACAGTCAGCTGTAAATTACATCCGGCCACAGGGGTGCAGGAGTAGGACGACCACAAGCTCGGGTGAAATTATTTGCGACATTTCCCTTGACAATTCTATAAAACTCCTGCCAGTACGAAAGCTCGGAAAATCGTCTGACCGTCAATTCGACCTCTTCGAAGTTATCGGCAAAATAATTCAGCTAGAAAGCAAAAGCCAATTAGTGAGAGAAAATGTGCATCCAGGAAATTCCTGAGAGAAAATCTAGGGTACATCTCCCTGCACTTTTTCATAAGAAAAAAAAAAAAGAAAAATACATACTTTCGGAAAATCGCAGCGAGGTGTCCTCTCTCTAACAATAAGTTCGGAAATACATTTTAAGGGGAAATGGTGGATTTCGAACCGTTATAAAGAATCCCTTGGTAATGGAGTTTTGTCGCAACTCGACGGCAATCGCATGTGCATATCCAATTGAAGCAGGAGGGCGTGCAATTTCTAGGCAATTTAGGAATCCTGCAAGGACGGTCTCATGACCAGAGTAGAGGGTGAGGTAAGGTCCAGGTTTACCTTGCATGGATCCCTCGACGTCCTGCAGGACCTTCTTCAGCAGCTCTCCTGTAAGAACCGAGATTCGAATTAACGCGAGCACTCTCTGTCTATTGAAAACAATGCTCGAACTGTCATTTGGCAAGGTCTCGGTTGCGGCCGCATCGATTTATTTGGAGGACGTACTGAGAGTTTATTTTTACCGCCATTAAGCTGTCGCAAAAGCCGAGTCGCGGAACCTAGTTTCAGTCTGAGCTGGGAGGCCTTCTCGAGAAGATCCAACGAATGCTGAAGAGCTTTCGGCGGATTCAACTTGCAGTTCACCTGAAAGCATATTGCGCTTAAAGTGATATGAAAGTGTCATGTATGCATACCAAAAAGTCTTTATTAAACTTTTCTCCAAATTGGGTGCCCCGAATTATTCGAAACATCATCACGAGATTTTGGAGGCCCTGAGGAAGAACGCGATACTCGTGGTATTTGATATTTGAAAAAATAAATATATACTTATCTTGGAGGCAAGAACCAAAAAAGGACACGACGAAATTTCACAAACATCGCATTCTTCCTTAGGGCCTCCATAATCACGCGTTAAAGTTTCAGATAATTCGGTGCACCCAGGTTGGAGAAAAGTTTTATATATAAATATAGAATGACTCTTTCATATCTCCTTAAGCATTTTCAAAAAAGAACCATGTACTCGGAACATTATTTTCCAATCTTACGAGTGATAAATAATTCTGGTAGATTCGGTACACGTCATCGGGTCGCTGCATATCTTTGCCAGTTTCTTCCGCTAAGTTTCTCAAACTTAACGTCATATTGCGCCATAATTTGTTCTCCGAAATCACTCGTTTCAGTTCACTGGAGTAGCGGGGACAGTAGTGCCTGTAATAATACGATTATTTAAACAAAAGATAAATACCGAGGCATTTTATATGGAATAAAACGTTACCCAAAGAAGAGTTTGTCCATAGGCCAGGGTAGATATTTAACATTTGCTGGCTGCCATTGAAGTTTCGTGTTCCAAATCTCGTCAGTCCTCGGTTTTAGCAGCGAAGCGAGGACTAAGGAAGCACTGGACTACATTTTTTAATTAGACACGTAATTTACTCTGCTTTCCAATTATTTATGAAAATACCTTTGAATACTCCACGTCGTTACTCCAACACGTCACGTCCCTCAGCTTCAAGTAACCAGATTTATGTCGGTATCGATTTCGTAAAAATTCCCCAAACTTATACATCGTCGCCTTACCAGCCTGTAACATAAAATTAAATTAATGTATTTGATTTTTGCAATTATTATTCAAGCTCGTTCACACATGCGTAAGGGCGCCGAATCCATAAGGACGAAATGTCTCGTTTCCGTAAGGATCTCTCGGATATGTCTCGGAAAAATTATTCCTCGTCCGAGCTCCATGGTTAAACACCTAAAAGATAATGGAATATTTTACCATGATCGCGAAATTATTCTTGGGTAGATCTTACCACGTGCAGGGATTTGATAGGAAATAATGCCTCGACGTTGTGCTTTACGCCGTGAATTTTGCACGGAATGAGGAGAATTAATGCCCACAGTGTGCCCGGTAATTTCATGATGACATATACTACTCATTTTTTGCTGGGGAACCGATGAAGAAACGATTACAGGGCAAAGGTTAATTCGATAGTTATTTGTTTTCAAAAGTTCCCGCGCGTCGCGCCGCCGCGTCGACAGGTGGCGCCACCGTGGTGATTTGAACTCTTGTGCTCGGTAGGTAAACGAATAACCGCAAGAAAGAATAGAAAGTTATACAATAATGAAATTCTAAATTTCAGAAGCTTACAGTGGTAAGAATTCGGAAATCGAACTATTGCATTTTAAAGTCCTTCCTAAGATAATATTCGATAATAGTCTCGATAATATCATTTAAGCGAAACTAATACATGGCAGTCGATGGGGCACCCAACGATGCATCCATGAATGAAGCGTAGAATACTTTCGTAAGATCGGGCTACATACCTTTTTGCTTTCTGTTTTTTTTTTAGGGCGTCCACCTACACACTTCTACGGTGAGAAACCTAACCTAATCTACGGAGATCCATCCCCACAAGCGATGTGTGCGACCTGCCGACCCAAGTGGACGGTAACTCACGAAACGACTGTATCTGTTTTCTCTACCGAACGTGAGTCGAAAGATTATTCAAGGAGCTCGCAAAATCGAGCGACGCGACGCATAACTAAAGATAAAAAAGACTTCAGAAGGGTAAACATGTAGTAACGGAAGCAATTTAAGAATTTAAATCTTGCTTTTCATCAGGTGGAGCAGTTCATCAGCGCAGCTATTTGAATTTCAGAAATCTGAAAATTCACACTGGGAGTTGGAAGAAAGGTGTGGTGATTATATATCACTCCTCGTGATCCTAGAATCTGGAATACAATAGTAATGTGTTAATCCATTCCGCGAAATTGAGCGTCGCGATGCATGGCTAAAAATAAAAGAGACATTAAAAGGTTAAGAATGTAGTAACGGAAGGAATTTAGGAATTTAAATCTTGCTCTTTCACAGATGGTGCGGTTCATCGACGCGGTTATCTGGAATTTGCCGAAAGTCTGAAAATTCACGCTGGAAGCAGGAACGAAGTTTTGGTGATAAGACTTCGCTCTTCTCGATCCTAGAATCTGGAATACAGTAGTATAGTGTTAATTCATTCCGCGAAATTGAGCGTCGCGATGCATGGCTAAAAATAAAAGAGACATTAAAAAGATAAGAATGCAGTAACAGATGCATAGATAAATTTAGGAATTTAAATCTTGTTCTTTCACAGATGAAGCGGTCCATCGGCGCAGCTATTATGTTATCTGGAATTTGTCGAAAGTCTGATAATCCATGCTGGAAGCAGGAACGAAGGCGTGCCGATAAGACATCGCTCCTCTCTATCCTAGACTCCAGAATATGCGAGTAAGGCGTTGGGCCATTCCGTGAGACTGACGTAATCGGGAAGCCAACCGGTTGGCATTTCGTAGGAACGGAAGTCGAGTCGGACCAATCGGAGGCGTGGGTTCGGCACCCGGTACCTGTGCGGAAATTTAAATGAGACAGAGGTAAGGTTGGACTGCGATCTGGAAACCCAAATAAGGTCCGTGCGTACGACGTGTCACACGTTTTATTCTATACGGAGAAATTGGTAATTCTCTATCACGATCGGAACCTACGTGACGCGACAGGTCGTAACGCCTTGCCTCCTTTCTTTGCAGGCGATAAAGCGGCACGGAGTTAGAACTATTGCACGGTCAGCCGTTATTTTCATAGCAGATTGACATCATCCTCGATAACCCATAAAGTCACGTCGACGGTAAGCACCGACTCCGGATTACGAGTGAGCGCTATTTCGAACGGTTGACGCGTCTCAGGAATTATCGCCTCTCCGTATTCCTGATCTTTGATACCCCTCGACAGTCGGTTAAGTGGACAAAAACGAGAAATCTCTATGCACGCACGTCCACTCCATAAGCGACCATTACTTGCCAATAGCTCCATCGAACAAATTCACTCTTACAAGCGTATGCGAAATTGACATTCAATTTCTACATTGTTCCAGACAGCCGTCCTATCTTGGAGATGTTGGAACCGCATCAAAGGGCTAGCTACCAATATAGAAATTATCAAGTCTACATCCCCAGATTACTTAATCCTGGCAAGCGGTCGATCATGCTCGTAAGAATCCTACGTGGGCGAAAATTACATCTGGCCATTTCTCTCTAGGACGGACTCGATGGCGCCTTGCTTCTGTGGAAACGAACCTGAAATCCCGTTTATAATAAGATCGATCCTGATTTACTTTTTATTATGAAAACCTCAGTACCAAGGTTGCTTAACTCCTACGCTTCACGAAAAAGTGTTACAACTACCGAGGGAGTCAAATCGGGCTATGAAAACGTGTTGTCAACGTGAGTGACGTAATGTATCGGTTTAATGAATGAGCATCGATGTGCGTTAATAGTACGCGTAGGATTTCTCGCACTTATGCGCAAGTTGCAAGGAGATCTCACCTTCTGTTGGCCCTTCGTAGAAGAAGCTTTTTCCGAGGCAGCTCTTGCTGTTATTATTATCCGTCGAAGCATCATTCACGCCGTCACCGTGAAAAGCGGCTAACTCTGTCGACCGTCGTGGGCGTCGCTAAAGAAAACGCGACGTCCGCGCCCACGTTTGCGTCGCTTTCGAGCCGCGAACGGAACTCGGGTTCCCATGTCTAACAAGGACATGAATTACATCTCGCGTTTATCCTCAGGCGAATCTTATGGGCCCGAGTACTTTTCTTTTTCCTGATGCCAAAATATGGCACTTCGTTGTCCCTGCATTCTCGGCTGCGCAGTAGATCGCTGCGCTCGGGGCTGCGCGCGCAGCTCGCCAATATGGCGGACGCGCCAGGCTTAGCGCGCGAGCGGTCAGTCGCGTGGAGTCAGTTGCGCGCGGTCGGTCCACGGCGCAGGATCTCGTCTCTTCGTCATTTTTACACGACTCGTATTCGACTCGATTTTTTTTCTCGAGGAGAGGCCTGAAGAAAGTGAATCTTCCCGGTGTGGGTCAGTCATTCGGATTACCCCGTGTCTTTCGGTGAGACTTCTAACCTATCTTTTACAGAATTTTCCATTATTTTATTAATTTGTTTTACCTTATAGCAGGAAATGTCGCACGAATATTTTATTTCATGTGGATATTTAATTGTATAAGAGCGTGATTACAGAGTGAATATTAATGGATATTTTAGGTATGGTTTTATTCATTTGTTTTACCATGTAGCAGGAAATATCGCTCGAATATTTTATCTCACGTGAAAATTTAATTGCATAAGGCCGTGCTTACAAAGTGTATATTAATAGATATTGTAGGTGTCTTTTTTTTTTCTGGGAATAAAATCGGTCATAAAGTCGGTGATATAGGGAACCGTATGCCATTCACGATCGGCGAGGCATTCCTTTCCGAAGCCTTTGTGCAGAAATTATTGCCTTCCTCTGACGCCTAGTAATTGCCGTAAAGAAACGATTGCGCCTACCTGTGATTAGGATGAAGCGTGGGTAATCTTTTATCTTTTACTTAGGTCAAGCCGGCGGATGATGTGGGAATTTGTGAGCGAAAATGAGCGGCTTTCTAATCACTTCACGGGCGGTTGGGAAATCTGGAAAATTTTAATAAAAACACGAGAGCTGGGCTCTGGGGAACGGAAAACTCGGCGCTATGCCAAGAGGCGCCAGTTTGTGTTGCATGACGCCTCTGTCGAAAATAGGCTACTTTTCATGCGCATTGTGTCAACCTGGGTCTTGGATCGACCACGAGAAGCGAACCACAGAAGCGAGCGCTGAAAACTATCTCATTTTCAATACAAACAATCCCCTAGAAGCGAGAAATGTTTCATGCTAATTTACGGATCTTGCATGTTAAACAGTTTTCCAGGCTAAACGAACCGCTCAAATTCCGCGACAATTGTTCTGCCGGCCAATTGTCCAGTTGCATAATCCGGACCGATTAATCTTCGGCGATGATTGCAATCTGCATCCCGTTTGCACTTTGGCTTTATACCAGATAATGTACTCGCCATTGTCCGAAATTGTTTGATTTCCGGGTTTTGTCGAGAGCCAGAGTGGGTCTTCACGGTTAAAAAAGGAAAATCGCAGTTTCACGGTATTTTCGCTGGAAGTCTCATTTAGACAGGGTTCATTAATTTCTTAAGGTCGGTTATGAATTTAGTACTTGTATTAATTTTATTCCCGCGTAATGTCTGTATATAATGGTCTTCTTGTAATGGTGCGCCGAGAAGAGTAATTCATTGGACCGAGGGAATATATTTTGTCAATTAAAATATTATTTATTTCGAATGAAGTGAAATAAATGGTGATCATTCTGACGACAGGTCGCATCCAATTTATTCCGGGTTATTTCGGTGAAATAATTATTCATCGGATTTACGAAACATTCCATTTGTTCAATGAAATGTTTTTTTGCTCAGGGTACCATTCAGATGGATTCCGAGGGGGCAAGTGAAACTGCAGTTTTCTCCTATGCCGACGCCGCGTTAAGTTAAGGAAATGAGCACTTGCATCGCGGAATTTCCTGCGAGCAGGTCGTCCGAATGATTGCGATAAATGCGTGGAGAACATTAATTTGCTCGGCTCTCTCTCTTTCTCTCTCTCCCTCTCTGCTACTTTTACGGGCTCTTTCTCCCCGAGCATTTCTTGCTCCGTTTAACTTCCGCCGATCTCGGGGTACGACTCGGCGGATTTAATGCTCTTGCATACGCAAATCGCGTCTAAATGCGTCCAGCCGACGCCCAGGCTTAAATATCGCGTCTAGGATGATTATAGCAATCATATTTCCGTCTTGCGGGCGATATTTAACCCTCTCCATGGGATTTCCACGATCGGTGCTCGGGTTCAAAGTTAACCTCCACACCTCGGATGATAATTAAGACCGGCGGGTCGTGCTCTTGAAACTGTCGCCCTTGTTGTTTATTCGGTGAAAAATAATTCCCCACTCGGCCGGTAAATATTTCTACGATGCCGTCTATACTCGGAGCGGCCCTCGCGCGAAAAGACTAATATTTATGCGCGCCTGATTTAGATTTTCCCTCGAACTTTCTGCGGGCTCGCGGTTTCCCGCAGCGTAACTTGTCCTGTGTCTTGATTTCCGATTTTTATTTTTAATAAGGGACGAGGAACGTCTTAGACCATGATTGGTCCAATATTGCCTGCACGGTCAGACGAATTTCGCCCATATGTCGAATTGGCTTCGTGTTCAAAGAGTTAAGGTGACACGAAAGTGATCCATCGTCAATCGTCGTGAAACTTTTCTCCGAACTGAGTGCACCGAATAACTTGATACTTTAACACGTGATTATGGAGGCCCTAAGGAAGAACGCGATGTTTGTGAAATTTCATTTTTCACGAAACAAAAAAATGTCATTTTTGTTCCAGTATGGGACATATAATAAAATTTTTGCTTGGAAAAAATGAAATTTCAGGAGCATCACGTTCTTTCTTAGGGCTGAAGTGTCAAATGATTTGGTGCACCCAGTTTGGAGAAAAGTTTTATAAATATTTTCACGTTTTATGGTATTGTATATAGAATGTCTCTTTCATATCACCTTAAGGGTTCCATCGATGAGTGCGTGGGCGCGTTTGGCATAATCCGGCTCGAGTTATTTCCGATTTTTTTTGAAACGAGTGACAAGCAATTATTAGCCGCATAATTACGATCTAAGATCCGATACGTTCGATAAAAAGCCGACTTTGTTAAAGGTTTTCTCGGGCGCATGCGTCCCGGAGCGGAAATGTTTTATAAATATTTTTACTTTCTGACATATATGCATGTATAACACTTTCATAGCACCTTAACATCGGCGAGTGCGTGGGCGCGTTGGGCATAATCTGGCTCGTTATTTCCGATTTTTTTTTTAAACGAGTGACAAGCAATTATTAGCCGCATAATCGCGATCTAAGATCCGATTTGTTCGATAAAAAGCGACTTTGTTAAAGGTTTTCTCGGGCGCATGCGTGGGCGTCCCGGAGCCGACCTTCGGCTGCGCCGCCGGCGGGGCTGGAGCGGGCGAAGGACTCGTTTCGCTTTTTTCCTCGCGCCGTCGCTTATAAACTCCCAGAAACGTTTCCTCCGGCGGGCCGGGAGGAGACCGGTTCCTCTTGGTGCCTTCCCCGTGGAGGCTCCCCGAGCCGCGGAGGATGCATTCCTGGCCGGCCGCCTGCCAGGGGAAAAAGGACCGGCGAATGATTTACGCTCATTGGGCACCCGCAGCCTCGCGCGCATGCGCCCTGGCCACCTACGCGCCATCTTGAACACGCGATCGCGGATTTCTGCGCCGAACCCGAGGGGACGTTCACTCGGAAATCGGTGAAATATTGGGTTGGCAAAAAACTGATTGTGGATGTTGTCAATAAATGGTATTCAAAAATCCGCAATCACTTCGTTGCCCACCCAATAGTTTCCCTTCATTGAAAACCGCCTGCCTCTGATTTTATTTCATAAACAACAATGCGATTCGGTAACATAACCCAACAATATTTGTTTATTTTTTTTAACCGCTCTGGGTTTTGTAGGAAAAATAAAAGGAAATGGCACAAACGTCTGCATCACAGAAACATTCCGATAAGCCAATTATAATTTTGTTTGTGCCGCAAACTGGATTCCGGGTTCACCCAGCCCAATGTTTTTCGGTGATTTCTAATGACTTCCAGTGGCCTCCTCTTGATAGATTTGCATATGATTTCCACCTGATTTCGAGGATTAAAATCCCCGATTTCCTGTGCGAATGACCCTTCTGTAATAATTGATCTCATATTTAGCGTCAAATTTAAAAGATCTCGCGCTTTAACCCCTTGGCTACTAAGAGCCCGACGTTTGGTCTAATATTGCCTGCACGGTCGGACGAATTTCGCCTATATGTCGAAATGGCTCCTTGTTCAAAGGGTTAAGGATCATTATCGGGATCCTTGCGATAAGCAATAGAGAACGGAGGAGCGATTAGGTTTAATGAGCAGACCGTCCAGTTTGCACCTGAAGTGGAAAAATATAAGAGGTGCGAAATAGTCCATGAGTCAGAGGCTCGGTTTAAAAGTAATCCAACCCGACGGAGTCCCCGACGAGCGGAGACGATCCATTTTGCCCGGCTAATTCCGTCGTATTCGTCAAGCCCCTCTTTTCTTAACACGATGAGCTTGACTTCCGCTGCGCTTCGAGACTGCGCCGGTTAATTGGGGTCCATCATCTTCCTGGACGATCTAATCTGTCCCCGTAGAAAAAAAAATCACGTTAACGAGGCGATCTATACCGAGCGCAAAAATGAACATTCTAAACGAGATCACTTGCGACCATCGAAATGTTTTATCGGCGGATTTTGTCATTGCTACCGGCAAAATATCTTTCCAATCGATAAATATCATATTTTCTCAAGTACAGGGAAATTTTTCTCTCAGGGTATTACATATATATAACGTCCAAATATTTATAAAACTTTTCTCCAAACTGGGTGCACCGAATCATTTGAAACTTTAACACATGATTATAGAGGCCATAAGAAAGAACGCGATGATCGTGAAATTTCATTTTTCACCCAAAAAAAATATGATCTCGGTTCTGGCCTAGACTGAAGAAACAATTTTTTTTTGGAGAAACGAAATATTACGAGCATCATGTCATTTCTTAGGGCCTTTATAATCATATGTTAAAATTTCAAATGATTCGGTGTACAGAGTTTGGAGACAAGTTTTGTATATACATGGAACAACCCTTTCATATCACTTTAACCGAGTCGGAATAAGTATTCCGCCTTTTGGAGGGGGTTTTTGTCGCGACATTCTTGCTGGAAGACTTCCACGCTGAGAGGAGACGAGGGGGCGATGAGTTGAAGAAGAGCGTTCCTTTTTATGAGGATTAATAGGCCCATCGGATGAAAACGGCCCTCTCGACTTATCTCGGTACCCTCGATTGGACGGATAAAAATACAGATTTCGCGTGGGCGATGGCGAACCCGTTAAAAGAGTCGCTCGGAATAAGCGCGAGGTAATCTATATCCTTTGAGGTGAAAGAAATTTATGCCTACAATTTGAGCCAACCCAAGGAGCGGATAAATTCAGCGTATTCGAGGAATTTCCAACGAACAGTCTCCGCCGTGGAAGTCCGGGACCACAATTCTAGACAATCGTCAATTAAAGAGCAATTAAAGCGGGAGTCCGGCAACGAAGGCCGCGATGTATTAATAAGGGGGCCTTGGTTATAATAAAACTTCGCGTTTGATTCCCAGAAGATGACGAGGGCCCGCAAACCCTCGCCGGGTTTTTCTTGGAACCGGTGATATAATGAATACCGAATGCCGAAGGCGAAACTCGCCGAAAGGTTCCCCATAACCTCCTGGGAGGGGGATCGAGTGAATGGGAAGGTTTATTTAGCAAGGTCGGTAAGAGCGGTCGCTGCTTAACTCGACCCACGTGGGGCGCCATTAACGGGGGAATAATTCGCGCTTTGCATCATGCCGGAGATTTATACGAGGAGTTTAGACACTTTAAGCCTTTCTCGGGTATACCTCGCTTGATAATTTCATGAATATTTTTCACTTAATCGATGGAAGAGCTATAAACGATCGAGTTGGTGGGGATTCAAGATGGCGGCCTACGCGTTTCGATTGACCAGTTATACCGCGACGAGACTCGCTTTGATTGGCTAGTTTTTATATTCCACGAAACCTCGACTTCGTTAAGATATTCGGATTAATCGTGACGTGATGTCACGGCGAGTCGACCGATGCTCATTTGGCAGCGAGAGACGGCGATGAGGTCGCAAAGAAATGACTAATTGGCAGGCGTCTTAGCGCGGCTTCTGGCGGCCGCGGCCGCCATCTTGGAAATATCGGACGCTGAGTGGAAGCGCAAACAGACGCTCATTTCTCGCGAGAAACGACTGTCTTTCGGCTCTAGTGTTGTCTTCGGGATGCGGGAGAAGCATTTAACGAGTCTTGAGCGTCAATTATCGAGTAAATGGCGTATTTCTCAGCTCTTTAACCCGATCCAGCGTGGGTCGCGAGGCGTCCGAGCGTTCCCGGGAGATTTGAATGCGCGACTCGGTCGCCTCGTATCTCGCAAAGTCGAATTAATGTGTACCGGTGATCGCAAGCCTAACAATGAGAATTGGCCGGTTAAATGCAGAAATATACAACGCGGCATATGTTCGGCAATTTGATCGGCCTGTTACTTTGACGTTCCTTAGAAATGACGGACAATTGAATGGTAATGTTACTCGCGGACGGTTTAGTTACCCAGAGTCGATGAAGACGGTACACTCGCCTCTTTACCACACATGTAATCACACGACTACATTCGCCAATTATCCTTGATCCACATGGCCTGGTAACCTTGAAGACGCGTTCAGTCTTACGGGGAGTTTCATCTCTTTCACGAGGCCAGAAATGCTGTCACTCGCGATAAATCTCGAGTTCGTTAAGCATCTCTTAAGCGCTTAAGTGGTTAAGTATGTAGTCTCTGTAATCACCGAGGGCAGAAATGCAGACGGCATTGTCTCGTCCCGTGGACATGAAATTCTAAAATCGAGGACTTCTTTCTCTCTCGATACGTCGGACTTTAACCGGCAAGTTAACCTCACACTTGATTCGGAATGTTCCCGCAAGTCGCACGTGGCGGCGTTCGCAGTGGAGGAACCTAACCTAGAAATCGGGGCCGCGCATTGATGCCGGAAATTTACGGGCCGGTCTGGGTTTCGGTGGCGATCGTCGCGATACTTGGAAACGCTCCTTGGCCCGTTGGCCCCGTTTACAACGTCGCGGCTACCGGAATAAACATAAGCCGTTTAGTGTATTTCCGACTGAGCAGCTCCAGACGAGTCGCCGCGCCTTCCCGAAATCCCGACGACCCAAATCTCCGATTTCCACGAGGGGTCCACTCTCGCGAGGTGCCGCCATTTTGGCGCCACATAGACGATAGGGATGACCTTGACGGATTTAGGAACTCGGAAAGAAGGAAAGAGGGGAATTTTTATTACTCCATATGTTACTCCAGATATTTTGTACTGTTAAAAAAAGTATTATAATTTTACAACATTTTTCTTGTAAAATTATAATTAACACATGGTATACTAATTTTATAACATATTTTCCAAATTAAATGTATAACGTATATTATAAATTTAGTACATGTGTGTAATATATGTATGATATATCATATCGTCCATGATGCCACCGGAGTCTTATATTAATTGTAAGAATTTTTTGAAATGTTATTTAAATATTTCTCGGACTCAAGAATGTCGTTATAATGCTTCTCCGCCAGTATCACCGATACTTGTCATGTCTCGATTAAATTTGTTTAAAAATAAACGTATGTAAACGATCATAAAATTAAAAACTCGTATAAAAAAATTTGCAAACAATGCGTACTAAATGACTTTCGAATATCGAATTTATAATTTTTCTTCGCAATTTCACAAAATCACAACACGATGTTATAGGATTATAAGCTTACATAGAATTTTATCATAAATGTATATTAATTCTCTATTAAGGCATGAAATTTATAATTTTACTGCAACCTTATGTACTAAAAGTATATGAATTGTATGATTTTTTTTTTTTACAATGTAGCGAAATGTGTCCATATTTCGGATGGTGCTTTAATTCCGGGTAGCGTGACAATTCGTAGTTCCAATTTTCACAGAGGTGTAAAGGGCGTAGAGGGCGCCAGTGGGCCGTGTCTCTCTTTCGAACAATGGCGGGAAACATCTCCCCGGTCATCTTTGATATTTCCCAATAATGTCCGTATTTATTGTCGGTCATTTTTGTTGAACTGTCGAGGGACGTCATATCCCATGTTTGGCAGAGGCAGCTTCAAATGTTTACTCAGACCATTCACCTTGAACGTCGTTTGCATTTGCAGAATTGACACGGCAGACCCGACGCGATGTCGTCGACGGTTCGGGAGAGCTCGCACACGAGCAGAAAGATCGTGACTCATGGCGGACCTATATCCGGACAGAATTATTCGGCCAACACGACGAACAGCCTCGAGAACAATTTGGGTAAGGCTCCCAGTTCAAGGTGTAACCGTATATCGTTTGGGCCTCCCTCCAAGGTGGCCAGTTTCCGTGGTTCACCTTTCATCCGACATCCGTTAAATGGATAATGATATTAATATTAATCGATAAGCGACACACCGGTTCACTTTTCACAAGTGCCCGTTTAACCCTTTGGCCACTAAGAGCGTCTAAAGGCGCCCGACGTTTGGTCCAATATTGCCTGCACGGTCAGACGAATTTCGCCCTTATGTCGAAATGGCTCCATGTTCAAAGGGTTAAGGGAGCGCGAAAGTGGCATCTAAGGGGTCAATCCCTCGTGAACATTTTTCCCCAAAGTGGGAGTACCGAATCTGTTCAAACTTTCCAACGTGAATATCGAGGCTGTAAGAAAGGTCCCTACTCCTATGAAATTTTATTTCCTTTTTTTATATACAATTTTTAAAACGTCTATAAAGAAATTTTTCAAATGAAATTTCAATTGAAATTTCAGTGGTCTCAGGACCTTTCTTGTTGCCTCGATATTCACTTCGTGAAGTTTGGAACGATTCGGTGCACCCTGTTCGGCGAAGAATTTTGTAAACCCCACTTTCACATCACCTTAATGGGTAAATCATTGACATTAATTGTTAAGGTGATATGAATGGGTCATTTTGTATATATGAAAACGAGAAAATATTTATGATACCTTCCTCCGAACAAGGTGCATCGAACAATTTGAATCCTTAATACGTGATTATCGAGGCCCTAAGGAAGAACGCGACGCTCGTGAAATTTCATTTTTCACCCAAAAAAAATAATTTTTTTTCCTTCAGCTTAGTCTAGAATCAAGATCACATTTTTCTTTTTTATGTTAAATGAAATTTCACGGGCATCGCGTTTTTCCTTAGGGCCTCCATAATCACGTGTTAAAGGTTTTTCATGATTTTTGGTGCACTCAGTTTGGAGAAAAGTTTTATCAATATTTAATATCATTATATATATATATGACCCTTTCGTATCACCTTAAGTGAACTCCGAATTTCATGGCGTGTTCGGATTTCAGACGCGCTGCTGGAGGACCTTCAGACCAGCGTCTCCAGGAGCGCTACTCCCAGCAGAGGACGCATCCAGCCTCAGGTCGAATATAGAGTCGCTGCGAACCCCACCAGAGTCCTCTCCGAAGGCCGGTAAGCCTCGAAATTCTCAGGCTGCGAAACGACGTCGAGAACGTCTCTCCTTCGGCTTTTTGCTCGCTCAAGTGCGAATCCGACTTTCAGACCCACCTCACCGACTCGAACGACCACGACCACTACCGAGAAATATGTCACCACGGGGCTCAGCGGCGAGCCGAGCGGCATTCCCGGCCTGGAGATGCTCGACAAGGAGCTCCAAGACGTGAGTGGTCCATCGGTTTGGCTGTAGACCAACATAAGTTAGGGCGACACTTCGCCGCGACTTGAAATTTATCGAAAATAGTCACAGCAAGATAGGGACACCCGCAGGGAAATAATTACCAGTGGTAAAAAGGAATTTCACTTGCTCCGGAAAACATGGACATTTGAAAATGGAGCAATTTTTTCAAGAAACTCTTTGGTGAAAATAATAAAAAAAAAAGCGATTATTTCATCGGGGAAATGCAAATTTTAGGTATGCTTGCGGTATTCTTTACCAGCGACGAGAAATCATAGATCGCTCATGAGATCTGGGAGAGAGAACATTTTTTATCTACCGCTGTAAATTCAATTGTTAATTCCACGAGCATTTTTTTTCTGGAGAAAATACTCCTATATGGTTTCGATACAATTGCAAAGACTTTTGCTACCGGTGTGATTATCACCGTGGTAAGAGAAAAACTTTATCAGCGATGCTATGGAAAAATGCGAGTGCTTTTATTTCCCTTGCACGAAGACTCTCTTCGAAAATTGAGTTTCTCTCTTCGAGACTCTCCTCTTGAAAGTGTTCCTCTTAAATTAAATTTTGGGAAGCACGTCGGATAGGTTACATGTGAATTTTTTGTAAGAAGGACAACATTGTTTTCGCATTTCATTTTGGAGAAAATCGAAAAGGTTTCGAGGATCCTAAGTGCATCGCGCATATGTCACCCTCGGGAACTACGAGAAGGAACGACTTCATCGTCCACCGTAATTGCACCTGTATAGGAGGGCCGTATGATTATACGGTACCGCTTACGCACACGCGAACGCACCTTGTAGGCCTATCCACGAGTGGAGTGCTATCTTCGATATGCATCGGTCGAGATTACATTCCCGGGCGGGCGCAAAAACCATTGACTAATAGGTCGAAGAAACTAGTTTCATAAAACCGTAGCTCGCATGCTGATTAGAGGGACGAGCCGCTCGTCTACTCTAACAGTTCCACCGAACGAGCTCGGATCGCCGCGAGCGAAACTCCGTCGAGCATTAATTATGGAAAATTCAGTTTCAGACTCTGTAAACGTAAGTGGCGAGCGATAATCGTTGAAAATGTAGTTTCCGACTGTCGCGATGGAAAGCCAGTCGCGAAAGCCGCAGCGCAGGAAAATAATTAATGATCATTAACCCTTTGAACACGGAGCCGTTTCGACATATGAGCGAAATTCCTCTGACCGTGCAGGCAATATTGAACCAAACGTCGGGCAACGTAAATTCTATTCACGGTCGTAACATCCTTTTTTTTTGACAATTGCTAATTTAGCAAGCATTTCTTCCAAGGAAAGCTCTCCGACAATGGGAGAAAAAGGCATTTGCACTTTTAACAAAGGACAGCATCGCTGATTAAGTTTCGCTCTTACTGCAGTAATAATTGCAGGAACAGCAAGAATCATTACAATTGTATCGAATAGGTGTAACTGTAGGATTATTTCCTTTAGAGAGAATGCTTGCTAAATTAACAAATGAATTTGTAGGAGTAGCCAAAAATTATCCCCCCCTGATCTCATGAACGATGTACGATTTCTTCTTGCTAATAAGGAGTATTGCAATCCACGGATAGAATTTGCGTTGCCCCTATGAAGTAATCATTTTTTTTTTCTAGTATTAATTCCACCAAAGCGTTTCTTGAGAAAAAAAATTGTTGCTGGCCTATTTTCTAGTGACCACGTTTACCGAAGCAAATGAAGTCTCTCGTTAATTGGAAACTATTATCCCGCGCGAGCGGTTACGTCTAGATCCAACGTAATTGCAAATACTTATTGCCGATGCCATTATTGTACGATCATTCCTGCAGTAAGAGCAAAACTTTATCGGCAATGCTGTCCTTTGTTACAAGTGCAAATGTCTTCTTCTTTTTTGTCCTCAGCATTTCTTAAGAGGGATTTCGGTGACGTCAGGGGCGCGATTCATCTCGGCCATATTGGGCGCTCGGCTCGAAGGCCCACGCTTATCCTCGGTCTCGTTCGATCTCTCGATTAAGCGACGAACGACTCTCGCATTTAATATTCCTCGGGCCCGAGGTGCGGAATCGCAGCCGACGAGACTTGCGGCCGCCATTTGCTCGCAAACGGCGGCCGGCTCCGGACGCGCGGTCCTCTTTATAAGGACGTAGACTAGCCTGTTTCGAGTTTCGAGAAGTACCGAGTCCGTTCAAACCTTCGGCTAAAGTGCGATTCCGCTTCCTAGGAGGTGCACGGACTGACGTGGGAACTTGTAAAGGAATCGGGTAAATCGGGGAAACGAAGTCGCTCGTCGCATCTCGGGTCTGAATTGTCGTCGTAACATCTTCGGGGATGAATTTTGTAAATAATTTTCCAAGTTTTTTTCCTCTCGGTGAATTCTTCAATTCTGTAATTGCACGCTTACGCTGATATGAAAGTGTCATACATACATACCAAACAGTCCGAATATCTATAAATCTTTTCTACAAATTGGGTCCACCGAATCATTTGAAACTTCATTACAAGATTGTGGAGGCCCTAAGGATGAATGCAATGCTTGTTAAATTTCACTTTTTGAAAAGAAATTTTTATTTATCTCGGACAAAGACCAAAAAAAAGACATTTTTTATATTGAAAAATGAAATTTCCCGAACATTGGGTTCTTCCTTAGGGCCTCCATAATCACGTGTTAAAGTTTCAGATAATTCGGTACACTCAGCTTGGAGAAAAGTTTTATAAATATTTCTACGTTTTGATATATATATATAGAACGATCCTTCCAACTGGTGGCAGGGAGTGATTAATTATAGCGATATGTGGCTTATCTCGCTGGAGAAGGATTAATTTTCGATTTTTTGTGAATTTATTCGCGACTTTGGGAAACAGCCTTAACGATTGCGAGGAGTCGGATTTCGCGAAATAATCCGCATATAAGGCGCATAGAGGACTGGAATCCAATCCGCGTGCGGAAAATCTCGCGGTCGAGTTCTTCCTGACAGCCAAGGCCGTTCTGACCGAGGATCTCTTTTTAGGTGCAGCCCGGCCAGAGCAAAACGGTGGCGTACAAGCAGGTGTCCTACCAGTACAACAAGAGCCTCGATGGGAAACCAGTCGGTGAGTAAGGAAACCCGCGCCTCCACCTTTCGAGTGTTTCCCCCGGTGAGACGAAGAGTTCGAACCTTCTACCTCGTGACTCCGAGTTCCGCCATAATAAAAGGGGGAAAAAAAAAAGAAAAAGGCGAGATTATCGCCGCGTTATATATGTCGGTGCGCGAAAAAGTCGATTTATACCCTGATTAAAAAAAAAGTATCATTCAACCAAAGGAATATTTCATTGATCAATAGAACTTCACTCAAACTCAAGCAAATTGGATGCAACATTTCTTTTGGAATTATCGCTTTTCTTAATAATATTTTTAAATATATCCTTGGTTCAATGAATTATTTATCAAGGCGCCGGCAAAGTGCTGCAATGCCCGTTTCAATGGCACTTTTCACTAAACGTACATATAGTGCCGGACGGGGTAAAAAATGCCATCGAAGCCGCGTAATATGAAATTTTGTCGTATCGGCGTTGATACGTGTCGAAAACGATACATTTCGGTATATATATCCATATCATATATGGATCGACTTGCGTATGCGTGCATGTCTCGCTTCCGCTAAGCGTGGGCGCCGGCTTTAGTTGAACCGCTTCAATGCGTGGCAAGTTCCTCGTACAAGTGGACCGGTGTGTGTCGAACGTATTCGCGTTTCCTCGGGCAGATCTCGAGTCGTGTCGCTCCTTTTACGGGGCGCTACGGCCTTGCGGAGACGCAGGAAACGCGGGAAAAATATCCCAGCATCCGAAGGGGACGGAAAAAATCGGCGCAACTCCAACGCCTCGAATTGTCGGATAGAGGTGTAACGTCATCGTGGTACACTAGTCATCCTGGATCGAATAATTTCACCGAGAGAAGAAAAAAGAATACCATTAAACCAGAGAGATATTTCTTCGAACGGGAGCTAAGAAATATTTTGTTAATTTAGAAAATAATTATTTAGCCCCGAAGTAATGTCGAATTAATTGGATGCAACGTTCCTTCGGTATTGTAACAATTAATTCATTATTTGAATTAATGAAACATTTCTTTGGTTTAATGAGGTTTCTTTCTTCGTGCAGGAATAATCGGTATGGACACGAGTGGGAAGGAAGGAAGGGACTTTACCGGAAAGTCGAATTTTTTACCGGTTGTAATGTAAATTCAAATTTGTAAACGCGTCCTTTAAGGTGATTTGAAAGGATCATTCTATATTTCCGAACGTCGAAATATTTATAAAACTTTCCTAAAAATTGAGTGCACCAAATCATTTGAAACTTCGGCACGTGACTATGAAGGCCCTAATTTCATTTTTCAAAAGATATATATTTTTTTTATTTAGCTTAGACTATAACCAAGATCACGTTTTTTGTATGAAAAATGCAATTTCACGGGCATCGCGTTCTTCCTTAGGGCCTCCATTAATCGTGTGTTAAAGTTTCAAATAATTCGGTGCACCCAGTTTGGAGAAAAGTTTCGTAGATATTTAAACGTTTCATATTTATATAGAATTGACTCTGTCATATAACCTTAACATTCGATCCGCGTTTAGGATCGCGGAAAAGGATTTTATTTATGCGATTTTACGTGTACATAATTCGGGACGAGGTCGGACCGATTCGTACCTCGAGGAACCCGTTCCTTAGCACAGGCTGAGGTCGCCTTCGGTTCCCGAGGTGAAACTCCCTCCCTCTCAAAAGGAGAAGTCAGGAGTGAACCTCCTCGGGACGTCGGCCCTGGTGAACGTTCTGTATTTGGCAGAGACGGACACGGAGACGAGAGACCGTGTCCTCCGCGCGGAACGACGTGGCCATATTAGGTCGGCTTATGCTGACAGGCTGACCCGATTTCTCGGCATCTCCCTCGACCTTTCCTCGATGGAAGTCCCGGGGAAATATTGGGAGAAGAGCCTTAGGGCACTTGCAAGCATCTCCCCCATAAAAAACGCATAAACCTTAGGCCACTGGCAAGCATCTCCCCCATAAAAACGTATAATTCAAGTCAAGCGGATTTATCTTGAACGCCGCACTTTTAGGAATAAAATGGAGTTCCCCATAAAATCGTGTAATTCATGCCGAGCAGATTTTTTCTGAATGCCGCATTAATGGAGTTTCCCATAAAAACGCATAATTCATGCCGAGCAGATTTTTTCTGAAGGCTGCATTGGGACTCTTAAAAATAAAATGGAGGAGTCGGTTGTGATGGAATTAGAGATGAATTTTTAATCCCTCAAGATCGGTTTTCGAGGCTGCGGTGATCTTTCCTCGAGGTCTCGCCGAGCAGAAACAAAGTGGAGGAGTCAATGGCGCAATCTAAGGGAGCAACGGCTCGGGGCACGGCGCCGATTAGCGTTAATTAAATCGGGGTTTACGGTCAATTAATGGCGACGAGTGTCGACACTTTGCTCCTCTCCTTTCTGGGTCCGTTGGTCTCGGTTCGATGAAAACGTCTCTCTGTTCCAGACTCGTGGGCTATGTCGGAGAATGGCCTGAACAGCTCCGGACTGCCCTTGGTGTGAGTATTCCATTTCCCTAGGGAAACGTGGAAATATTCCCAAACAAGTGGTTACTACCTCATGTAATTATCATTTCGATAATTTTCTTCCACAATTTTAATGTCCCATTATTTCAGGGAGGAAATTCACGAAACCAGCTACGAAGAGGCGAGGCCACGAAGACTTCGGTCTCCGGAGCCTCTCACCAAGACTGCCACGGTCAGCAGAGAATTGGTGGGTTCCGCTCGTTGTTAACTTGCAATTCCCTCGATAATTATCCTTAAAAAGAATCGTAAGAACGATTAATATACCCCCAAGCTCATCGAATAAATATTTATTCCATGACAGCTGTACAGCGACAGCTCGTCGACGTCGCCTCTGCCCAGCACTAAACAAAAGGACGTGAAATTCATCCACGAGTCGAGTGAGTAGATAATAATATGATAATAAAATGAATAAATAAATCCAGATTAAATTTCGATGTCCTCGTAATCGATAATCGAGCCAGGTTCATGGAAAATTCACGGAAGTCTCAACTGCACTGTTAAAGATACTGCTATTTTATTAAACTTTATGTTCCAAGTTTAACTAAAATGTATGTGTATATTATAAAAGTACACGAGTGTACGAGCTGTACGACTATTTTTATTATTTTTAACAGTGTAGATGTTAAGGGGACGTTAAAGTGATATATCCGAGGTCTTGTTCATGAAACTTTTCTCCGAACTGGATGTACGGAATTGTTTCAAACTTTATAATGTAAATATGGAGGTCATACGGAAGGTTCTAACACCTGGGAAATTTCGATGTTTTAAAAAATTTATTTACATTTTTTTAGTAATTGGTTATAAACAATTTTAGTAATTGGTTATAAACAAAACATGAAATTTCACGGGTTTCGAGACCTTCCTTATAACCTCCATATTAATGTTCTAGAGTTTTTAAACGATTCGGTGTACTCAGTTCGGAGAAAAGTGTCACGACCCCTTGGATGGCACTTTCACATCGCCTTAAAGCGATTCCCTAATGTGCGGTTCCACCGCCACTAAAGGTGAACCGCGGTGACGGTACCAACAATAAACCGCGAACCGGCACCCGATATTTGAATACAATGGCCCCCGTAAAATGATAAAATTTCATCGCGACGACATTGTTCACAATATACACGGTGTATCTTAAACCTCAGGTTACCATGTGGAGCCAAGGCCAGCGCAGAGCACGGTGACGACGGTGCAGACGAACGCGTCCCAGGAATACGGGAACGTGGAGTACGTCCCGGTGCCATCGCCAGCAACGGCGGTGCCCATCAACCTGGCACCAGGACCCAACACGAAAGTGACGACCACGATCAAGACCTACACCTACGAGCTGCCCGGGGCACCTGAGACCTACCTCTCAGGTGGCAACCTATCAAAGGGAGTCGACCAGACGATCACCTACACCTTGCCGAGGGGGTCCGAGAAAACCATCGCGTATCAGACGTCAAGCGATTCCGGGTTAAGGCCGGTCAGTCCAGTCACGAATGGTAGCACGTCCCCGGCAGACATGACGAAATCGACGACGCTTCACAAAGAGTCAAAGTACTACGTGGAGGAGCACGACTACCAGCCCGGGAGGCCGGTGAGTCCAGTGAGGCCCTCGGGAACACCCTCGACCAGCGTGGATTTAAAGGCCACCGTGACCAGGAACGAAAGGTACTACCAATACAACTACCCCAATGGATATGGACCAGGGACGGATAGGGTGGACCATAGCAACCAGGTCGCGTATCCCGGCCCGTCCCCGGTCATCAAAGAGACCAAGTCCACCACCATCGACAGAGTCGAGGAGCACTATCCCAGCAGACCCCCTTCCGCTGGGAGACACCCGACCCCTGATGGGTCCCACAGGACGACCACCAATTATTATCCCACCCAGCAGTCGAGCAGCTCCGTTTACAAGTACTCGAACACCACTAGCACCATACCGCCCAGCAGGCATCCCGACGACCACGAAGTCCTCCTTCCAAAACCTTTCCCCACGGGCGGGGTTCAGGTTTATCCCCCGAAGTCGACCTCCAACGGCCAGGGACCTCCGGCCAAACTGGAGGACCTCATGGCCTCGTTCTCCGATTCCGAGGTACGTCCAGGAGGCACTCGTGAGGTCGATTAATACTCCATTTACCCGTTAACTGCGGTATTTACTGTGATGTCGCAGTTTATCGACGTGTATACTCGCAGTTAACTGATTAAGGTGATATGAAAGGGTCATTCTATATATATAAAGCGTCAAAATATTTATAAAACTTATCATCAAACTGGGTCCTCTGAATCGTTAGAAACTTTAACGCGTGATTATGGAGGTCCTTAGGAAGAACGCGATGCTCAGGGCCTCCGTAATCACGTGGTGAAGTTTCAAATGATTCGGTACACCCAGTTGTTGAGAAAAATGTTATAAATGTTCTGGCGCTTGGATATATACAGAATGACCCTTTCATATCACCTTAAGGTGTATCTAGCTTCGAGGGAATTTTTAGAAACAATTTGACAGCGGCCTCAGATATATTATATGTTCCGATTTCGCTTTTTCCTTAGAGAGAGGTGCTGGCCGACATTTCGAAGCAAGAGCAGGTCCAGAAACGGGGCGAGGGCCCGAAGAAGGAAGTGGACTTTGTGGCACACACGCCACCTAAAGTGAAGACAAAGAATGTCCCTGGACCTCCGGTGTACTATCCTCCAGGATCGGGCGAATTCTCGAAAAAGGAAGAATCCAGCGCGTCCATGTCGCAATCAGGAGTATGTCACCGACTTCGAGCTCGTCCTGTAAATCCCTCCGTTGGTTCACATGGTATCACGTTTATCTTGAATTTCTTTTAGGGTGGATGGCAGAAGGCCAGTGGAAAATACGAGTACGAGGCTTCCAGCAAAAGCAAGAGCAAAAGCAGCAGCGGAAAGGCCGTCGTTCCTGTCTGCTTGCCACTTTGCTGCGCCCTTCCGTGCGTAATCATGTAACATATTACGCACACTCGGCTACCGGATTAAAACGATTTAATCGCGGTGTCTATATTGCCTGTAATCGTTGATCGGCTGAAAATGAAAACGGAGTAATCGGCGCGAAAGGCTAATGTAATATATCGTTTAGGCCTTCGGCGAAGCTGCACTTTCGATAACCGGTCGTATGGTAGGTATGCACACTTGATTCTCTGCATATTTATGGGGTCAGGCCCTTTCCCCATAAGTAAGAGTCTAAACGAAAACCGAGTAAGTGCCTGTATACGCATGTACAGTTTTCCTTTCCTCCTAAATCGCTCCTTATTTATGCCATGCCAGTTAAGTCCTGTTATTTAAATAATTTCTATAGTGTATCTTCCGCGATACGCGCTAAATATCATTACCGCTGTAACTAATACTTAATTGTCTTAATTAAATTACTGTCATGCCTTTGTCTATCGATAATTTAGAGTAGCGGTGCTGTACTTGTGTATTTAATGCTAAACCTTTAATTCAGAGGCGTATATAAAGTTACTCTTTTATTTTGGCATTGTTACGTGACAGTGGCCTCACTTCGATATGTATATTTCAATTGCTCGTACCCTGTCGCAGCCATTTTGTTTAAGATTAGGAAACATTTTACTGTCTATCGATGGATGAGAGTTTGGAGCAGTTGCATGTCGTGCAGTTGAATTCTCAATCAAACTTTTATAGTGATCTTACTAATAACGATACTTCTCATTACTAAATAATTAACTCGATTAGAATTCAATTTCAATGTTAGTCGCCTCGGGAGGGGGACTGATATGGAATTCAGTAATTCTAAGGCAAACCCGTGAATTTTGGTGCTATAATAATTTTAGTCACTGATAATCTTAAGTAATGCTATACATATGACGTACATTAATAAATGTATAATGTAAGGGAAACATGTATCGATTATTAGCTCTAATGATTTATACAAACGATATAGTACCTTGCTGTACAATGTAAGTCGTGTAGGCCTTGATTTGCCCTGACGATATGTTTTAGAGTAATTATAAACTGGTTTGTTTCTAATCAATTGTAGTCACGTATGCACAGCTTTTGGTAACGATTATATTATGTTATACAAAATATGAGTAACTGAGATAAAAACAAAATGTTCTTATTTTATAAAGAGTATTTCTTTGGTCATGCTAATAACATACGAGGAGGTGTTTGGTATAAAAATATCGTAAACACGAGCTTAGTAAAAGTGTACAGCATAAACTGTAGCCACGCAGAATATAGAGTCCTGGAAAAAGACAGATTGATACTAACTTTGCACACCGTAGGAACACGCAACATTAATAAGACTTACATTTACAAAGGTGTCATATGCATAACTGTCGGCTTCGGCATCCCAGATACATCTCGTTCCCATTTTTACCCCAGCTCCGTGCTGTTCTCCCAGAACAATGTTTACAATATACTTGTAATGAGGAGACTGAAATTCGGCTGTAATTAGAATATTTAGAATTCTTAATCTCCATTGTTTTAAATATAATACCCCTTAAAAGCAAAGCACATTTACCTTTAACCCTTTCTCTTATCGTATCCGCAATGTTTTTGCTCCATTGAACCGCTTCCTCTGCATCGTATGTTTTTGTTGATAATTGATCGAACAGTACATTATTTATGACTTCTTTTGCAGTGAGAGGTTTAAACCTATATTTAAAATTGACAACTTAGCCCTTGGAATCAAACTTAGGGTCTGCCGAAAATACTTAGTGAGTGAATAAAACTCATTTTGTTAAAGTTGTTTCAGACGTACTTTTCAGAAAGACGAGGTCGAATCTGATATCGCGGCTGCGCCGACTCGTCGTCTAAAACTTCAATATTTTCTACGGATTTTTGTTCTTCTAAAGGCTGCTCTTGCTCAATTTCTTGAGGCTCAAGTTTTGCAGATTGCGATGAAGCACTTTCCACATCATTCACATTTTCCATTGTTCAATTGACATAAATGATGCTTCCTCGTTCGGCACTTTTAAAGCTATCCTAGGTTTAAGGTTATGGATCTGTCATCTTGAACGATTGTTTATTTGAATCTCCATGGAAACGGGTGCGTATGCGCTTGACATTTCATTGCCATCAGATATGAGTTGGGAGATTATTCACGGGCAGGGTGGCGCGATCGCATCCTGTGCTGCCCTCTGGTTTCGTATGATAGCTTTAACCGTTTTTTGCCCCAAAGGGCGGAGCAACGAATTTCTGGTAGGGGATCGCGCACTCGCTATGGCGGTGCCATCTACCAGTCATAGTTGGTGGCTCACGTACCTGTGAGGGTAATACCATGCGGCAGTTGACGGTGGTGGCTTACCTACGCTTACCGAACTGCACGCTTTTGATGGTAAGGGAAGAACACTCGTTGCGCCCTCTCTACTCTAAGTACATTGTTGCTCCGAAGTCGATGCGATACGGAGCTTTGGGGCACGCGTGGATGGTCACGTACGGAACACGCATGCAGCGAATCTGTACCAGTGCGATCGTTCCTAGAAATCTTCGCGCGTCCCAACCAGCCAAGCGCCAAGCTACGGGGCGTGGCGTTGAGCATGAGTACGTTCGGCGCTACACTCATAACGACTATGGGTGAGAGCCGAATGCAGCGAAAAATCCTCCCTAGCCGCGGATATAAGCCGAGCCATTTCGCGTATGATTTTTACATTTACCTACTAGCGTTATCGAGCGTTCTTCGACCGTTTTCAGAGCGTTTCCGACCGTTATCGACCATTTTTCGAGTGCTTTTGAGTGTCCAGTAGAGTCCCGCACAGTCCCGTAGAGTCCCGTAGAGTCCCGCAGAGTCCCGTAGAGTGCCCGCAGAGTCCCGTAGAGTCCCGCAGAGTCCCG